ACAATTAATTATATATTAAAATTAGTATGTGATCGATACGAATGCTAATGTGGCATACCAAAAACCGGCCACATCGAAGCCAACTTCGATCTACAATACTATGTTTACACATGTATTATTATTATTCAATTATGATTTTTCATCTTCAGATGAGTAACGATCTACAACTCAAATACAATTGATTTTTTAGACTAGAATAACAATCATTTTTTTAAAATAAAAATCAATTAGATATATGTGACCATAATACAATTTTCAAATTCCAAATATATTCTTTTTCATTATGAATATTTTTTATACTAGTTTAAAATATTATTTAAAAAGGGTTTTATTATTATTATTATTATTATTAAGGGTTTGTTTGATTTGCATTTGAGTTGAATATTTTTTAAAGATTTAATTATAAAAATATTTTAATTCAGTATTTTGTGATAGAAAATAAGTATTTTTATTTAAAATTATATGAAGTGAATAATTAATAGTATAAAGTTTGTTTGAAGTTTAAATCAAACAAGCCCTTAAGTTATAACTATATATTTATATATATAAATATAATATAATATATACCCGATGAAAATTTGATTATAAAGTTTTGTTTACTTACGCTATGTTCTAACTGTGTGTTTCTATCTTTCATTCTTTTTTTTCTTTTTGTTTTTCTTTTTTCAATAATTGTAGTATGTATTTTCATTGCTCTTTAAATATAAAATATTACATGTTCAATAACCATTTTCTTTAAATTTTAATAATAAAAATTAATTTTTTTTTCTTTTTTTGGAATTTGATTTTATTTTTACTATATAATTATTTAATTTTTTCAAAAATAGATATTATATTATTTCACAATGAACATTTAAATTACTATATTCAAATCAAATAAAAAAAAAAAATAAAGCAATTACACTCTTGTACTTCATTCGTCCCACAATAATTGACACTATTTTAACAAATATAAATCAAATTAATTAACTACATAACATACAAGATCATAAATGAAGTAGGACCACTCAAAATCCTTTTATTTCTACCTCTTTCTCTCTTCAAAAAAATAAATATTTCTATCTATATTTAAAATTAAACATCTTTTATAAAATTGATTTATGTTAATTATAAATAAACAAAAATAATTTTTTATTTACTTGTATTATAGAAGATTTTATTCTCTACAAAATGATATCCATATTGCATATATTTTTTTAATTGCTATATAATTTTTAAATATTTAAACATATATTTTAATTTTTTAATCATATATATTAAATTTACTTTTAAGCTATAAATATTATTAATTATACAAAAAATTAATATAATAATATCATAATTAATTATTATTAATTAATTAAACATTCTCACCTTAAATACCGTATCCTAATCAAATGGTTCAATTTCAGTGGAACGGAGGGAGTATGTTGAATTTTATTTTCATATTATTAATATTTTTAAAAATATTACATCGATTTAAGACTTGTTTTTGTTAAAATAATTATATATATCAAAAGTAGTATCTCAAATATAGTACTCCCTCTGTCCCAAATATCGTGTCTGCTACACCGTAGACACAATATTTTAGGAGGAGTGTAAATAGTAAATAATTAAGAATGTATCAGTGAAAATAATTATCCTATAATATAAATAATTATAAATTAAGATTAAGATAACTAATTAGTTTAATTAGTTATTAAAAAAAATTAAAAAATTTAAAATGAGATTAAAGTGTGTAATCATTTTCCAAAAAAAAAAGTGACATGGTACGTTGGGACGGACAGAAACGGTAATATGAACATGGTATTTGGGACAGAGGGAATATTATTTCATTTATTTTTTTTATTATTTTAAATAAATAAACAAAACCCTCTACCCCAGCCCCCACCAATATATATATATATACCTATGGATTTGTTTGATTTTAATTAAAATTTTTTATTTAAACAATATTTTAATTTGATATTTTATTAAATTTATATATATATATATATATTTCCAAAAAAATTTATAGACTGAAATAGTTTTACTTTTCACTTTAAAAAAATCCAGACAAATTGCGTAAATAATTAAAACCAATCCACACATTGTATATACATGAAAATAATATAGAATTAATTCCTAGAAATTGTAGTGTCATATATACATATAATATACTCCTTTGGAATTTTATAATACTTTAATAAATAATAATCATTTATTAATTAATAGAAATATCTAAGATAATTTTAATATTAATATATAATTATTTTTGCTTTAATAAAAAAAAATATTTTGATATTAATATATAATTACTTTTACTGTAATAAAAAAGTAATATTTGAATGAAAAAAACAAGAATGCTTTTTTTTTTTTTTTTTTTTTTTTTTTTCAAAAACAACCTACACATTTATATTATACATAATTATTATTTTTATATAACTACACAATTTTTATATTTCATATTAAAAAAAAAAACCATTTAAAACCATTTAACAAAAACAAATACATATTTAAAAAGTAAAAATAAAAATACTTTTAGTCAAAATAAATGGAATATTATCCTTAGCATAAGCCAAAATTAGGGTATCAGTGAGAAGCACTTGTGTTTGGCATATGTTCGTATATATGCCCATTCTCATAATTCTTCCTGCAAATTGAAATTACATGCTAATGGCATTATCCAACAATAATTAATTAATTAATTAATGCATCTCACCTTTTTAGTATTAATAAATACTCCTCCGTCCACAGACTAATGTCTTATTTTTTTATTTGGAACGTCCAATAACTATGGTTCTATTTTATTTTTAAAACATAAAATTTACTTTTTTATCTTTCATTTATTTGTCATTTTTAATTTATACTCTATCATAAAAGATACAAAAAAGACAATCATCTATAAAATTCGTACAAATATACTTTAAGAAAATTATAAATTGACAGATGGAGTAATATACTTTTATTCTTACCAAACTAAATTCCTCCCCACCTCATCAATACTAATCGCCTCACACAACAACACATGGGCTGCTAAATTACCCTAATTTTTTTTTATTTTTCTAATATATATATATATATTTTATTATTCAACCCTTTGGTTATTATTTATAAATATTATATTGAACATTCGATTTCATATAGAAATGTACAATTGATTCTCACAAGACACCACAGTAAACTATTGTTAAATAAAATTTTAAAAAATAAAAATAAAAATAAAAAATAAAAAATCTAACACAAATAAGTCAAAGTAAACAAACCACGTCTACTTAAAAAGCAAAATAAATAAAAGCAAAAAGTGAAAAAATAGAAAATAAACTAACCACACCCTTATATAATTGGTTGTTTTAATTTAAAGTTTGTTTGGGTTTGAAATTTTTACCAAATAATGTAAATTAATATCTACACACGCATCCACCCATAAATAATTTGTTAGTTTATTTTTAATATACCTTTATGTGAAATTGCGACTATTATTTTACCAATTATATATTAAAATTTTAATATTTATTTCACAGAAAATTTATAAACAATATAGAGATGGGTTGTTTTGCTTATTTATTTTTATTTTTCACATTATATATTACCATAGACACACCAATTTAAAAGGGATATGATCAATACATAATTAAAAATATATTAGTAAAATTAATCATAATATAATATAAATAATTATAAATTGATATTAAAATAATTGATTAATCTAACTAAAATTTAAAATATGATCAAAATATATATTATATGTCGAGAAAGTAATACTTGAATTTTCTATTAAAAATATTATATTATATTATATTGTACATGTTTTAAATATTTTTAAATAATCTGAAATACGCAGCACACAAAAACCCACAATAATATATGGTTGTTTTGGATTTATTTTGTTATAATTTGAAATTAATGTTTAATTTAAATAGTATTATAATATGTATTTTTTTTAAAAAAAAATAATACAATTTTTATTAAAAATATATAATGAAAACTAATTTGTATATTTAAAATAAAAATAAACAAACAATTTATATAAGCATTTTTTTATTTCAATAACATATAATAATAGAAAATAAAAACTTATCTATATATTAAATAATAAAAAAATAAAAAATACATATAACGTCCAAATCTAAAATTTTAAGGATAAAATAAATCCAAATTTAAAAAAAAAATAAAATTGTATCTCAACTAATAGATTGCGAATAAATGAGAATCGATTTTTTGTTCGGTAAAATAGATAATTTAGTTGAGAAATATAAAACAAAAAAAGCAAAGTAAAAATAGAAATAGAATATGCATTATTTGTTAAAAAAAGATATATAAATCATTAAAAAATGATAAATTAAATATGAAAATATTATTGTATTTTTTAGTTATATTTTTAGTTTGATAATTTATTTTAATAATAATTTAGATATAATATTTTATAAAATTTGAATAATATAAAATTACAAAAATTAAATAATAATAATAAAAAAATAAAAGAAAAACAAAAATTAAATTATAAAAATTAATTATAAAAAAAACTTTAATTTTATAAAATTAAGAGAATAAAAAATAATTTATTTTTCAATCATAAATTCTCTTATTCCAATCAAATAAAAAAAAAATAGAGATATTTTTATTTCTCTGTATCAAACAGATTATAAATTTGTCCAACAGTTGATTACTATTTGAAACCTTTTTTGATTTATTAGAAGATTTACCTCAAATTCCATGAATATACCTCAAGGGGTAGAATAGGGAATGAACACTTGACGGAATATTGCTTGTATTTTAACGGAATATTTGACGCTTATGCGAAAAGTGAACAACCCGGACAGAATATTCCTAACGGATCTATCTAGATGGAGATTAATCCAACGGCTAGGATTGACCCGCGGAAGAAAATAGCAGTTTGAATGGAGAAGATTGATTACCTTCCAGATTCACCCCAGCGTAATATTCCTTCGCATCAAATCTTTGAGATCACACTACAAACCCACGATTGCTGGGATCCATGGCGGGCACCTGCACTGTATATATATGGCCTCAAATCCCATTTCTTTGTACACACACCAGCAGTTTAATTCTGAATTTTACATTAGGTTAAAGGTAAAATTCCCCCTCCACCAATTCTCGCAATGGCAGGAATTATGGTGGTGTTCGACTTCGACAAGACGATTATCGACGTGGACAGCGACAATTGGGTTCTGGACGAGCTCGGTTTCACCGATTTGTTCAACCAGTTGCTCCCCACTATGCCGTGGAATCCGTTAATGGTGAGTCGGTTAGCGTTTCATTTTTAATTCATTTTTTCTGGTTTGGTACGAACACCGATTGTTGGTTGTGTTCTTAGTGTGGTTTGGGTATGAACGTGGATTTTGGGGAAATTGCAGGACAGGATGATGAAGGAAGTGCATAATCAAGGGAAGAGTGTGGAGGACATTAAGGAAGTTCTACGAAGGATTCCGATTCATCCACGAATCGTACCTACAATCAAGGCCGTACATTCTCTAGGGTAAGCAACGATGAACTAATTCTTCTGTTAGGTTATTTGGTTGAATTGATTCGATGATCAATAATGAATGAATGGAATGAATCAGGTGTGAGCTTCGAATAGTGAGCGATGCAAATCTGTTCTTCATCGAGACAATTCTAGAGCATTTAGGGATCGAGGATTGCTTCAGTGAAATCAACACAAATCCAGGCCATATCGACGAGCAAGGTCGGCTGAGAATCTCTCCGTACGTCGATTACCAGACGTCCCCCCATGGCTGCAACCTCGGCATCTGTCCTCCTAACATGTGCAAGGTATTACACAAAGCTCCATCCCCAAGATCGAATCATTCTTCATTCTTAGCATTATTTTATTCTAAGAATTATTCTTATCCTGACCTAACTAAACCAGAGTTGTTGACCCCACCAGATCTTCCACTAACAAATTAAAATTTTATGATGTATGAAGGGACTGATCATAGAGAGGATCCTGGCGTCGATGGCGAAGGAAGTAAGCAAGAAAAGGATGATCTATTTGGGAGATGGGAGTGGGGATTTCTGCCCGAGTTTGAAGCTGAGGGAAGGGGACATGCTGATGCCAAGGAAGAACTTCCCAGTGTGGGATTTGTTGTGCAAGAACCATGGCCTGGTGAAAGCAGAGATCCATGAATGGAAGGATGGGGCAGACATGGAGGAAATCCTAATCCAGCTTGTGGAGAAGATGAACAATTCCAATTCCAATACAGGAGGGGTTCAGAATCAGATGATGTCTGTGGTGGACTGTAAGCTTGAGAGCATCCCTGTGCCCAAGCCAAGGCATCATGAGGCTCTGCCTCCACCTCTACTCAAGGTTAACCAGTAGTAGGTAGGGTTGCTTAGTTGGTTGATTGGTTACACACTTACACACACAGACATACACACACAATCCTAGTAGTATATGCTAACCCTCTTTCTCTTCTTGCCATTGGTTCTTGTTTGTTTGTTGTTCTTGGGGCCTGGAGTTTTTGTGAAGTATGTAAGGCCATTTTTTAGGGTGTCAGGTTAGAGATGATGATATGAACTATGTATCTGAGCTTAAGGATTGATGTTTTTATTGAAGATATTGTTGCTATTACCATTGTTCTGTCATTTTTCTAAAATGACTTTTCACATTAGGGCAGCAGCTCTATGTTTGAGAAATCCATAATGATATGATGATATAATTATCAGCTGCACCTATGAAATGAAGAGGGACATCTCTACTAATTTATTTATTGAACTATTGTGACATCCTAATATGTTTATCAAAGGTAGCAAAGACTATTTTATTTATTTAGACAAATGATGTATTATTATTATTATGTGATACTTATTGTTCCTCAAACAAATGCCACAAATTTCCCAATTAAATTACAATTTTGTTTTCGAATATTAATTATTAAAGCAACTAATTTTGATTGAAATGTGGATAAATAATTCAAAATATTCCTCAATTACTATCAAGTAATAAAAAAGTGAATATAATAATAGCCTCATATAGATTATTTTTTTAGTGGCTGTCACTCTCACTCCATGCTAAACATATGTACAATATTTCTTTACATTTTTTTTTAAAAAAAAATGCGTATATTATTTTGTTTTAATTTAAATATATGCAAAATAAGATTTATGGTATGAAATTCAATAATGATGAGTGAGTGTGAAATTGGTGAGGTGTAGAATTTGTTGAAGATTGTCAGAGGGGTATTGACGTAGCTTGTGATGTGCTGATCATGGTGAAAGAGTTTTGGTGTGATTTATAGATTCAGAAATGTGAGGCTAGAAATCTTACCGCTAGAGGCCTGGGAAATTCAAGAGAGCAGAATATTTACTCGTGAAGTTTTAGTTTTGGATTTTGATCTTGAATTGAAATAGTTATTTGATATGATATAAGATATTATATTTTGAATGTAAAATTAGATTTTAGTGTAATAAAATAAATAAATAAATAATGAGTATTTAATTTGATTTTTAGAAAGAAAAAAAATTGAAATAGTAAAATCGAGAGGTAAAATTTCACAAATAAACAGAGCATTTGAGACTGTAACTTTGTATGTCTGATTCGTTCTTTGATGATTTTAAATGAAGTTGTATTGGAACCGCACGTATAGGTCATTGGTGATCGAACTGGGTTATCAATTTTCTATCTTTCATTTTTCTCCATTTATAAGTCTTACATGCTGTTTGATTGTTTTGTAAACTACCTGTAGATGAATATGTCTATATAAGTTTGTCTGAGAATATTTTGGTGATGTTCTTATTTGTTGTTCTTTTTGGTGTTGTTGCTTGATAATTGAGGGTTTTTAAAAAATTGTTGTTTGATTTTGATCGATTTTTGGGCCAACAAAATTTGTTAAAATACTATAAAACTCTCTCCGTTCATAAATTAATATTCTATTTTCTTATTTTAAAGTCCAATAACTATTATTCTATTTCTTTTTTTAAATACAAATTTTATTTATTTATTTTTTTTTCACCCTTCATTCATATATTACTTTTAATCTTTACTTTATAATAATAAATGACAAATTTGTCAATTTATACAAAAAAAAAAAAAAATTGTCAATTTATACAAAAAAAAACAATTATCTAAAAAATCGTGCAAATATTAGAAAATAAACGGATGGAGTATATTTTAGCATACAAGATATGTTTTTTTTAATTTGAATTTGAGTTTGATTTGATTTTATTTTTTGGTCTTTTGATTTAACATTAATTTGGACGTATATTTTCTTTTATAAGAAATTATGATGGTTCTATAATAAAAATTTTAAAATATTTCATTAATGCTGAAACGATCTAAATTATTTATGAACCGATAGTAGTAATAATAATAATAATAATAATAATAATCTAAGTTATGTGCTGAAGTACAATATTTAACACTAGTCTGCTGGATAATTTTGTGTAGTTTAGCAATGCATTTATTGTCTATATAAGCATTTTTAAAAATTATATTATGATTTAATAATTCTTTACATGATTTAATATATTTATAAAGTAGCTTAACAATACAATAATATTGTATTTCATGAATTCATGTTCTTTCCATTCCAATTTTTTTCTATTATTTTTAATTTGGAATATCCAAAAATCTTACAATTATTTTTTATATTTACACATAATTTTATTTTTTTTTCTTTTATCCATTTCAATACAATTTATAAAATTATAAAAAAAAGGAAAAATAGTTTTAAAAAATTACCAAAATTATACAATTTAAAATAGAGTGTAAAAGCCAAAATAGAAAGCAAAACAGTAAAATGGATGTAGCATGATTCAAACAAATTAGGCCCAACAAATTTGTTAGAGGGTTTTGGGTATCAATTTAGGCCCAACATATGAAGTGGACTATTAATCATAAATGGCCCAGAAAATAATTAAATTAAAAATAAAATAGGAATGCTAAGCCCAATACAACTTTTAAAATAAATAAAAGACAGCCCAAAAGTAGACAGAAAAGTTCAAACACAATCAAATAGATTTCTTGCAAGAAAAATGGATCCCATGGAATATGATATGCAGATGATTTAATCACAATGGAAGAACAGATTGAAGATTAATTAAGCAACAGAGCTCTAAGAAAAAATAGATAGGTAAGAAGATTAATATCATTATGTTATATTTGAGCTTCTATTTCAGTTATAAGCTAAACTTCAAGAATCAGCTTCTTCGTCTACAATTTATATAGTGTATTGTGTGTTTTGTTTTCCTTGTAAACATTAGGCCAAATTAATCAACAATGTTCATACTAATGGAAACTCTAGAGATTGAAGAAACTCTTCAGAGTCTCCAACTCTAATTAATAATATAGTACAAGTTTTGTTCACTGTACAAATAATTTCAAAGGAGTTTATATATATATGGAGCAGATGGATCTTAACAGGATAATCAAAATAGGAGAAGGAAATTGAGCTGGAAGAATATTTGATAAGAACAGTTGGATTAAAAGGTTTGGAAAAATGCTGTATAGAGTGAATAAATACACATACGATTCATACAACAAACTTCCTAAAACAAAGGATCACAATCGGGATGCACAGATAATCAAATCAAGTATTCAATCAACAACAGAGACCGTGGGAGATAAATTGGGGAAGATTAATTTGAAGTTAATTTAAGAGGAAGAAGGAGATGTAGCGCCGGCTGACCTCAATAATCCTCCGGTTTCCTCATCGACGAACAGATCGTCCGTCTTCCTCGCGGCGGCGTGGATGAGAACAACCACCACTCCGACCAGCAGCGACACCAGGATGTTGATTGTGGCGTCGGTTAGGAAGAGGACGACGAGCGTCACCAGCGACAGGACTATCAGCACCACCTGATCCGAAATCAACCGTCCGAAAACCACCAGCGGCTGGTCGCGGAGGAAGTAGAGCAGCAACCACACCGCCATCATGACGAGGAAGACGATGAGCGAGATCGGGTGCCAGAGAAGGCTGAGGAACAGAATAAACAGAACGACGATCACGTAGTTCATCCGGAAGAAGGCGACGTTCGCCTTGACTCTCTCCACCGCCTCGTGGACGGACTTCGGCAGTCCGAAGCTGTGGAGCTCCACCATCTGTCGCCAGGGGCGGCGCGTGCCGAGGCCGGCCTTCAGACGCTCCTTAGCGCGTGAGATGTACTCGAGGTCAACTCCGGCGCCCGAAGACGTGGGGATTGTGCCGTAGCTCGTCATTCTCCTGTGACGGTGATTCAGAATCGGTTAATGTGCCTGCGGATTGGTGCAGTTAAACCATTAACTACTAAGAAAGAGCGTGGAAAAAATGATGGCGGTGTAACTGAGGAACTGCAGGGAAATAATATATGTATATATATGTATCAATGCAGAGGAGTAGATGCCGGTAATGCTATGGTGCTGTGAGGTGCACTGTAACACTAACACGCTGTTTAAATAATTATTTACTATAGAATTTGAATCTCATTGGCTGTGAATTATCCAATTAAGGCTGTGTTTTGGAGGGCTTAAATAGTTGTATAATGTGATATAAACAAGTGTTTGATGTGATATTTTGAATATAAAATTAATATTTAGTATAATATAAAAAATAAAAAATAAGTGTTTGATTTGAAATTTTTTTAAGAGAAAATTTGGATGAATAGTGAAAGTTTAAAAAAGTCTTCCAAACAAACACACTTTAAATTTTATCATTTCTAATATACATATATATTACATCATTTTTAATAAATATATATTTATAAAATATTATATAGTAAATTGATGATAGCTTAATATGCTAATAAATACTAATATTTAAATAACAAAAAACATATACTTTCTCTCCTGTAAAGTTGTTATTTGGTTTTTGCGTTTGCATTAAAAATATCTTTATATTTGAATACTTTACTCTAAAAAATGTTATTGAATACTTTATCGATTTGTACTTTGATATAATAATTAATACTCCCTCCGTCCCCAATCTATTTATCAATTTTGTTTATGCACGAGATTTTAGAAATATTAGTATTATATTGGGATAAAGTAGAAATAAAGGTAAAAAGACTAAATTAACTCTATTAGTATTGTATGATACAAAGGTAATGACATTTGTGTAATATATTGTAAATTAAAAGGGTATTTGTAATGTTAGGTAGATGGTACAATTACTAAAAAAAGAAACGGATACTTTGTTATGGGACGGACCAAAATGAAAAAATGAATAAATTGTTAAGGGACGGAGATAGTATTAAAAAATTAACATGCAAACAACCAATGACAACCTTGTAGTGTGATGTTTCTTTCGGTGGTAAATAAATTGATGATAGCTTAATTATACATAAATATCCGATTGTTATTATTATTATTGTAAATAAATCAATCATAAAATAAATGAAGTGACAAAATAATCATTGTTTGGAATTAAGAATAAAAATCCCAGGTAATTACTAATTATAGACGCATTTTAGAGAGTTTTAAACTTATGAAAAAATTTAGATGTAGTAAAATATTGAATATTTGGTATAATATTTTGTAAAAATAAAATAACAATAAGGAATTTGATGTAATATTATATATACATATAATCATCCTTAATAACTAATGACAAAATTTTTAAAAAATAAGCATGAAAATAGAACATCAATTTTCTATTTCATTTTATTTAATTATTTACTATGATAGGGTTGCTCAATTATTGCACCTAAGACTAATATGAATTGTTATTCAAAACAATTTGGTGAGACCATTACCGTATAGTTACTTGTGAGCAATCATCAATTCTATTTTTATGTAATAAACAAATTAGGGTAAGATAAGATAATGTTTAAAAGATTAATGATGGAGATAGAGATTAATTTATACGAAATCACACTACATATAATTAATTAAATTCATCGGACTTTATTATTTTGATTTTGTGAAAACAACTTATAAATCATCTACAAATAATATATATTTAATCACAGTAATATGTGACTAATAACTTGTATTAAATAACACTATAATAAATTATTGAAACATATATATATATATATAAATCTCCTATCTAAACGAATTATTTATTTTCACAACACAATACATAAAATACAAAATGCTACATACCATTACCATTATGAATAGATATATTACTCACAAAATGTTTTAAAAAATAAAAACAAATTTATATAAAACTACGCATCTTTGGTACGTATTTCATACAATTTTCAATAATGAAATAAATTTATGCAAACCTTTTCATGTAAACTTTTATTCTTTCTACAATTTTTCTCCTCACGTTTTCCCAAAAATATTACTCCCTCCGTCCCATGTAATATGTGTATTACTGTAGATACGAGAATTTAAGTAAAATATAATTAGTAAGTAATTAAAAAGTATATTAATAAAACTAATTATTATTTAGTAAAAATAATTATAGAATAAGATTAAAATATGTAAATAGTTTAATTAAAATTAAGAAAATTATAAAATTTAAAATTTAAAATGCGATTAAAATGCATAATTATATTTTCAAAAATAGAAAAGACAAGTTATGTGGGACGGACGAAAATAGAAAATAGGGACAAATTACGTAGGACATAATACACTGTACACATTCATTATTTTTATATTATCTATACAATTTTCTATAACTCACGTTAAAAATTTATTTCCAAAAATCTTATTAAACAAACACACATAAAATATGGAGTATTATTATATAATATAAAATTTATTTCCAAAAATCTCACTTAAATTTCTATAAAATATGGAGTATTATTATTATTTTTTTTAAAAAAATCACATTAACAATTCTTAAAATCAAAGTAAACAATATCAAACTCTAACTAAACGAACCATTTGTATTTATTTATTTTTTATAAAATAATAATTAAATATAGTATTTTTTATGGACAATTAATATGTTTTTATAGAATTTTATAATTTGCAAAATAAAAAATTAGTTAAAATACGCTAAAATTAAACAGAGCCAATATATAACTATTATTAAATTAATATATCTTACAATTCACCTTAATTATCTTCGACGGGAAAAAAGGACAAATATAAAACAAGGTAATATTTCATGGAAAGGATGCGATATGAACTACTCACTCCGTCTCAGATACCATGTCCAAGTTACCGTTTATGTCCGTCCCACATATCATGTCACTTTCTTTTTTTGAAAAATGATTACACACTTTAATCTTATTTTAAATTTTTAAATTTTATTTTTTTTAAATTTTAATTAAACTAATTAATTATCTTAATTTTAATTTATAATTATTTATATTATAAAATATTTATTTTTACTAATATATTCTTAATTATCTACTAATTATATAGTGTCTCAGTGTAGCAGACATGATATCTTGGTCATTATTTAGTGCTTTGGAGATTCTGAAAGGGAGATATTCTATTTAACCCAAGCCGGCACGAATCTTAAGAATTATTGCACTTTTCGTATTCAATCAGTTAATAATTTTTATACTATCTCGCATTCAAAATTTTAGAAGGAACATGATTATTAAATAATTAAATATATACATACATAAATTAAAAAATTAAAAATATGAAACAAATTAAAACAACATGACGATAGAACTAAAAATATAGACCTGAAATATTCAACAGGATATTTACCCAAATAAGAAAATTCTCAAGTTATGAAATATATATATATATATCTCTATAGAACTGAAGGAGTAACTTATATGGTGTTCAGATATATTTTAGAAGTCTTCTAAAAATTTAAATAAAATTAAAAAAATAATTTTAGAATATAAATAAAGAACATTGAATATGATGTATATTAAAATAATTATTAATGAATAATATATTTAAATTCAAATTTAGATATTAAAATAAATTTCAAAATTTAAAACATTTAAATTCAAATTTAGATATTAAAATAAATTTCAAAATTTAAAACATATATGTTTTAAATTTTGAAATTTATTTTAATATCTAAATTTGAATTTAAATATTATTTCATAAAAAAATATGATCATTTAAAACTAATACTCCCGTAGTGTTATCATTTTCCTACCTAACATAATAAATATCCTTCCAACTTACACTATATTACACAAATATCATTATTTTTCTATTACACAATACTAACAAAAGCATTTTCATCTTTTTCACTACAACTCATTATAATACTAATATTAAAAATCTAAACGACAATCTTGCACCGGGACGGATGGAGCAGTACTATTTTTTATCAAAGAATATATATTTTCGTTAAAAGCAGTGCGCACCGAAAATTGTAAAATTTCGAAAGCAAACGCACCCTAAAAAGAGGCATAGTAACTATTAATGCATTTAATCATTAAATCATATGCTAATGCTGCAACCCAATCTGAGATCAGCCGTGTCTAAATAATTATTTATGTGTATTTTATATACGTGTTTCCTTGTGCACAAACACTAACAAAAACACACCCCAAGTCAATTATCTACATTACTATTCTATAATTCCATTACAAACATCACCTTAATAATGAATGATTCATTTTATTATATTATTGGTGTTATATTATTTCTTAAATTACTCAACGAAATCAACACACTAACCTTAGGATGATAAATTTTTAAAGAATGTAAAATTCAAATATAAAATAATAGCATAGTCTAGACAACTAAAAGAAAAAAACTAATAGCTTCAAATGTATTTTGCAGGCACAAATTCGACAAATGAACCATTTTCTCATAGAAGTCAACAATTCACAAATTTATCCGTTCTTTAACACTACTTTCAAATGCGATTCCCTAAAAATAATAATAAAAAATAAAAATATTTTTTTATAAAAAAATAATCAAATAATCATTATATAAAATCAAAATATTCAACTTAAAATAATATATTTTAAACTTTTGATACCATTTCTCATATCACACACAAAAATCAAATCTAAAAAGGCTGATAAACGAATTAATTTTTATATCTAAAACATAATTTTCTATATCTCACACAAAAAAAATCATTTCGAACTAAAATATTAAACAAATCCGATTCAAATACAACACCAATTTTCTATTTAAAAAGATGCATATCCAAATCACCCCAAAACACCCAGAAAAAGTTCCCATAAAAGAATAAATTAAAAAACGAAACATGTATTTACAAAATATAATAAATATCTAAAAATCCTTTTAGGAAAATAAAAAATGGAATAAAGGTAACGAACCTGAAAAGCAAAACATGGTGGCTGTGTAAAGTTGGGGCACTTTCAACTAATCCGACCGTACATAGAAATGGGCTGTTTGGGCCATTTTTTTAAAAAATGGGCCCCAAAAAGAACCCCCTTACCATGGCATGTTACTTTCACCACGTGGCTTGCTCAAAACCTGTCCCAAATTTTTTTCAAAGTAATATTTTTCATGCACAATATGACGTCAAAATATATAAATAAATAAATGCCCATAATTCAAAGCCGACTGAATATACTGTTATTATGGGCAGCAAGAAAATGCAGCACAATATATAATATAAAAAATTAAAGCAAATAATGGCAATGTCAATTACAGACAACTCAAAAAATAAAAGCAAAGGCTTTATTGTTAATAGGCAGAAAGCTGAACCACCACAAACTGTAAAAGAGACTGAAATTTGGACACAAACACACATGAGACATGGGCAATTACACTTTGAGAAGGCATGAAAGTTTTTGGAAATAATTCATGAGGAATTGATTGCCAAAGGCTATCAGGATACATAATAATCATGATTTGAAGAATAGTACTGATGTATTCGTTTAACTACAATAGAACTTAAAACAGGTACAGGATCATGTCTATCAATATATATAGATACACACATTATGGCTATACGTACACCCTTCCATCACAATGTCACCACTTCATGAAGAAGGAAGAACAGGTAATGTATTTAAACAATAAAAAGCTCATGAAAATCGAAAAGAAAAAGGAAACACTTGACCTAGAATTTTGAATACAACCATAGCTATTTTCTTCCAGGTGTAACAATAAGAGCACCTATATGGTGTGATGCAAGTGCAGTATTCTAAGGATATATATGGGTAATCAAAGTAACACAACAGTAATGATACAAAAATGTAAACAACCGAAATAAGTCATTGAGAGGGTAAAAGTAATCAAATTGGGTTTGGATGCAATTTAAAAATGCGTAATAAAAAGCATGAGAGTGCTTTGAAAGGTGGATTTTGGATTCAAAACAAATCTTTTGGTGTATAGCAAACTCTAAATCTAATTTAAGTTTAGTGGCGGTGCTATAATCCAAATTATAAGAACCGGTCCTATATAAGTGAAGTAAAAAGGTTTTGTTAAGGTTTCATGTGATAGGATATTTATTCTCAGGGTTGACTATGGATTTAAAATATGACAAAAGCAGCCGGATTCTGTAGTTTATCATAACTATAGGCACAATAATTATGGTCATTAGCATAATTGATACTGGACCTATTACCAGGAGCTTCGCGCCTATCATGCATTCAAAGTGTGCCGGAAATAATGACATGAATCAGATATCCTCGGGAGAAAGACATACCTGATGAACTTACCTTACCTTATCCCCCGGAAGATGATACTGTTAGAAGTACCCGATCCAAGCCTGCAAGAACCAGAGAGTGGAAAATTGTATTAGGGGATATATTCCTTCAAAAGGGAAACAACTTTAATGGTCGGAGAAGGAAGAATGGGATAGGGTGACAGCATGAATAAGTCATATAACAAAATATTAAAAAAAAAAAAAGGAAAAAAAGAGGAATCAATTTACAAAGTCTATACAATGGCTAGTTAACTTGATAATCCTACAAAACTCTTGTCATCTTCTCCACTACTGCAATATCCAAGGCTGCCTGTACAAATGTCACCTGGTAGAATAAAAAATCTTAAAATACCCGCAAGACTTCCACTCTAGCTTGTATCCCTCTGCCTATTCATTCCTACACAACTTCAACAGATGCCACTGAAGATATCAATTATCGCCTGTCCAAATGTCTTTATCGCTACTCCCATCCCCCCAAAATGAAAACAAGAAAAGAAATAGCAGACTTGTGCATTGATAACCTAAATCTGTTTAACTTGCTACTTCTTATCTTCAGTCTTCACAATTCCAGCCAATAGGATATGTTTCACATGCTCCTTTCAAGAAACTATCCGCAATATATCCAAAAAGAAAATCAACACGCTTAGGCATCTTTGATCACCCTATAACTGAGTTCTCAGCTTATAAGGATGCTTTATAAACTTTCAACAAGACAGCTACAACTGAGCAGGGTGAATTGAATGAACTTCATTAAGAAATTTCATTCCACTTAAGGCACAGGTAGAGAATCATCAATCATGTTTCAATCTCTAACCATCAAAAGGTAACTCAGCCTATCAAAAACCATATACTAACTTCTCCAAACAGGATGATCCTTCCAGATGTAAGTGAGCAGCAAAACTGGGGAACTTTTCGACTTCCAATTTAACATTATCATCAAATAACCTGACTCCAATAATCTCACTAGCACAATAGATCCAACTAAGCAGCAACCGATTAGAATTTTCCTTCACCAACTATCAGCGGACCATAGGCGAGCTATATATAAATGCATTATCTCCATAAATAGAAGTGATATCAATATGTGATCTACATAAACAATCTCCAGTTAAAGTTCACAGCAGGTCGCTTATATAAGAACTAACTTCAAGGACTAAAAATTAGTAGAGATCTCTTCATAGGTGCAGGCAAGAGTCAGTATATGTACACTACTGATAATTATATCATATGGATTTCGTAAACATAAAGCTGCTGCCCTAATGTGCAAATCTCAGAGTAAAAGTCAACTACACAACAGTTCGAAACCTCGGAACTACGTAAGCATGTATTTCTACATATCCTGGTGCCTAATGAAACAAATTTCTGTCATTACAAGTCAGCTGAGCCAAACTAAATTAGTCTTATTAAAAAAAAGAAATCCAAATTCTATTCCAACAGATTGAGTCATAATTTCAAGATTGCTCTACCACCAATCTTGACACTTCCAAATAAAATCAATGTGAGGAACAAGAAACTAGCAAATATAATTCTAACATCAAACTTTCAATTCAAATTCCACGTATCTTACATTAAGCAAACTAGATTTAATAACTCAATATGTATTCTAGAGGCAATTCCTGAACAAGAACAAATAAGGTGAGCGCAAGTGTGCTATGCGGAGGGCATAGTCCAAATCCAGAACACCTGAATACAAACAAAGACATAAATTGCAAACCAGTCAAGAGAGAGAGTACCTACAAAACTGGAGGGTTTTTGCCTATGAAGTGAAGTTTGCCATCATCATACAGCAGCCCACCGTCATCCTTTTCTGTTGTTCCAGGACCATGCCAAAGCACAAAGGATCTCATCTACCACAGAGGTAGCATGCCACTTTACAAAAGGTAGCATTGTAATGTACAATGAAAGCTTCAAGGGAATTTGAACTTGGCAGAGTGGTGATACTATGAGCAAACTATGTAAAGCTGAAGTACAATGAGTGGGTATGGACAAGCCTTCTGAATATAAATCCAAACTATGTCAGGCATTTCTGCAAATGGTGGGTCATAGAATGGCCTCAAGTGTGCCAAGATTCCATCTATTAATGATACATCATGGTATTGTACAAAGATAATACAGTGAAGTTCCGTATCTCCTCTTCTCCAATATCAACAAACACCTTCCCAGATGATTCTACAAAGCCATCTAGAATGCCTATAAATAAGTGATTTTATAGATGGCTTTTCCACAACCTAAACACACTCAATAAAATTTACACTCTTCTCTCAGTTTTAAGCTCCTGCAGTATAACACTAGCATATGACTCACCACCCAAATAACAACCTTCCTACTCTTTTCAGTAGCAAATTCTCCCTAGTAAAGTCTTTGGAGACCATTACAACCCCAAGTCTCAGGACAAGAACACTATGCCTCTTGAGTTGGGACACATTTATGAAGGAAGAACAGCTTGCCCAAACGTTCAATGCAACTAAATTCCTAAATCTATTGCTTACAGGGTGGGCAAAGACAGTCAGGTTTTTTACAAATCGGTACATGACAGAAGATGGGGCCAATGAAGATATGACCTAACAGATCTTGAAAAAGATACACTTGCTGTAATATCTAAATATATATATAAAAACATTAGTTAAGAGAAGAGCATATACTGAAAACTAAATGACCCCCCTCAAATCAGCGCCATATTAAACTACCCGCAAGTGAAGTCTTCACCTACTTCTGAAACTATAGAATATTTTATGGGATGGCCAAGTTGCAATCAATTGAGCTGACATACATTCAAAAGCATTGTAGTCCTGTTTCCCCAAACAACCAGTGCCACAGACAAATCCTTCAGTCACAAAACACAAACTTCTTGAATTCAAATCTAGCTTCATTCACGAAATCACAATGTATTTCTATAGATGGATCCTATCCTAGGAGCTAGCCTAAACCCCACAAACCAGCTTCAGAGATGAAATATTGAATGATCAAGAATAAGAACCATAAGGATAAGGGAGAATCAAAAGCAGGACAATAATGCTAGTAAAAAGCTGCAGCAAAGATTGTCGCTACTACGCAATTAAGTCATGCTTATAGTTAAAATGGCAAAGAGTAAAATCATAAGTTACGCCAAAAGCCATAATCTCTTCAAGTATTTAAAGACAAGCAACATAGGCACCACAGTACAGGGTATCATACGTAAGAAACCACACTTGATCCTTTTGCTCCATCAGGCAAGTGATGAATAGAACTTTTGAAGTGTCCTCATATCCATCCACATCTCAGCGACGACCCATCCGCGATTTTTCATGGCTTCCCCAGGAAGTAGAACTAGAACCATAGTTTGGGCCCTTATCTCCAGCACCCTAGAACAATGTAAAAGGTTATACAACCTAATACTGTGCGGAGCACTTCATTATGATCACACACAAAGTCCTGAAAGCATTTGAAATATCAGCATTCACACCTGACGAGCTCCATATCCACTTGCATAAGGAATAGGAAAATTGGCATCCGGATTGCTAAATGCCACCCCGCCATAAGGACCACCTAACACTCAAATAGAATATGATTGAGGTAATGTGATTACATGGACAAATATAGAAACCCTGAAAGCAGACAGAATAAGAGTGAGACCTGCATTCCAAGCCCTAGCACCAAAATTAGTAATCTCAGAACGAAGCTTCTCAACTTCACGAGCCATATTAATCATGTTTTTCTCCATTGATTGTCTCTGCTCCAATAATTCAATATTTGCATTCTTTTCATAGTCAATGGCAGCTCTGGGTATCCAAAGATTAGCATGCACAGATCAGGAGGTAAATCTATTATACTAGATTATTCAGAAATCAAAATGCACAAATACATGGAAAAACTGCCAGAACAAACCTGGTTCGCAGAAGTTCTTGATGTAACCCATCATTCTCATTCTTCAAAGCAGGAATCCTCTGGTTATCAGCCCTCAACTTTGCAAGGTCTTGAGAAAATGTCTGAACTTGGCCAGATAGGTCTTGCCTGATGGCATTCAGCCTTTGAACCTCGGCTCGGAGGTGAGCAACCTCATTTTTAACTGGTTCATTTGCACGAAGCTCAGCTTCCAACTTCATAACTCGGTCAATAAGCTCCCTGGATTGGAGTTCTTGGTCGGCACGCATATCAGCAACTGCAATATTCATGCGTCGCAACTCTTCCTTTGCAGCAGTCAACTCTCGCTCCAAAGCAATTCGATCCTCAACCAATCTCCGATTCTCTCCTATAAGTCTACGAATCTCGACATGCCGAATTTCAAGTTCTTCCTCTAATACGGCAGGGTGAGGAGGAATGGGATGGGGCAAAGGACCTCGAGCAACAGGTCCTTCTGGGGGATAACCACGACGGTGATCAAAAGCTTCACGAGCAACTCGATTTCTTCCTGCCATCTCAACTGAAAAATACAAAAGAATATTGTAAATATTCATACAGATGGAACAAAAACAGAAAGAGAGTTTCAGCAGCAATTTCTTGACAAATGAATGAGCTTAAAACCTATGCTAACTCTTGTATCATACTCTGATCATTTAGTATTTGCTTCTTCATCACATTTATGAAAATTTCACATATTGAGGAAATTAACTGAAACTTTTTTGAAGAAAGCACAAGCATTTTATTACAAAGACAGCATGAGATAGTTACATCTCAATTGAGAAATACATTATGACAAAAAGTGGGGGAAAAAAAACTAGAAATCTGCAACTCTATAACCTCAGCAAAGATAATTCAACACCACAATTCTATTCAACAATGCCATTATTTAATTAAAAATAAGAAAACCGCATCACTGAATTTGTAATGCAGAAACAAAGATGCAATTGGAGCATTCATAAACACCTGAAAAAACACCATTATGCTTTTCTACTTTAAAATTTAGATAAAAAAATTTGCTGAAGCAAAGACTTTGAACACTAAAATTTAAGTTGTTGATGAGAATCTAGAAGCCGTTTAAGGTTCTATTAAACTACCTTAAAGTGTAATTAATAGAACTCGGCTTATTATATTTTTCAATAAATTTATAATTAATTCAAATACTCAAAATAATCTTTGGAAAACCACTTTCTTTAATAATCTATGGTAAAAGCATAAAATAGAAGCTAATCATGGAACTTCCTTTTTGCAAAACATCCATGGTTTATTTCTCCTTTTGCCTTTCATTCCAATTCGTGTACACTTCTAACAAATTTCTCATCCCTGGAGAATCACTTATAAAATATGAATCACACAATTGTCTACTGGTCTGCAGATCATTTGAAAGACCAAGTAAGCCGAGAGAACAGTCAGGTTCATTTCAATGTTAAAAGATATCTCCTTCATGGAATGGGACTGGGCTTTTTATATATTTTGTGCGAACAACAAATAGAACTGAGTAATGCGCCTTCTGCAAAATATAGATTAAAAAATTCCAGAATAGGTTCAGCTGATCTTATCTCATCCCTGTGAAGCTACCAAGACTTTAAGAAATAGCTGAACTGCAGCCAATTATGTAAAGTATGTAACTCAGAATTTTATAGACTTTGGCAGCCAGAATATTACTCTCAAACATTGTCTGTATTACTAAGATCAGAAAAAAAATGAACTCAAACAAAAACAATACTATTCCCAGTGGAATGCACTTACATTCTATTGCGATTGTGAGGTATGCAACTTAGATTTTTATGAACTTGGGTACAGACAAGAGTCTAGCTACCGTAAGATGGAAAAGATCACAACAGTCTTGGCATAATTAGAAGAGCATACAGAAGTAATATGATCTGAATTCTGGAGTGTGGGCATATGATCCAAATGATTCTCCAATTCTTAATTCATTTTTCCTTTTTATGAAAAAACCCTTCAAAGCCCACACTGATAGAAACTACATGCTGTTATGACCGCATTGAAACCATGAATGCATAAAGAAAACGCCACATACAAAACAGAACAATAAAGCGAATACCAGAAAATTTCACCATCAAGAAGTTCAGCTGAATCACATCGGCAAAAAAAAAGGAATTTCAAAACTTCATTCAGAAGCACAAACAGGACAATACGTGAAATATATATTCCTTCATCGTCAGTAAGATCAAACAATAACAACAATTTCCAAACTACACCGAATTCACGAATTCTCGACACTAACTCAATCAAAACATGAACTCTCAATAATAACTACAATTGAAAAAATATCTCATGTCGCAAGGAAAAAAAACATACAACAAAGCCAAAAGAACGAGCAATCCTCCTCCTCGGACTTCCACAGCGCAAATTCTAACAACAGTCATACCAAAATTGAAAGGAAAAATGAATTTTATAGCTTAATTCAGTCCTTGTACCCTTCAGGGACGAAGATATCGGCGATGCAGCGTCGGAGCACCGGCGAAAAAACTGACACACACCGCTCGATAGGGTTTGGTTAATTAAATATATTCGGCAGAAAATAGAAATAGAATCAGAGCCGAAGGGCATATACATAGTGGCCCCTGACCTCGCCATTTAATTCTATTTTAATCCCTCAATTTTTGTTTTATATACTTTAGCCCCCATCAAAAGTTAGCAGTTATATAGGCGTATTGTTTTGTTAGGATGTTTGCCTGTGGATTTTAATGTTAAAATTTTAAACAATACTGTAATATTTTTTCTGTCTTGTAATTTTGTGTTCAAATTTTTTTTATACGAATATTAATGTATGAGATTTTAATTGAAATTTTTTTATATTTTTACTTTTTATAGTAAAAAAAATAAAAAGTAATATATTTTTATTAAAAGAACATAAAAATATATATATTTTTTAAAAAAGTAAAAAGTAAACACAGATACTGAAAAAAAAAAAAAATTTCAACCTAAATAGTTATTCATGCCAATAAATATCCAATAAATATAAAAAATTCTTTAGCATAATATAAACAAATAAAACATAAATATTTAATTTAATATTAATATTTTTTTAACTAAAAACATAAATTAAAATTTTAACTATTTGTTGTTTAAAACATTAAAAAAATATTTTTATACCTAAAATATGTATCAATATTTATTTATTTATATAATAAATAACTGTTTTAATTTGAAAATAACATAATAGTTGCATTTAAATATTTGTTTTATTTGAGTTAGGATTTTTTTTAATGTAGTTAGATTACTGTTAATTGAAACAAGGTATTATTTGTCTAATCACCATATACTAACATCCCTCCATTCAAATAGTTCATTGTATTTGCACTATAGTTTTAACAATGCATCCTCTATTCATGTTTCAACATATTTTACTTGTTGTAAAGGAACCTATTTGATAACACAATTCTAAAATAAAACTAAGAACATCATCAAACCAGCACTTTAGTTAAACGTGATAGAAAAATTGATCATGAATTAGCTTAATACAAAACTGAATAAAATTCTATATTCTAAGAGAGGAAAATTACCGAACAATCGAAACTCATAGGTCGACTATAGAAGTGGCTCTGATGAAGTGCTTGAGAAGAGCTTTCTCTTCGTCAATCCGCCTTTTCTCTTCATCATCTCTCGGCTTCAATTTCCTCCTTTCTTCTAACATCCATTTAAACAGTTCGCGCTGTTTATCCTCGGGAACTCTTGTTTGTTGTAAGGATTCTGTGATGAGTGGAGGATTTGGCGAGGACATTATTGTTTTATCAGAGGCTGCAGTGGAGTCATCCTGTGTGTCTGATTCTAACTTGCCTGGATTGCACATTCTGGTAATAAGAACATATGCTGCACAAAAAATGTGATTTCTCAGGAAAAAACACAAGAAATGAAGGATGAAAGTTCTTTGTAGTTGTATAGACATTCAAAGCCAGCAAACGTATTCGTCCGTCAAATGGATATGAAGATAAAAAATACAGAGACAGAAGATCATACGCAACTCGAATGGTCATTTATGCACAACTCCGCAATACCAACTAGTTCGGAGACAAAAAAAAAAAAAAACCAGCAAAGATATTGAAATTAACATCATAAGCAACAGGAGATTATTGTAACGGCTGAATTAATGAGTGCCAACACAAATGAGGCGCGATGTTGCCTAAGCAAAAGATTTATGTCAAATGTGATTTTTTCTGCCATTACTGATAAATGATTGTGGCAAGAGTAAGTGTTCACAAGCAAAAAAGCGACAAGTTGTTGCACAGAAACACGTCTAAACACATGGATATACTTCTTTGGCATAAATTGAATGGAGTAAACATGGTCAATTCAATATTGTTTACCGAAAAGGGTAAACATGCTCAATACAAGACATAAAACTAGCAATTGTATACGTGAATCATAAACTAAAAGCAGTTGAGCTGATTTGATATTGAGGCAAATAAGAGCATCAGAGTCGGAGCTTTGGGCATAGTAGTAAGTTCCTTCGATTGTAATAACAGTGAAGTCTCAAACTAGAACATGTCACTTTGTTATAATTGGATTTTCATCATCTTGTTGTGGTGCTTCAAACTTTTTGCAAATGATTGTGGCCATCTATTGCACATACTCTTCATCTTCACTAGGATAAATTAAGGTTGGTGCTTCAATTGGCAAACATATGTTCATTTGTTGGGTTCAATCTTGCAAACATCAACTCTTCTTGTTCTTAATTTTACGTTTTGTTAGCTTTAGCCTTTGTAACACCAAAGCTTACCCGATTCCCATCAAGCCTTCTTTCTCCTGTGATTAGAGATCGATTAGCACGTTTTTTATTGAGCACACTTAAATATATACTTTGTGAAGCTGATGTATTCATAACTTCTGCACAATCTTGACATTCTATAGTTGCATAAAGAGTGAAAGCAGAGTGTATCTTGTTCTAGTGATTATCCTCCAGTCATCTTCACTTTTCTCATTTTCGGATTTTCTACTTAAACCTTTTGTGTTATAGTTTCTGCTTGGTTTGATTTCTTGATAAGTTTTGGGTGCAAGTTCATCTAATTCCCCTCCACTAATGGAAAATAACCCTACAATCATCGTAAGAAGTACTAGGCACCAAGAGAGAAACATCAATCAAGACAGCTGAAAGCAGGATACAAAGTGAAGCTATGCTACGCACAACTCACAAAAGGCGAATCTAACGAAGCATGCATATTTTGTATAGTCAGTGTTGAAATGAGCAGGTGAGAAGAAATTTGCAAACCTGAAAGGCCGATATTGCCAACCAATAAAAGAGGCCAGACATAGTTCCGAATGAACGATCTAATCAGACGCCAACGACTTGTAGGCGGCGGAAATGCTTGAGACCGCGGCGGCGGTGGCGGAGGAGGAGCAGCTCCTAAAGACGACGACGACGCAGCTGTGGTTGGTACCGACGCCTTCTGCATCGCTATCACAATATGAAAATGATTACAGTAGAGTAACCGGCTAACCGCATACTGATCAACAATGGTAACCACTGGCTGCCGAAATTTTACACCAAACAACAGTAATGGCAAAAATCAAAATCGGAAACTGTGAAATCTTCTTCCTTGACTTACATTTTCTTCGTTTGTTGGAAAAGAGCTTAGAGTCTTCTCCGCTCATCGTCGACCTTCTTCCAATGTTCAGCTTCCGTTCGTCTTCTCAGACCAACGTCGCTCTCCTCCCTTCGTCGCCGATTTCGTCAGCCATGTCGATCAGGGTTTTGCGAGGCTACGACGTCGTTTGGTAGAATGAAAATCGCGTTTTTAATTGTTTTAGTAAAATCTGAAAAATGCGCTATTACGTTTTTTTTTCGTTAAAAGCGCGCTTTACTTAAACTGCAGAGATAGAAAATTGCCGCTGTCGCGGAGGGCTATCGGAAAAATCCAATGGCAACGGCGCTTCGCTTATCGCCGCTCTGCTCCGCCGTGAGAGCTTCGTCTATCGACACTGAACAGAGACTCCCTTACAATCGGCAACGAACATATCCCAAAAAGCAAGAGGCCTTAACGGCGGTACCAGCATCTTCTTCAGCCATCCAGCTTGATAAGTCTGCGGCTAGAATTTCCATACCCGACCTTCTTAGACGAGACATTTCTAAAACTACTGAAGGTAATGGTCAAGTCTAATTAAGAATTGCCTTTAGTTTCAACGTGTGCCGTTTTGTACTTGTTTTCTGTAGTTATTGACAATTTGTGATATTTTTTGACATGGGTTTGAAAGAGCTGCTGTAACTTGTATTGCATCCTTGATGTGGGAATTCACACACACACATGTTTATATATATATATATATATATTTTCTGTAATATGTTTTTTGTGTTGATATAGCGGAATTAGCTGGCTCGTATTTGGGGTATGAAACATGGGTGCCCAGTCCACCGAAAGTAGAGAAGCCTCGGTCTGTGTTGAATCCTGCATCACTTGCTTACATTGGTGACTGCATTTACGAGGTGCACATGATTCCTTTTTGTGTTATCAAGTAATCAGCTAGAAGTAGGGTATCTAGGTTCTCTATTGGTATACTTAGTGTAAAATATGTTTTGTCTAGTGAATTGCTACATGTATCTCATCAGTTCCTTAGTATCTGAGAAGCATTAGATTTTAGTTAATTATATTTTGATCACTTGACAAGAAGTTCTCCAATTGGCACTGTAGAGTTAGGTTTTTTTTTTTTTTTTTTTTTTTTTTTACTTTATTAAGTGCTTGTTAACTGCTGACAGAGACTTAATTCCTGTCCAATAAGAATTTGGTTTATGTTATGCAATGGATAGAGGACGTATACCCTCAACAAGTTACAGATAATCCACAACGAAGGAAATCAAACAACTGTCGTGGCTATCTATATTATTTCATAGTTGTCTGGACATTTTTGAAGACCTCATATATTGCCCTGTCTTTGAACATGCAATCAAATACTTCTCTTTTCTAGTATCTCATCAGTTAGATACAGCTATATGCACGCAGGCACTTTTTGTTTCCACCACTAAATATTGAAGAATTCAACGATCGTGTGATGGCTGTCGTACGTTGTGAGGCCCAGGTACTACCATTGGCCCATGAATGTGTTTATTTTATTAAAGACAATACTTCAATGGTTGTTGATAAATTATGGGTTAAGTAAGTTTTATCAGCTTTTACATTTGGATCAGTTGTGCATCTACAAACATCTTTCTACCTTGGAATTTTCTTATCGTTTTCATTTCTAACACCTTTTGTGGTGTCATCAGCCTTGTCCAGTTTCATCAAAATTTGGTTAAACTTTTGGCTTTTCATAAATAAAAATTGAATCAACACTGTATTAATGTATTTGGCTATTCAGTTAATCATCTTGTAAATATGTTGGGATTCTTTCCAATGGTAGTTTTATGCGTACTTTTTATATTTTTTACTACCTAGAATGATGCCTCTTAGTTATTGGTCATGTTTCAGCATACACTATCTTTGATGTTATTATTAAATGACTGATTCCATTTTTAAGAAGCATACTCCTTGATCCATTTGCTGCCATTAAGATAATCAAATTACCTGAATGCATGGTTAAAAGTTCACAAATATGCACTTAATATCTATCATCTCAAATCGTAAATTGATAGAGAACCAAATCTCTGATTTGATGTTTCAGGATGCAATGCTGCAGAAGCTAATGAATGAAAAGTTCTTAACCCAAGAGGAGAGGTTTGTGGTTTATTGATCAAAACTTTATTTTTTCTTTTGCTTGTATGATTAATTTGTGAACAATTTGTCACTGAGACAGAAGCTAAGTACCATTCCATCTAAAAGTTAGGGATACTAATCTGTGTGTCGTTTAATTTGGGTAAAAACAATATTCTCTAGCTAATGAATATGTGCCAATTTGTTTGTTTGTTTATATGTATATTATAAATTTTTATTAGTATTGCTTTTGGTTTATAGTTGAGTCCAATTATTCTTGAATTTGTTTGCAAGACACTGGTTAAGAGGCCTTACTTTAGCCGCTCATCATCTATAACTATTGGCATTTGGGATTGGAAGCCCAGTTAACTGAAAGGAAAGTGTTGAGCACAAAAAATAATAATAATAATAATAATAATAAGTAATGGCAGTAGAATTTTGGATGGGTCTAGATATAAGCTAAAAGTCGGGAAAAAGAAGTCAGACAAGGAAGCATGATCGGCCGATATGGAGGTCGGACAGGACAAGGTCGGGCACAGGGCTCGGGCGTGATAAGGTCGGGCAAAGCAGAAGTATCGGCGGACGCGGAGGTCTATCAAGACGAAGGTCGGGCAAGAAAGAAGTATGGACAGATGCGGAGGTCTGTCAAGAGGACAGTCTGTTCATCCAAGGAGGTAAGGCAAATAGAGCCGGTCGGTTGCTCTGTGGTCGGGACCACAGTTGGTTGGTCTACAGTCGGGACCGAGGTCGGTTGGACCGTGGTCGGGACCACAGTCGGTTGGTCTGCGGTCGATTGGTGCTTAGTTGGTTAAATAGGTCGGATGGTCCAAAGTCGGTTGAACAGGTCGGGCGGTCCGCAGTCGGTTGAGTCGGACGACACGGAGGTCGATTGATGCGGAATTTGGACCAAGTGAGGTCGGGCGAAGAAGAATGAGACGGACGATACATGGTTGGACAAGAGACCAGATGGTGGTCGCTTGATGGGGCGGCTAAGGAATCGTTTGGTCTAGCGACCAGTTAGTCTCTGAACTGGTCGGGTGGCACATAGGTCGGGCGAAACGAAGTCGGGCAAGAAGGGACATGGCAGCGGGTATGCAGGTCGGACGAAAGGCAATTCTGGGGCGGTTGGAGGAAGTTGCAACCGGCGAACGGTTGAAGGAAGTTGCAACACGTGTCAACAGAGGAGAACTTGGTGAACGGTTGACAGCAGTTGCTTAACCGACCAAATGGTGGTTCAAACCCCTTCTTTAAGGGGTTTAAGGATCCAGTGCTGTTCAAAAAAAGACATCTTCAATCGACAAAAATTCAAGAGAATTGCTTTTGGGGATCACCACTTTATTTTCCAGTTTTTTATTTTATTTTATATATTCTACGGTGTTTAGAGATTCCTAATCTCATGCATTCATCTATCAAATTTGAAGATATTTCTCTATTTTCGGATTTTACTTTTTATTGTTGAAAAAACACATCAACAGAAAGATAATGGTGTTTTCGTTGCATCTGAGTGAACTATCATGTTTTTTTTTTTTTTTTTTTCTCCTGAGTTGTTGATTCCAGTTGTACTCATGGTCCTTGATACTTCCAACTTACATAGAACAGTGCTAATTTTTTGGATTTGTGCCAAATTAAACAATGGCGGATTTAATCATTTGGTCCATTTTCTTGAGCAATGGCTTCATTGAGTCTAATCATCTCTATCAGAAGGTGATTGGCATGAACACTATACATCCTGCCTTTTTGTTCATTGTGGTGCAATCTTATAGCTAAGTTTTCCATATCATATCATGAATTTTTCATCTATGCATGCATTTGGTAATTAGGGATGTCCTTAGGTGGGGGAAAAACATTGGTTCTTCCAAAACAAGGACAAAGAAGCGAGCAGGTGTAGCAGTTTACAACAGAGCATCTTCTCTGGAGACACTTGTAAGTTATTGCACATTCACTACATTGCCCTTCTACTTTTCACTAATGACAAAATTTGGATTGGTACCTATTTCATCGAGTGTTTATTCTCTTTCTCCAAGACCAGATTTTAGTGAACATAGGTTTCTATTGTTTTTCTAAACATCTATATTGACAAGAAACATTGAATATACTGTAATCGTAATTATTGCTGTTCTTGTAGAAAAGATTGTCAGTGTTCATTAATCACACTATTGCGGGAATATTCTCTTAGTAATTGCTTCCAAATTGTGTTTGGAGGTGTGAAAGGGAAAATATATGAAATTAAACGTTTACAGTTGTCCCATACTTTCATAGTAATATGCAATATATCTATTGAGTCAAGCATAACCTAGTTACAATATAACTTGCTTATATTTGTTCTCTTTCATTTTGATTATGGTATCTACCTTTGAAATCAAATGGAGGAATCTCTTTGTTCTAAAACATGTACTCTTCATGTAAATCTTCCATACACCAATATAATGAAATTAAGTTCTTGGGTGAAATTTCCTAATGAGGTTCCACAGGTAGCAGATTCATGGGATCCTTAGGCTTTTGCTATTTAACTTTTATACTTTCTGTGCCAGAGTGGTGAAGTGCAATAATACCACTTTTCTCTATGTCCGTGAATCTTTACAACAATTGATTGTTAAAATGATTGTATTTAATTATTGTCACTATGAGAGCAATTGATGTCATAAAATATTGAGGTAGTTTCTCTTTGGCAGAAAATAACCCATTGGCTTGTAATCCATCTTATAGGTTGGTTATTTGTACCTTACAAATGTTCACCGGCTTAACGAGATCATGGAAAAAATAGGGTTCTCAACTGATATTTCTACCTCCTTGGAACAAGTGTCTTAAATAAGGTTTGAAGATTTATCCCCCAGAAATGACTGGGCTTGCCAAAGAAAATATCTCGATGAGGTAATAGAAAAACCATTGTTATATTGATGATGATAACGATTGGCCAGAACTTTCATTGGCGATTGGATAAAATAGAATATCGATTCTCACTTCCAACATTTTACTCTCAGGCCTTTGCCCGGTCACTTGCATTGCCAGAATATACAAAATTCGAGAGAATGTAATCCTTGATCAATTAAAGAGAGCAAGCACTCCAAGGTTAGTCATGTGAGCCTATTATGCATTGTTATGTTATACAAATTTGTATTCAAGAGTGATTTATTTGGATCACAGGTCTGTTACTTTCATGGTAGCTATTTAAAAAACAGCAATCATCACTTCAATGCTTGAAGCCATATATGCATTTAATGTAGCTGCCCGAAACTTTAAATTTCAAGGGGTTGGCCCCCCTATTAGTATCTTTCTTTCTTACATGCTGAAGCACACTTTTATCAATGCATGTGTGATGGTAATAATTAGAGGTAGCTGGGCATGTATGCATGACCAATTTGACAATTTGCTCTTGGCCCCATATCAACAAACACACAACAAGAATTTGAGGACAGATGTATGCACAGTAGAAACTGCCGTGTACTAGACACAATGAACAGTGAAGGGTTAGTTGTCATAAAGTTAGGATGAGAATTGATGCTAAAGTAGATAGTTTTAGTGTTTTTATAGCAAGGAATATAAGTAGAAATATCTTAGTTCTAATCTTGTGGGTAATAACTAAATAGTTGCGTCGGGGTCCAAGTTTTCAACTTGATAAGCCCCGATTTGGGCTCATTGTTAAGGCGATAAATGAGTTGAGCTTGAGTTCGAGAAATGCTTTATATAAAAACTGCATTATTTTCAAATGAGCTGTCTTGGCTCATCATTAATTGACTAACCCCACCCCACCCCCACCTCCAGTTATAACAAGAATAGAATGCACTTATTCAGGTATAATGATGTGTTAATCCTTCCTTCTATAAATATGTTAATGTAATCTAAGTGTAAGAAAGAGAATGCAAGAAGGTGTATGCAATGATGCCTGTAAGAACTCCAACACAAATGGCAGACTTCACCTAATCCACATGTGTATGCACATATAGGTATATATTTGTATCTAAAGAAAATGAAAGAAATCTGAGTCCAACAGCTCTGGACATGTGTACAGTTATGTGTTTTCGTGTTCATATATATATATGTGCCTATCTGTCACCAAGATATGGATAACTCATCGATGAAAATGCCCATCTGTCCCAAAGATTTGGATAATTTTATTGATCATCATCATCATTATGCATGCATCATTTCGCGCTCAAAGATTTGTTATATATATATATTTATGTAAAAACTTTTTGGAATCATCTTGGGGTTTCAAGCATGCTTAAGTTGTAAGTAAGCATTTGGAATTTGGTGAGAGATGGTGATTTGCTAAATGGTTTATAATCTGTCATTCTTTTCGTTTGATGATCCATATGCTTGTCTCCTTCAAAAAGCAAAGGCTCCGTTTAATAAAATATAATAGTTAAATGAATAAACGATACAAAGAATAATAATGACGAATAAGACAAATTTAATTTTAGGGTTTGATGGAACATACTTATAGTTAAATGATTTAATGTGATTATATTTAATCTAGTACATTTGTATATGATTAGGAAAAACACATTAAATTTATTATTATTAAAATATTAGTATAAAATTTATTATTAAAACATTTGATTAAAACATATATTAATCACCGAAGATACCTTCACACGCGCTCCTCAATGACGTGAATCTGATTCACACTAATGATCGGCTATACTTGGAGCGTGTACGCCACGCTCTACGGTGCAAGCGGGCTTGAAACCCTTTAGACAAGCAGACTTCAACACTTCACAGGTCAAAGAATTCGACCGACAGTAAATATGTGATGTATAATTTGACTATAGTGAGACTTTAGTCTGTAGAGCATCTTTGTACATTTAACGCATTAATTATTACCCTCTCTCTCTCTCACTGCAAATAAATTAACGCGTTGAGGAACAGTGAAAAGAGCGAGAGAGAAGCAGCTTTCATGAACACCCAAACGTGCCTTTATTAATTATATTTTGCAATTTGTTTTTAGCAAAATGAGAGTAGCTTTTTCCATAAGAGAAACAAGACAGAGAAACCCTCCATTCTTTTTATTAAAAAGAATGCAATTTGGGGCTCGACATTCGGTGGGGGAATCGAAGCCCTCACAATTGGTCCCACTTTCACACTCAAGAAATCGAACCACCCAATTCCTCTCTTGCTCCCTTTTCAAACTCCCCAAATATTTTAAAGGGTTCTTCTCACTCTTCTTCTCACTCCCCCGTAATTTATCCATCATCAATTCGATTAGTAGTATAATAAATAAAAGGGAGGAGGAGAAGGGAAGCCAAGTCCTCACAGCTGGTGCCCTTCTTGTTTTCTTGGCATGTTTGCTCTCTAAAGTTTGGATCTTTTTTCAGTTCCCACTCTCTCTCTCATTCTAAGTGAAAGAAGAGTCGAATAAAGTGTGGAGGGGAATCTAAGTGTAGATATAGATTGCAGCATATTAGTGGGGAGGTGGGATAAGAAACGCCATTGGGCGATTCTAAAGTTCTTTACAGTTTTTTGAAGAGTATTTTTTGCAGCAGCAATGTACAATGGATTGTTGCTTGTGGTGGCCTTATTGTTCTTCAGCTGCTGGATTTCTTGCGGGGAAGGCTCTGTTACATACGATTCCAAGGCTATTTTAGTTAATGGGCAGAGGAAGATTCTTATTTCTGGATCCATTCATTACCCCAGGAGCACACCTGAGGTATGAAATCATTGTTTTCTTGGTTTCTTGAAGATTCTTAGTTTTTGAGAAATTTAAGGGATGTTGATATGTTTCTTGCATCTTGGTGTTGTTAGATGTGGCCAGATCTTATCCAGAAGGCAAAAGAAGGGGGCCTAGATGTCATCCAGACCTATGTTTTTTGGAATGGACATGAACCTGAGCCTGGGAAGGTCAGTTTGATGCCTGGAAATCTTTATTCTTTTTTTTCAAGATTTTGTTTGTAATTCAAGATTCATTCCAAGTCTATTTGAGTTTATTCTAGATGGAGCGTTATTGGAAAATTATAAAATTTGCATCATTTGTTGGGCTTTTTCCACATTTGTTGGCATATTTGGTAATATTCTTGGATAGTGCTTGTGCAGTATTATTTTGAAGATAGGTATGATTTGGTGAAGTTCATTAAGCTGGTGCAGAAAGCTGGGCTTTATGTGCATCTAAGAATTGGTCCTTATGCTTGTGCTGAATGGAATTTTGGGTAATAATATGTCAATGCACATTGATTGATGCTATTTGAAGTCTATTTAGTGTTGAAATTAGTAAGTTTTTATTGCTTTCGATTCCAGGGGTTTTCCGGTTTGGCTTAAGTATGTACCCGGGATTAGTTTCAGGACAAACAATGGCCCTTTCAAGGTTAGTTTCGAGCATATTTTTTACAGAGATTTTTCCCAAATCATTGTTTTTGTAACGCTTGAATTGCTTTGAACACAAGGCCGCCATGCGAAAATTCACGACCAAGATTGTGAGGATGATGAAAAATGAGAAGCTCTACGAAACTCAGGGCGGTCCGATCATATTATCTCAGGTTTTTTTTCCATGATTTATGTTGTCTTACAATCTATAGAATGGTTGTCGTTGGGGGGATTTGCTTATATGCCTCGAGTTCTGTTTTTGTGCGATAGGTTGAGAACGAGTATGGTCCGATGGAATATGAGATTGGTGCGCCTGCCCGAGCTTACACCGAATGGGCAGCAAAAATGGCGGTGGGGCTTGACACTGGTGTCCCGTGGGTCATGTGCAAGCAAGATGATGCTCCCGATCCTGTTGTAAGCTTTTCGTTTGTGTAAAATGTCGGTGTGTAATTCTAGTTGTCAAAAATTGAGTATCGTCGTGGTTCGTTCTTGCAGATTAATACCTGTAATGGCTTTTACTGTGACTATTTCTCTCCGAACAAGGCTTATAAACCGAAAATGTGGACTGAAGCATGGACTGGCTGGTATGTTCCAAACCCATTTTTTTTTCAATGTTTTTGCATCTTTCAATTTTCAAAGAAGCCATCTTCGATTCCTCTGGTATTTTATTAACTCATCTTTCGATAGGTTTACTGAGTTTGGAGGTCCGGTACCGTATCGACCAGCTGAAGATTTAGCATTCTCGGTCGCCAAGTTTATTCAAAAGGGAGGATCCTACATCAACTATTACATGGTAAACCGATTGTTTCCGAAATTCCCAAGTAAATGTAATTTGAAACAGAATTGTCTGAACCCCATTTTATCGACAGTTCCACGGAGGAACGAACTTTGGCAGGACTGCAGGTGGTCCGTTTATTGCAACAAGTTATGACTATGATGCACCTCTTGATGAATACGGTAAGCACACTGGACTAGTTTTCCTTCCCTTTCTTTTCATTTTTTTCATTTTTCTTTTGGTAGTGAAGTTTGCATTTTATTCGGCACATAGGATTACTCCGGCAGCCAAAATGGGGTCATTTGAAAGATTTGCATAGAGCAATCAAGCTATGCGAGCCGGCTCTCGTGTCTGGAGATTCTTCCGTTATGCCCCTTGGAAACTACCAAGAGGTTCGGCTTACTTACCTCTCTTGCATTGCTCATAATGAAAAGTGAAGCTGAATTTGAATCTTCCGGAGTTGCTGTTGTTATTACAATGTAGGCTCGTGTTTTCAAATCAAGGGATGGATCTTGTGCTGCTTTTCTCGCAAATTACAATCAGCATTCGTTTGCAAAGGTGCCGTTTGGGAATATGCATTATAACTTGCCTCCGTGGTCCATCAGCATCCTTCCCGACTGCAAGAACACCGTCTACAACACAGCTAGGGTAAGAAAAGATTTTCTTTTGTTTTGTAATGGATTCTTGACTTATCATTCGACTTTCCTTATGAAGATTGGCGCTCAAAGTGCGCAAATGAAGATGACAACTGTCGGGAGTGACTTCTCTTGGCAGTCGTACAATGAAGAGACAGCAGCAAACGATGATCATGCATTTATGACAGTTGGATTGGTCGAGCAGATTAATATCACCCGAGATCGTACCGACTATTTGTGGTACACAACAGAGTAAGTGTTACCGATGAATTTGACTCGGCCGTGCCTTTAACGTTTACCATATTTACGCCTTTTCTCTCCCTCCGGTTTCTATTATTTAGCGTTGAGATCGATCCTAGTGAAGGATTTATGAGAGGCGGGAGCTGGCCCGTTCTTACAGTGTTGTCCGCAGGACATGCCTTACATGTATTCATCAACGGGCAACTCTCTGGTAAGGAATCTGTATCTTATATAGCTTTCGAATAACTCACATTTGATGGAAAATTGACGCTAAATCCAAACTATTTGAAAATTTTTGTTTCTTGAAGGAACTGCATACGGAAGTTTAGAAAATCCTCGGCTTACATTCAGTGAAGGTGTTTATCTAAAGGCTGGTGTGAACCATATTGCACTTCTCAGCATCGCCGTTGGCCTCCCGGTTCGTCTTCTTTGCCTTGAATCATTATTCTTTAGTTTCACTTTGATCGTATTCGTAGAATTCACCTTTTATGTTTTTATACACGAGCTTAGAACGTCGGTCCGCATTTTGAAACATGGAATGCTGGTATTCTTGGCCCCGTTTCGCTCGGTGGCCTCAACGAGGGGAGACGGGACTTGACATGGCAAAAATGGTATTACAAGGTTAGTTCATGAAGGAGACATCCAAAAACTCGATTGCCTACTCTGTTCGTTTTTATCGATTTTCGACGCTATTCCCGACAGGTTGGTCTTAAAGGTGAGTCGCTGAGCCTTCATTCGCTGAGCGGAAGTTCTTCCGTAGAATGGGTTGAAGGATTGGACGTAAGCGAAAGGCAACCGTTGACATGGTACAAGGTGAGTGTACATCTTTTCTTGCTCGATCTCACATCTTGAACGGAAAATTCTAATCTGAGAAACGTCTGATCATTTCCCAGACGACGTTCAATGCTCCGGACGGAGACGAGCCTTTGGCCCTTGACATGAACACGATGAGCAAAGGCCAGATATGGATCAACGGGCACAGCGTCGGACGGTATTGGAATCAGTACAAAGCATCCGGCGGCTGCGGCGCGTGCGACTACGCCGGGTGGTTCAACGAGAAAAAATGCCTAAGAAATTGCGGCAAAGCCTCGCAAAGATGGTAACTTTGAATTTTGACGAACGTGTTCGATTCTGCGACGTCGGTAAATAACGTGTTCGAGCGTTCAGGTACCATGTTCCTCGCTCGTGGCTTTACCCGACCGGGAATCTGCTCGTCATTTTCGAAGAATGGGGAGGGAGTCCGTCCGGGATCTCCCTGGCGAAAAGAGAAGTCGACACCGTGTGCGCCGATATTTTCGAGTGGCAGCCGACGTTAGTGAATTGGGAGATGCAATCGTCCGGGAAAGTGAACAAACCGTTGCGCCCTAAGGCCCACCTCTCGTGCGGCTCGGGTCAGAAAATCTCGTCAATCAAATTCGCGAGCTTTGGAACTCCGGGGGGCGTCTGTGGCAGCTTCAGCCAGGGCGGGTGCCACGCTTTCCATTCTTACGACGTTTTTCAAAGGGTACGTACTCTTTTTATCGCAACATCGCTTTGCTTCATATATTTAGATATGTTGGAACCGTGTCTGAAAATGTTGGCATCTGATCGATGATTTTGCAGTATTGCGTGGGGCAACAGTCTTGCGCGGTGCCTATTACGCCGGAGATCTTTGGGGGCGATCCGTGTCCGAATGTCATGAAGAAACTATCGGTGGAAGCCGTCTGTAGTAAATAAAGATGTCCATTTTCGATTCTGTGTTTTGGAAGGTTCCGCTGCCAGTGAAGTTGCGCTGACAACACGCCGGCCAGTCGGATGCCGATTCTTACAACATATATATATATAGAGAGAGATTTTGTCGTCGACTCGACCTCGAGTCGCGATAAATAAGTTGGTGTAACGAGTCGTCACGAATTAGGATTTAGAAGAAGAAGATGATGATGATGAAGCAATCAGCTCAATTGTATCATTCATTCTGTAATCGGAATCTATGAAGTTATATATAATATATATATATATGAATGTATCGATAGGATCTTTCTTTACAAGGAACCTCAAAATTGTTCTATGGTGGACACATACTATGGTGTTGTTAGTTATGATTCTTGCCTTAGGGTAGGATACATGAAAACGAATCTATACCACATTGACGATTTTCAAAGTTGAGTATGATATTTTTATCTATATATATTTTTATATATTGTTGGCCTAAATGTACGGGTAACAAAATTAAACCCGATTCAAAAATTCGAACATGTTCGACTTGAAATTTTAGGTACGAATTTGGATATTTCGAGTTTGTAAAATATCGGGTAGACCCGAACTCGAGACGAAAAAAGTTCTTGTAGTGTTCGGGTCAAGCTATGAATTGATCTGATAATTCGAAATATAATTGTTTCGGATTTACCTAAAGTTATTTATTATTATTATTTTAATTTATAATATTTATATTATTTTAAACATATTTTTACTATTTTCTTATGTCCATTATTTTAGAAAAAAATAATAATATACTAATACTAAAATATAATTTTTACTATTATATATACAATTATTTTATACATAAAATCAAATATCAAAAATATTTTCATTAATTAATAAAATACTTAGATTGCATGAATATCATCTTCGGATATAATATTTAAATTTTCTATTATTCTAAAAATCTTTTAAAACTAAAATTATTTATTTTGATCTAAATAAATTTAATATTTAAAAAATCTATATCGCCGATGAATAAAACCTAGTTTGAGACCACACGTAAACATACGCTTACTCTTTTGGGCAGATTCGTGACGCAGACAAAATGGAGTCTCCACTTTGGTGCTTTGCCCACCGTTGGATCAAACGGATCGACGGCCAATAACATCCATCCTTGTTTCTATTGTTTTTTAAAATTAGGCAAATCGCACAAATAAAATTAGTATATCTAAATATCTGATCTACTCCAAAATCCAGTATAAACCCTAGTTAAGAATTAATTATTCAGACAAGTGATAAATTCCTTTTCATTTAATTCCAAAGATAAAAAGAGGAAAAAAACAAGAAAGCAACGGCATCCCATCCCATGCCATCCCATCATCATCTGACCAAGAAAGATTTAAATTTAATATAAAAATAAAATAAAATAATGGAAATACGGACAAGGAGAAATTCTGCAGAAACCCAAAATTGCAACTCGCAATCTGCTTTTTGTTCGTTTCCACCGAAATTAATCAACAAAACCCCCAGAAATTTAAAAGCTTTTCCTCCCATGGCTATGGCGGCCACACTCGATGCTCTTCTAATAACTCTCGATTTCGATGATTCATCATCATCGTCGCCTCTCCACATCACCATGCTCTCCTCTTTCACTCTCTTCCTTTTCGTCTCTCTCTCCATCTTCATCTTCACCGCCTACACAATCTTAAAAACCACCGTCAGAAAATGCGAAAGCCCCGGGAAAACCGAGTGTTTTCCTGCAAAATCAGCCGAGCAGAGGAAGCCCGAGCCCGATCCGGATCCGGCGAATCTGAGCCGTTCGTTGCTGCTGGAGATTCTTCCCTCGAATTCGGCCAAGTGGGAAGCTCTGTTCGGGAAAGGTGAGGAGTTCGAGGAGGATGGGGGTGAGAAAGGCGGGCCGGGCCAGGAGGGGAAGAGGAGGAAGAAGAAGCGGGGGAAGAAGAAGCGGGCCGGGCCGAATGAAGAGGATGACGTGGCGGCGGTGAAGGAGAAAGAAAGTGTGGTTTGCGTTTATCCTTTTACAAAATCTTGCAGTGCTACTCAGAGGAAGATTAAGCAACAGTATGATCAGCTTGTTAGGTCTCATGGATCGAATGGATTGACACTTGCTCAGGTTTTACCAGAGTTATTTATTTTTACTGTTTTCAATATATATATATATATTCCTATTGTTTCCATTGTTGCTGATTTGAAGTCTCATTGCTTGAGTTTGTTTGATCCTTTAGATGAGTGATTTTGTGCATTTGGATGAGTTTTTTTTGACAATGGACTTGGTATTTAGCTGGATAATTGATAAAAATGGCTTCTGATAAGGCTAACAATGGTTTCTGTATTGCCAAGTTTTGTGAATTCGGGGCCGATTTTAGTTCACTTGTTCGGCCTTTGATTTTCTTGTTTTCGAAATCTTTGCTGTTTAATATGGAAAATGGTTTGGATTAGAGATAGACATGGATGAGTAGGGAATCTGATGTTTGCTGAATGATCCTCAGGTTTGATGATAAGGGGAAATGTGTATTTTTTTCCGTCTAAAAACGAATGTAAGAAGTGATTTCGCCTACTAACTTGTGATATGTTTGAAGTTATTATCGAATATGTCAAACGACTCCACTTGAATTGAGTATTTTATCGAGCTTGAGGTTGAGCTCTACTTATTATGTTGTTATGATTGATTATCTTTTTGCATTCTTTCATTTTTTACGATCACTGAAGATTCTTGATGCCTCTGAGTTTTTTTTGTCCTTAATATCCATTTCCATCCTGACCGGCGTAATTTAAATCACCCATTCGTTATTTTAGTGTGATGTATGTTCTATGTGAGTCGGTAGAGATCTGGTTTTGGTATAAATATTGGATTTATTATTTTTTCTCTCATTTTTTTCGCTCCTCGTGTTGGTTGAGGCAATTTATGTTCAAATGATTACATTCATGGCAGATTGGACAATTCGTCAATTGCTTGGTCGAGGCAAGAAACGAACTGCAAAACAAGTATGTTTGTAACTATTTCTTTTATATGGCACACACATCCATAGCTCGATTCCAACTTACATTTCGACTATGGAAGCCACTTATTATTTGAGAAACTTGATTCTTAATATGTAAATCTTGAAATTTGGAGACAAATGTGGGTTAATTCATTTTCTTAACTTCCGCCACTTGATGCATAGGTCCGAGGTCATCAAACGGAGATTCACAATTACTAAGGCATTACTCTGTAAGGCGGACAGGTCGTCATTCGATCGCCTACGCCAACAGGTAACACCAAATTTCCTCAAAATTAATTATCTTACAATTTGTTGTATCATAGTGATTTTCATTACCAATTTTGTTATGTATATATGTATAGATATACAAACTAGAATTAGAACAAAAAAGGTTAGAAGAAGATGCCTTCGTATATAACTGGCTCCAAGACCAACTAAAGCTCTCTCCGGCATACAAGAAGGTAATTTTGTATCACATATTTTTTTAAATTAATTTTATTGTTAAGTACTGTATTACTCTTTCTATCATCTAAATTTGCGTTCACTCTTCTTTTTTGATTGCCATAAAAATGTTATCGTTTATTTTTTTAAGTAAAAAATAATACATATACATATATATATATATCTGTCATTTTGGTTTCGTTTTTACTATAAGAGACTATCAATTACAATGACCACATTAAACCCATGCCTCAAAATATGAGCATATTTTTATATGACAGCCGGCATATGACATTAGTTGTGAATTTTTTTTTTTCAATGTAAGAACAGATAGACGAGGTTTAAGTAAATTCAATCTCAAAAACTTCGAGGCCATTAACATTTTTGACAAAAATGTGGTGTGAGACATACAATTTCCATGTTTACGGCACTTAGAATAACAAAATCAATTTAAATTCCTCTGAACTGAAGTACAAGCATTTTAATTTTCTTTCCGGTCTAGAAGTTTAGATTAAATTGTGGGCTGAATTTTTTTTCTTTTCTTTTGTTTTTTGGGCATGTTCTCGACTTGAAGATGATAGAAATGGGTGCTTGTATTGAGGCAAAAGCCCAAGCAGGCGAACTTGTGGACACTATAGAACCTGAGTTTTCAGACATATCGTTTGAAGAGTTATTGGCAAAGGAGAAGAAAGACTCATTTTGGTTTGTTCCAACTTTTGAACAGCCGATCGAATTCTGCGCTAATTTTTCTTCAAATGTTGATTGATACTGAAACAAATCCTTTTAATTAAATGCAGGCAAAGACACGGGAAACTTAGATCGTGCTCGAGCTGAGAGACTTCTAACTTTTAGGTTAGTTTCGGAAATCAGAAGTTTACTAATAAAAGTTTGTACATCCCAAACCCAAAATCCCTTCAGAGTTGTCGAAATTTTACTGTTCAATTCCCGCCCGCCCTTATAGAGTTTCATCGATTTTCTTATGAAATCGTATGGATCGATTGATCAATCGTGGATAGCTATTACAACAGTTGTTTTGTTTTGAGGGCTAATCTATGGTGCTTAGAGGAAACACATGTTTTGTATATCCAAATTGTGGGTTTTTCTTCTTTTTTTTTTTTTTTACCTTCTTTTACTGATTTGATAATTAACAACACTGTTATTACATGATTTCATCATAAGTATGCTGGAGCAGTGAATGAAACCTGGTTATGATTCTTTGTTTGTATTTTTTGCAATGATCGGAACAGTAAGAGTCTGTTTGGTAGTTGTGTAGATTACGATTGGAATGAGATTTTGAAATCACTTTTTTTTTTTTTCTCTGAGAAACACTCCTTCATAAATAATATAGTCCAGATTTCTGGAAAACAAATTTGTATATTCAAATAATCTCTCAATTTTGTATGTTTTATGTTTATCTAAATTTCTTAACATTATTTTATTTTTATTCTCGTATACAATCAGAAGTTTATTCAAAATGCACTCGACGAACAGTGGTTCTGATTATATATTATAAAAAAAACATATCATATAACGAGTATGACTTACTCAAAGTACATTCAAGATGGCTTACATCTTATGAAATTTGATTTTCTGCCTTCTCTTGCATTCAATTATTTGCAATAGTTTTAACAATTTTATATGATATTTTGAACGGTGATGGATGGCGATACTTTGATCTAAATGAAAATTAAATTTGCAAAGCTCTACATGCAAGAACTAAAATAATTTGATAGTATAATATATTCTATGAAAGAAAAAAAAAAAGAATTTGTCGGCCAGATAATTTGGGAGACCAAACCAACATGCAAGAAAGAGTACCCTAACGTCCCACAGCCACAAAATTCTTATTCCTTATCATCATCCATTATCGATCATAGTACAAACTACTGCAGGCTCCATCTCATCTAAAGGTCAAGACCATGTTCAGTACTGCTGAGGATCAAGCAATAAGCGTCAATTGATCATACAAGTAACTAATGGCTGAAGCAGTAGCTTCTGCTGCAATGGAGCAGCTTACAAACACTGCAATAGAGCTTCTTCGGAGCCAAGTCGGGTTGCTGACGGGCGTCGAGCAGGAGGTCAGCAATCTCTCCGACGAGGTGATGAAAACCAGAAATATGTTGTACGAAGCAGAGAGGAAAGGATTCATGGATCAATCTGTCAAGAATTGGCTGATGAGGCTTGAAGATAGATGCTCTGAAATGGAGGATTTGTTGGATGAATGGAATTACATGAATCTCCTCAAACGAAAGATGGAGGAGCAGTTTTATAGTCGAAACCCTAAGGTATGCTTCTTGCCCCCATTTTCACCATGTCTCTAATTCAAGAATCTTTCTACACGTCATCGCATAGCCACCAACATAAAAAGGGTGAAATCAAATCTGGATCGAACTTTACGTGAAAAAGATCGATTTGGGCTTGCAATCACTGGCCAGATATGAGATATCTAATCCCTTTGGTGGATGGTTGCGAGATCAATTTAAGGCCAAACTCACATGTAATGAAGAAGAATCGGGCATTGAATGTATTGGGAAGACAACTCTAGCTCAACTGGTTTACAATGATAGACAAATTGAGGATTTGGATCTGTGTTTCAGATCCCTTCGATTTGGTAGGGATTGTGAAAGGGAGATCTTAACAGAATTAAAAGATTCAACCGATGGAAAATGATTTCTTGTTGTTCTTGATGATGTTTGGACAGAAGACTCTTTCAAGTGGGATCCCCTGAAAATTTGTCTGAATTCATGTGCAAGTGCAACAGTAGGTAGTAAAGTGTTGGTAACCACAAGAAATGAAAGAGTTGCAAAAGCCATGGGAACCAAAGAGATTGAGATTCATGATCTGGGATTTCTCTCTAATGATGATTGTTGGAAATTACTTAGCCACATTGCTTTTTTCGATAGGGACGAAAATGAATGTGGCAAGTTTGAAGAAATAGGTAAGCAAAGACATTGGGAGGTGCTTTACGATTTAAACATGGGTTAGAAGAGTGGGAAAATCTGTCGGGCAGTGACATATGGGAAATTCAAGAACTCGAACAAGAAATTTTTGTCTTTTTATTTTGAGTTATAATGAGTTGTCCCCATCCCTAAAACGTTGTTTCTCATATTGTGCCATCTTCCCTAAAGACTTTGTGATGAATGTGGAAGATCTTATAAGACATTGGAGAGTTGGAGATAAGAAGAATGCGGTCATCGAGTGCAAGATGCACGACGTAGTTCATGATTTTGCTCGATCTGTAAGGAAAGGGAAAAGTAATATCAAATCTAGACAATTAGATTGAGTGAACTGGAAAACTGATTCACTTGAGGTAGCTACACTTGATAGAAACATCGATAAAACTGCTGAGCTGAAAATGATAATGATCTTAAAGTTGTATAACTTGAAATCCCTCATTTTGCAACGATGTGAGCTGGAAGAGATCCCTAAAGAAATCGGGAATTTGATTGAATTGAGGCACTTGGACTTGAGCCGGACCGACTCTATTCAAGTGTTACCAGAAAGTATATATGACTTGGAAGATTGTTCAAACTTGACATCATTGCCTCCTCTAGGAAAACTGCCATGTTTGGAAGTGCTTGAGGTTTCTATGGCTGCAAAACTGGAGATTTTGGGACCAGATTTTCTTGGAATAACAGTGGATGACGATGATGATAAGTTGGGTATTATTGGATCATCTTCATCTGCAGAAGGAGCTTCCCCTGCCCTTTCCATATTTCCATGCCTGCAAACCTTGAAGGTGTCTCGTCTCCTGCACAAGGCATCGCCATTGGAGGAGCTGATCATTGAAGGATCCCCTAGAGTTGCAGAACAGTATGAGAAGGCAACCAAAAATGATTCTTCTCGCAAATTCTTATCCCCAGGGACGAAGGTAACCATAATTGAATAAGCATCGATCGTGTGGAATATCACATTCAAGCTCTTAAAATATTATTATGTAATGTGCATACACACTTCTTAATTTTATCTACTCCTACGGATAGTTGTATTACTCTTGATGAGTTTGAAAAAAAATTGGTTTGAATTTGCTATGAAAATAATGTTTGACGGGTGTTTTGTGAAAGAAAGAAATATACAATTTTTTTTTTTAAATATGTAGAAATATGAAAAATTTTGTTAAAGAAACATCCAATGTGTGTATTTAAATATATATATACATATGTAGTATGTGTTACATGATTTGAGTGATAGGATGATTATAAATCATTGGTGTTATATGCCATAAGTTTTTAGCAATATTTATTATTTATATTTTTAAAAATTTAGATTGAAGAAAAGTCTAAATTATATATATTTACACTTTAAAAACCAACTAAATCCTACATAATCACAATTGAATTAGTATTTTTGAGTGTAACGTTTTCATAAATAATATTAAAAAATTCAATATATATACTATTAACACAATATCTATTATATGTTTTATTTATAAATAATTTAATATAAAATATTATTTTTTATATTATTAATACAATTATTAATATATAATATAATAAACACATAATTTTAAAATATAAAGTGAACAAACCCACAATAACTGAAAAAAATGTTATATATTTGAATTAGTTCCAAAAAGAGGACATAATATGAAGCAGAAATATTAAATCATCGGTGAACGGGTTGTCGTGTTGTTGAAACCAGTAGGTGTATGTGCACAAATAAGTGCAAAACAAGAACAAACAACACACACAATTTGTTAATCCAATTCGGTGTTAAAACCTATATTTTATAATGTCAATCCAGCAGTTTTTTTTTTAACTAAATCAAACATTTGATTTTACAGTGTTCAAGACACCAAACAAATTTATCCTATCTATGTTTTACAAATACAGACTGATTGGATGTTACTTGCTGTCAAGCTAAAAGTAAAGTTACATATCAGTTGATTATCTTATTCGATTTCGACTCCATAAACTTTTTTTGGTCAATTTTAAAGTTTCATAAATTCACCTCTCAATGCTCTATAAAGTTGAGAGAACAAAATAAACTCAACAAATAGCACCCCAATCAATTCAAACGCTTGTATAAAAAACAAAATATACACTCTCCATACCAAAACAAATATGGCCGGTATGCATATTTTGATAAATGTGTATGAGACAATTAATGTCATGTATGACGAGAGAGACACTATTGACTTTTTCTACATGTCCTCTTAACGAGACAAGTTTGTCTGTTTCATTTCAATGTGTATAACATAAGTTTCAATGCAATCAAGGTAGACAATTAGGTCAACTTTCTGTATGTTTACAAATTTTTCAAAATGGTGTTAATAAGTTGCAACAACTTACCTATTTGTTCATATGTCGAAAATAGATGGAAAAAAGAATTATTATTATTATTTTTTTTATAATATAACAGAAAATATTTGTTAGCATGTTAAAATTTTTTGGAAAAGCTAGAGAAAGTCAATCCAAACAAACAAGTAATTTAAAAAAATAATAAAATAAAATAAGCTACAAAAATAGAACATTATTTTCGGTGTTTTCTTTTTTTTACCAAAAATAAAATGCTATTTTCTTACGGTAAATTTTGGTTCCGTACGTACGTATGTATATACATACGACGAGTATACGTATGGAAGCTTTCATCTGAAAAGCAACCGTTTATGTGGAAACAAATTAAAGAGACGCATAATATGTTTTGTGTGCATGAAGATGATCATGAAGTAATCCTCCGTTGCTTGCATTGCGATTCGCTTTAATTTTCTTCTCCAGTTATCTGATTTCCCTGCGTCGATCGGAATTGGAATTGGAATCGGAAGATTCCTTTGTTCGTTCATCACATGGGTGAGTCATCGATTTGATTCAGTTTCTTCCGCACAAGTTTTATGCACAGCAATCAATGCTCTGCTATTGAAATGCAAATGACGAGGTCTTATTAGACGTTTTATCTCTGTCAATGAGAAAATTTTTAAAATGTATTTGTTTTGTCGATTTCAATGACAGATTGACTGGTGTTTGTTTCTGCTTTTGCTTTGGATTGTAAATCGCATGATTGTTGCCTTAGATATGCTTTTAATTTATTTTATAACCTAGCCAGAGCTAATGCATGATCTCGTTGGCTCCTAAGTTAGGGATTGATCTTACGGTAATTTTTGGAGATTGAAAATTGGAATCCTAAGCTATGATGATTGAGGTAGATGTACGATAATCTATCTGATCGATCAACCTTCTGCCACACCAACAATAACTGTTTCAAAAATAAACTTTTGTGCCATTTCCAGAGTGATTCATCCCTTTTTTTTTCTCTTTTTTTTTTGTCTATGTTGTGGGTGACTTCACGTTAACAATGAAATTCCGAGTCACTGAAAAGTAAAGCTCCCACACACACACACATGCGCGCACACATTATAACGCTATATTACTCTATAATCTAATGATTCTATAGAGATGGATCCATGCTCCTAGGCCAGTTGGTGATAGTAATAATATTTGATTGATGATTCCTTTTTATTGTTAAGGGAATAAATGAATCATCATATTTTATAGTTCTTTGTTCTGATTAATCTATTACTGTGACTACAGATGAAAGCAAACCTTGTTGTTCAACTCACCTCATTGATGGAGATGGCACTTTTAACACAGAAGGGCTTGAAAAATTCACGAAGGAAGTTAAACTTGCAGAATGTGGGCTTTCATATGCTATAGTATCCATAATGGGTCCTCAGAGTAGCGGTATATTTTGTGTATCTTTGACAGATTTTTGCGTTGATTAAACTAAGTCTTATTGAGTTACTAACTTATTTATAAATTTTTTAATTTAATTTAATTTTTTTCCTTTTAGTTATTTTTGTGTTTTTGGCTACTCAAATTTTACTGCTGATGATAATGTGGATTACAGCATTAGTTTTGTGAGCAAATAATGGACTTATTGACAGGGAAGAGTACATTGCTGAATAACCTGTTCCAGACTGATTTCAGAGAAATGGATGCTTTTAAAGGAAGGCACGCACTTATGATGGACTCACCTCTCGTGTCATTTATTGGCCCGTTAATATCAATTGCTTGAAAATTCTTGACAGTATCTAATATTCATCAGGTCTCAAACTACAAAAGGTATATGGATGGCACGATGCGTGGGCATTGAACCTTGTACTATTGTGATGGATTTAGAGGGTACTGATGGAAGAGAAAGAGGAGAGGTCTGCCATATTTCCTTCCCAATAAAAATATGTTAATGTTGATCTATGCAGTTGTTGTTTGAAGCATTCATTCTGGCACATGCTGCATTTCATGCTTTGACATCTTCATCTATATTTTTCTGTTAATAATTTGGCTCTACCTACCCGTGTTGTTATGTTCCTTTTGATTCCACACAGCTAAATGATGATTAAGTTTCTCTGCCTTGTCTATGGATACATAAAACAGATAGTTCTTTCTTTTTAGTGTAAACTTTTTCTAGAGTTCTTATTCTACTGCAAGGATTAGTATCAGGAACATAATCTGGGACTAAATCAATCTGTTGCATTGTATCAGTGAATGCTCAATTATATAACTATATATATTATATATTGAAATTAAATAAAACCGAAAAATATATAATATGTTCCTGGCATTCAATTACGATCCTGACATTAATTTCTATTGCTTTCCAACTTCTTTGTTGTTTTTCAGGATGATACTACATTTGAGAAGCAGAGTGCTCTTTTTGCACTTGCCATATCGGATATAGTACTAATAAATATGTAAGGATGATGAGCTGATTAGTAATGATATGATTGTCTTTAGCAAATAATGATCTACAGGTGACTTTTGCTTCTTTCTCTGAGTTAATTCTCTAATAATCTTCTCAGGTGGTGTCATGACATTGGCCGTGAGCAAGCTGCGAATAAGCCCCTCTTAAAGACCGTTTTCCAGGTGCCCGCAGACGTGTTTGGTGCACGTCTGTTATGCAATTTATGAATGCTTTACTGATTTTACATTGCAATATGCTGCTGCAGGTTATGATGAGATTGTTCAGCCCACGTAAGACAACTCTGTTGTTTGTTATTCGTGATAAAACAAGGGTGTGCACTTTTTTCAATCTTATTTCTTGTGTAATTTAATTTGTTGCATTTTTTCATGTTGCTATACACATTTCTGTTCACTCTTAAATTATTATAGACACCTTTGGAAAACTTAGAACCAGTTTTGAGGGAAGATATTCAGAAGGTACATCATTCTATTTTTTCATGCATGCTCAATGTTTTTCGCATACTTGCTTTCTAACTCTTCCTCTGTGCTTTTCTTTCTGCGACTTACTGGGAAGATATGGGATGCTGTTCCTAAACCAGAAGCTCACAAGGAAACACCACTGAGCGAATTTTTCAATGTAAGATCAGGATGTGTTAGGACATTCTATAATGTCTTTCCAAACTTAAAATGAAAATGTGACAGAGTCCACTCCTGAATTTGTAAATTGCAGGTTGAAGTTGTGGCTCTTTCCAGTTTTGAAGAGAAGGAAGAACAATTTAGAGAGCAGGTTGACGTTTGAAATTTTTTAATTTTTAAGATATCTTGCAAATATGCCACTGCCTTAACTCATCATAGATTGGCAAGATATGTGTGAATACTTTCTTTTTAGAGACAGGTTGATACTTTATATATTACTGAAAACTTGAACCTTACATTTGATTTATTCTTCACATCCTCATTTAAAGGTGGCAAATTTGAGAAGCCGATTTTTCCATTCTATTGCTCCGGGGGGTCTTGCTGGGGATAGGCGTGGTGTCATTCCTGCTTCTGGTTTTTCATTCAGTGCAGAGCAGATATGGAAAATTATTAAGGAGAATAAGGACCTTGACCTACCTGCTCACAAGGTTATGATTTAATACATTTTTTCTAAGGTGAGAAGTGAAGGAAGCTTAGTATTTACTATTGAATTTTAATAAATTTTGTTGGTACATTTGTAGGTCATGGTTGCCACTGTTCGCTGTGATGAGATTGCTAATGAAAGATACGCTTCTTTTGTGGCAAACGAAGTACATCTCCTATGAAATCTGTAGCTTTTATTAGTAGTTCCTTTTATATTAAAGTGAAAACTGTATATTGATAAATTATCAATCCGTACGTGCAGGAGTGGCACGAATTAGAAGAAACGGTACAATCAGAATCAGTGCCAGGGTTTGGGAAGAAGCTCAGCTCGATCCTTCATGATGGTTTATCACAGTAAGTGAAGCATTTTTTTATGACAATTTCTTTGGTGGCTGAAGGATCAATTTAGTCACATACTATCATATCAGAGGTTAGCAAAACATTGAAGAATTTGTCAACTTACTGCAGGAGTTAGTATGTCAATATGATTATGGACAAGATACCATTATGTTGAATCTGTTTTATCACACGAAAGAAGTAAACTGTTAGACTATGGTTGGAATCTGATTTTCTTTTTTTTTTTTTTTGTATCCTTCAGTGATAGAACATGAAAATGAGATGTTGAGGTCATTGTGAATGTATTGAATTTTTTGGTTTTTGTAGGTATGATGCAGAGGCAACATTTTTCGATGAAGGTGTCAGAACTGCAAAGAGAAAACTGCTGGAAGAAAAACTTTTGCAAGTAAGAATTATTGATGTTGATATATTAGTTTCTTTCCTGCTTGTGCAGAAATGAAGCACCTTAACGTGAAGTATTTAGCTTACATAAGACTATAATAGTCCTCTTTTGCATGTACTTGATAGTCCTGTGATATTTCTAACAGTACATCTACTCTTATTAGATGAGAGTTGGGATGCTGTCATTGTTTATTCATACGAGTTGAACTCTTCCATCAGCCACCTCTTTTCACTCCTTTTGCACTTACAGCTTGTTCCTGTTTATGTTGCAACAGCTTGTCCAACCAGCATACAACTTAATGTTGGGACACATTCGCCATGGAATCCTGGATAAATTCAAAATAGCATTTGAGAGTGCTTTGAATGACGGAAAAGGTTTTGCTGCAGCTGCTCGTGATTCTACTGAGCATTTTATGTCACAGTTTGATGAAGAATCTGCAGGTACAGTTATTGATAAGAAACATCAGATCTGGACATGAAGTTTCTGCACTGACATAATAATGCAGCTAATTTTTGCTCTACGTAAACTTAACTCCTTAAGGCAATTCAAATTGATGTTGGTATCTTCTATTCTTCTATGTATAACTACTTATTATTTTCTTTTGTTTGCAAAGCTTTCTCATTGATGTTCATCATAAAACTGATTTGATGTATAGAATAAATTATTTTTTCTAGTTTTTGGGAATTATACCGGCTCATTCAGCAATAAGAAAAAGTTTTTATAGAATGCAGAGATTATGAAGCGGTAAGAATGTACCCCTAGATAGACTGGTTAATCCATTTGGAAAAGCACAATAAAAATAGTGACTGCAGCTAAAGCGAAGACTTGTGCAAGATATCCTTGATATAGTAGTTGTAATTGATGTATTACTTTCTGCTTTGTAGCCACTGAGATTGAGCAAGCTAGTTGGGACTCTTCTAAAGTAAGAGAGAAACTTCGACGCGACATAGATGCTCATGTTGCCGCTGCTCGGGAGGCAAAGCTATCTGAGCTTACAACCATGTATGAGGTATGGACTAGGTCATGTTAGATTTGATTGGCACCTTCAAGCCACTAAGATATTTCATAAAAGATTGAACTACTAAGATATATCTGGAAAATCATGGATTTCTGCAACAATGCATCACTACGATAATAAATTTTATATTTATAAAAAGGAATCAGTAGCTTTCAAATGTGAACAGATGTATCTAATACATTGTCTATGAAGTGGATAGTAGGATTCGAGTTTCTATTCTGGTAGTATTTTTGGTTTGTTTTGTCTTCTTAGATTATGTGATTACTGCTTTCTCACCAGTAAGTTTTATGTGCAGAAAAAATTAAACGATGCAATATCCGCGCCTGTAGAGGCATTGCTAGATGAAGCTAGCGAGGATACATGGCCCTCAATTAAAAAACTTCTGCAGCGTGAGACTGAAAAAGCTGTTACAGGGTTTTATAGTGCGCTTGCTGGTTTCGAAATAGATGATATAACCAAGGACAAAATGCTTGCAAGTTTGGAAGGATATGCAAAAGTGTTAGTTGAAACCAAGGCTAAAGAAGAAGCTGGAAGGGTTTTGATCCGTATGAAAGACAGGTATTTGCTATGGTGTGATCAAAATCTAGATGATCATGCAATTCAATATTGTTTCACTTCTTTATATTTTGTTGGTTCATGTTTTGAATGGGAATATATGGGGGTACCATTGGCAGGTTCTTAACACTATTTAGTCAAGATAAAGACTCAATGCCACGACTTTGGACTGGAAACGAAGACATTCGAGCAATCACCAAAACTGCTCGCTCTTCTGTATGTTCTTTACTGACATTTACTTTTGGTAATCAAATTGGATATTATTTGTTTTCCTTCCTAACAAATGGTTCGTTTGCTTCTCATTCCAGTCTTTGAAGCTACTTGCTGTAATGGCTGTTGTTCGTCTGGATGATGATGTTGATAATGTCGACAATACCTTGTCGCTTGCCCTCATGGATCCTAAACCGGCAGCTTCCAACAATAAGAGCGGCAGTGTGGATCCTCTTGCATCAAGCACTTGGGATAAGGTATTAACTTGAATACTAGTATGGAACTCCAGAATTAAAGTGCCTCATTGATGATGTTCATCTGAATGTGTTCCATATGCCAACACATGTAAACTTCTTGACTTGCATTTTTGTTGCTAGATCATTTTTAGAGCTTATAGTGATCAAGTATATCATAACAATAGGCAAAAATATTTATCTCATTCAAAACTTTAACGCCAGGTTCCGCCGTCTAGAACCTTGTTAACACCAGTCCAATGTAAATCTTTGTGGAGGCAATTCAAAACTGAGACTGAGTACACAGTTAGCCAAGCCATTGCTGCACAGGTAAACTTACTATGAAACTACTTCAGGAAAAACCACATGCTACGCATAGATCATATTGTAGTACTTCTTGGTGACTCGATTTTTCATTCGAGTAACTTCATAGACAGATAGCTGATTGTTACTTATTTCAAAACTCTCAGGAGGCTAACATGCGAGGCAACAACTGGTTGCCACCTCCATGGGCAATTGCAGCATTACTCATCTTGGGTTTTAATGAATTTATGACCCTTTTAAGGTACTTACTGTATAAATTTTTGGCCACAGGCAATGGGTATACACCCATCAAAACAAAACGAGAAAGAACATATGATGATCAATATTTTATGTCTCTGACATCTGCTGAGTAAGTTTGTTTCTTTCAACAGAAATCCATTGTACGTGGGTGTCATATTTATTGGTTTTCTCCTTGTTAAGGCCTTGTGGGCGCAGTTAGACATCTCCCGCGAATTCCAGAATGGATTTGTAAGTTAACTCAGTTTATAAATGTATGGATCCCTCGATTTAAACTCGTGTTCTGTTTCTTCCGTATACAAACTAACATTGTATTCAGTGACATACTTTTCTCTGTGAAGCATCTAGTCTTCATCTTGAATGGTCTAGTGTTCTGCTAGTGATATTTGAAATGTTGGGAACATTCTTTATATTCTGTTTATTTGGTTTTCATTTCTGAACTTGGGGAGGACAATTACGAAAAATTTAAAACAAATATTGCTTTAATGTCTATCTACTTAGTATTTCTCATAACCTAAAGACTATACAGCCCTTAATGAGTTCTCTTGCATTTCTGCAGCTACCTGGAATTCTCTCAGTGTCCATGAAATTTCTTCCCACTGTTGTCAACCTTCTCAAGAAACTAGCTGAGGAGGGTCAAAAACAAACTACTACAGGCCCTCAGCAAAATCATCCAAATCCACCAAGGAGCAGTACAAGCAACTATAGCAACACATCGTCAAGTGCTTCTTCTGAGGTAACCTCATCTGAAAATGGAGACAAGTATAACTCCACTGGACATCAAAAAGTTCAATAAGCTGCCAAATTAATCTCATGTTAAAAGCACGAGGAATTTACTGTGTAGAAGCATGAAATGAGCACATCAAGAAAGTATAGGATCTCTTCTTCTTAGTTTTCGCCACAAAAGTTTCTGCAGATTTTAGGATTTTTACTAACACAGCCTAGATTGCGATTCATTTTCCTACTTGTAGAAGTTATTTCCTATGTTACTACATATCTGAGTATACTTGATTCTTTAAATGACAAATATGATTCTTTGTAATAACTTCACATCTGTTATCAATACCATCTTTTATATACTTTGTCCAAGCAATAATCTTATCTACAGCGCATTGATTTGCCTGACTCAATAGTTTAACTTGCTACATGTAGATCCATTTTTTTCTGATTCTTTTCTTCCTTGATTAAGCTCCCCTTATAATCTTATATTGAATAACATTAACTGCAACTTGATACAGGTCCGGACATGTTCAAACCTTATAAACTAGCTTTTGCTACTAAGATATAGATGAATAACTTGAATGGCCTTCCTAATTATGTGCAAAATGTAGCTCAAATATTTTGAATTAGAGGTTGAACTTAGCTTGGAGGCGAATAATGTCAGCCTAGCACAATCATACACATAAAAACTAGGGTGCAACAGCTACTGAGGTTATTATTTGATCAAAGCATACCTACAAATCTAGAGGAGCAATAATCTCATTTTTATTTATTAGATTGTTACGCATTATTTATATTAAAATTATTATTATGCATAGAAACAGCAATGGAGCTTAGAATTACTGTTATGTTTCACAAATCAACTTATGAAATTGGTCCACATTTAGACTTTCGTTCAGCTGAGACTTCAATGCTTTACATTCTCTTGAATTAGTAGTTTCCGTCGAAGGCACGCATATAGCAAAATGACAAATTTGCCCTTGCAATTACATCCTCCAGATGCATCCATAAAGCCTCAAAATTAAATCTCCTTGTAATGACGCTAATACATTATTGCCCAATTTGATTGTGAGGTAGCTTAGCTGTTCCAGGCTAGCTTTCTCATCACATTTACTAAGTAAAACAAACAATTAATAACAAAATAAGAGTAACAAATTGTGAGTATTAATGGTTGTCATTGAGAAGTCAGTTGAGGCTGCAGGAGAGGGTCTTTAATTTGTAGGGACAAGTGCATTTGATGCATTGTGTCTTATTGTTGCCTGGCAACTTTCATGGGGCACCCTCTATATTATTATGATCATATCTTTATTTTTCTAGCAAAGGGGACACATATAAATTTACTTAGATTAGGAGCCCATATTCAAATAAAAATCAAAGACAAGGAACGCTATGAATCTAAAATCTTGATCATAGAATGCCCTTCTGTGCCCCAAGGTTCTGTAGCTTTGTGATATGTTCCATTTTGAGCCACAGAAGTGACCCTAACAATTCAAGAAGTACTATAAATAAAAGAGATAACATAGTCTTGTCATATAATGCAACTACTCACCCACTCCCAAACAAAATAACCATATAATGCACCTACCCACCCACCAACAAATACTTCCTTCAAATTAAAACATAATCCTTTTTTTTCAAGAATCAAAATGTCATTCCTGCCCCTAAAAATCATCATCCTTTTTGGAGGCTTGCAAAATTGTATCATCTATCAAAGCATATTTGAAGTTAATAGTAATTAGGGAAAATCCACAACACAAACAATGGTGTACCAAAGTGGAATATAAAGCCATGCAGTTATATGTCACTATGATCAACTAATTCCTAAAATTGGGAAAATATGTAATTAAACAAGATTAGACAGATGTCGATATTTGAATGGGCAGTTGTGATCTTCTCTTTAAATACATATATTAACATGAAGAAAAAGACATTACCTCACATAATTTGTGTAATGTTAGTTACCCGTAAAAATCTAAAAGCCTTCAAAATCTATATGAATTACTAACTATTTTCCACTTTCATCAAAGTAAATGTCAATTCTTGATTTGAGTCCATTTCAAGCACTTTTTTTGGTGTTTCCCTAAAATGAAATGCCAAAATGCAATATGGACCACAGATTACCTCTTCCATTGTTCACAAGATGGAATCAATCAGGCCAAAAAATAGTTTGACTTCCCCATAATTAATTCCTAAATAAATTTCCCTATCAGTAAAAGATGATATAATGTGTACCACTAGAAAATGGATGTATAGAGATGAAGAGTTGGGTGTGTTATCTCACATATACATAGTTAGTTATATATATATATATGTATGTATCACAATGTTTGAAAGCTGTGGTTAAATTTTAGGTGTATTTCCAGCTAGCAAATTGACAGTTTTCATGTGCATTTGTCTCACTGCAGTGAATGTGGCAGTTTTGAGTAATGAGGCTGAATAGTAAAATGGGATTTCAAATTTTAAATAGAATTTATATGTACTGTATATAAATTAATATTACAACTATAAAATCTTTAGAAAAGTCAAAGCAATCCCCTAAGTTTAGTGATAATAACTAAAGGAAACAGTTTATAGTTGTGTATAGATTTTGGTTTTATGGCCCCAAAATCAAATGGTGCAATTCTTGATGAGTTCTATTTTGAGCAAAAGGACAATGGGTTGGCAAGTAACAAATGAAATCTTGAAAAATATTTTAAAATACACACACACATATATATATATATATAGATAATGTATGCATGTAATAAGGAGTGGCTATCAATGTGTCCACTTGTCCTGCTTACAATGACTGCATATGAAACTAAAACATTGTGATGATTCAATAATAATGAAAGTGGTCTGGAGGCTTCTTTATTGTTTGATTTTGGTGTCACACAATAAATCATTTTTTCTTTTTTTAAAAAATTATCAAATCAAATACTTATTTTTCATTTAATATAATTCCTCCATCCGGCCTTAAGGTAAACACTTTAGTGAGGACTGAGAACCCTACCTATTTAAATTCAAATTTTTATTATTCTCAAACCCAAATCCAAACCTTAAAATCTAAGTATACAATTGCCTAATAAATATTAAAATCAGCACTTTTAACAATTTTCAAGTAAATAATGCAAGAAACTCAATCGAGCCTATATTTAGCAACAAAACAAAAAAGATTCCATGTAATCAAAGGTGATCTCATGCATTCTATAAATGTATAACTTATTTCCTAAAATACTCAATGTAAAACAATCCCATATGCCAAATCCCAAATCCCAAATACAAATACACAATTACATATACTATGAAAGCTTCACACACACAGATTTATAGAACTAAATAATTGCTTCTTTATTTCCTCTCAATATTATATCAGAATTCCAAAAAAACCGCTGTAACTTCCCAACTCTTCACATATAGGTATTAAAACACTCACCAGCAATTAGTTCAATGGTGCACACACACACAGAGTTATACATACATATATATATATATATTTATATATTCTAATAATGCAACATGTACAAAGAAAAGCTTGCGGGTTGGTTAGAGTATTTAATGCAACCCTGAAATTTTCCTTTCAAGATAACAGTGCAATAATAAAGGGTGTGTTTGGTTTGTGTTTATGTATTGTGTTTAAATAATAGTTTAATTGTGAGAATTGCATAGTAAAGATTGATTTTTTATATATTTTTTTTAAAGAACAGGACCAAATAATTAAATAAAAAGCTAAAGAAGGGTGAAAATAGCAGGCTGGCGTTTTGTGAGCTGTCCATTAAGTGAGTACCAATTCTCTCATCATCAACCAAACCAAGTTCAAAAAGCAGCTAAGCCATTATGTAAAAAAACCATCATTGATGATCTCTCCAACTGTGGCATTTAATTTCCTCATTGATTGCCATCCATTTTCCAACTTGGGGGATTTCTGTGCGTCATTTATTATGCACTCAGCTTCTTTTGTTCAAAAACAAATACATGAAATTATGCACCCCTAATGGGTGTATCCAGTCCCACCCCCTAAGACTAATTTACAACCTACATATAAATATACACAGAAGACTCTCAATCTTGAATGTGTATGTGTGTGTGTATATATATATCTCTCTGTGTGTGTGCATAAAATTTAGGGAAACGCAGGAACACAAGCCAACCAGTAATAGCCACATCAAGAAAACTTGGTGAATAATTTTTTCTGCAGGAAGAGAAGGAGAGAAGGTGAATTGAAGTAGTAGTACCTTGTTTGTTTGTGGGTTTTTTTAATCTCTCCAATGGCTTTGCTTGGTGGCGGTGGCTCTGCAGCATCAGCATCAGCAGCAGCAGCTGCTGCTGCTGCTGCCCTCTACCTGCATTTACTTGTTTGGTTCACCACTGTGCTCACTTTCTGTCAAGGTTGGTTCTTCTTTGCCACCTCTCTCGAAAATCCTAAATTCTTCATTGCAAGTCCTTCTGATGAATGTTAAGATTAATGTTAAGATCGCTTCTGATGTTATGATCGAGGATGTATTGATCCTGTCGATGAAGATCAATGCTGCTCTCTTTTGAGACGAATTTTGTGTTTTTTGGTTGTTTTCTCTGCCAAACAGTGCCTTACATTGAATTTTGCCCTAATTCCCAAATTGCAGGTACGCCGTACGAGCATCCCGCCCAATACCGCTACCCTTTCATCGGTCCGGCGAGCTCGTTCTCTTCCGGCGGCCAATCCTCCGCCTCGGGGAGCGGCGGCGAAGCCGCCATGTCCTACGACTACATAATCGTCGGCGGAGGCACGGCGGGATGCCCCCTCGCCGCCACGCTCTCCCGGAATTTCAGCGTCCTGCTGCTGGAACGGGGAGGGACGCCATTTGCCAATTCCAACGTCTCCTTTATGCAGAACTTCCACATCACCTTGGCCGACATCTCGCCGACGTCGGCGTCGCAGATGTTCATCTCCACCGACGGCGTCTTCAATTCCAGAGCCAGGGTTTTGGGCGGCGGCACTTGTATCAATGCCGGATTTTACACCCGCGCAGGCACAAGGTACAACTCCACCCCCGGCTCTTCATTTGCTCACGAGCTCCCGGGACCTCGAAACCAGATGGATCCACACCGTCAACGGTGCGGATCCATCTGGCTCTGAGATCCCAGGAGCTCCCAAGAATCACCCACCAAAATGATCTTTTTAATTAGTGAGAAAAGAACCAAACAAAGCAAAATCCAAATTAAATTGCTTAACAAAGAATCGATACGGAGTATGGGAACACATCAATACGATTGAATGCAGACACGTGGGGTTAGGTTACTGCCATTAATATCAAATAACCACCAAACAGTATACTTTCTTGTCAATCCATGGATTTTTTCACTTCAATTATTTTTTTGAAGTTGTGCCAAAAAGATTTGAATCCCATTATAGAAAAGCTGGTTAATATCCAATTTTGCAATGTAGATTGAGACGTGGGAAGAATTTTTATTGTCATTCAATGTACAGTTTACAGTTTTCTTTGTTGACTCTTTGGTGGACCTGAAAAAACAGTTAGACAGCAGCAAGATAACAAGAAAAATCATTTCTTTTGTGTAGATCATCCAAACCATTGATTTGATTGTATTTCTTCTTCTTGTTCTTTGGATTTTTTCTTGTCAAGGCTGTGTTCTCTTCTCTATTGTTATGTTTATAGATTAAAAAGTGATCGATGTTTTGTAAGAAAAACAAACATTTTTCCGATGTTTTTGCTACTTTGGGATTCATTTAGATCAATGTAATGTTGCAGCTACATAAGGAGTGTAGGTTGGGATGAAAAACTGGTGAATGAGTCGTTCCCCTGGGTCGAGAAGCAGATCGTTCATCGACCCGACTTCCCGCCATGGCAGCAAGCCGTTAAAGACAGCCTAGTCGAGGTCGGGGTCTCGCCATTCAACGGGTTCACTTACGACCACATCTACGGCACCAAAGTCGGCGGAACCATCTTCGACAGGTTTGGTCGTCGCCACACGGCTGCCGAGCTTCTCGCCTCAGCTAATCCCGAAAACCTCCAAGTATTAGTCCATGCCACAGTTCAGAAAATCGATTTCGACACATCAGGTAAATGTAACCCCGAAAACTTTTGAAACTGCAAGTTTTATGAACACCAAAAATATCTCGATTGATGAAATGATATATAGGTAAAAGGCCGAGGGCGGTCGGAGTGACGTTCAAGGACGAAAACGGGAAGTTGCATAAAGCCGTGGTGTCGAAAAGGGCTGGGAGCGAAGTCATCCTGTCGTCCGGCGCCATCGGGAGCCCCCACATGCTTCTGCTCAGCGGCATTGGCCCGAAGAACGATCTCGAAAAATTCGACATCCCCATCGTGCTCGATAACGAGTTCGTCGGGAAGGGAATGGCAGATAATCCCCTCAACACAATTTTCGTCCCGAGCAAGAACCCCGTCAAGATGTCGTTGATACAAACCGTCGGGATTACCAAGTTGGGAGTGTACATCGAGGCTAGCTGCGGTTTCGGGCAATCCACCGATAGCATTCATCGAGACCACGGAATTGCTTCCGCCGAGGTTCGTCGAGAAACTCGAAAAAAAAAAAAAAAAAAATCTTCACTTTCTTCTTATTGTCGTTGTAGACGTAACTTTGTGTTGCGTTTATAAACAGATAGGCCAGCTGTCAACGATCCCTCCGAAGCAACGAACGCACGCAGCAATTCACGAGTTTCGTAGTCGAAAGCGAGACCTTCCGTACGAGGCGTTCCAGGGTGGTTTCATCTTGGAGAAGATCGCGCTGCCAAAGTCGAGGGGACAGATCAGCCTCAACAACACGAACGTCGACGACAACCCGTTGATCACGTTCAATTACTTTGAACACCCGGATGACTTGGCGCGGTGCGTCGACGGGATACGCATCATCGAGAAGATGGTGAAGTCGAAGCATTTCCTCAACTACACACAATACGACGAAGATGTCGTCGACAAACTCCTCAACATGAGCGTTCAAGCGAACGTAAATCTAATTCCTCGGCACACCAACGATACGGAATCGCTCGAACAGTTCTGCAAGGACACCGTGATCACGATCTGGCATTACCATGGAGGCTGCCACGTCGGGCAGGTCGTAAACCGGGATTATAAGGTGCTCGGAGTCGACAGGCTCCGCGTTATCGATGGCTCGACGTTCAAAGAATCTCCCGGGACTAATCCTCAGGCCACAGTCATGATGATGGGAAGGTAAATCGAGATGTACATTGTCGAATATCACAGCACATAATGTTAGCATTGCGTATCGATAACTAAACGAGGATTTTTTTGATCGGAAAATGACGAATGCAGGTACATGGGAGTGAAGATTCTGAGGGGGAGATTAGGCGAAGCAGCCGGGATATGACGAGTAGGCGACAGATATCGATTTTCGATCGAACGACGACGACGACGGACCGATCTTGATCTTGATCTTGATGTTAGGAAAGAGCTCTACTGTTATAATTCTTTTTAATCCTATTATTATTAGGTAGAAATTTGATGTAGAGTTGTAAGGATGAAATTCCTCCTGTCGTGTCCTGTGTGAAGATGTGAAAATAGGTGAACTCCATTTTGGTGTATCAATATGTTCTTTTCTTGTTGCTGTTATGTGTGAGTCACTTCTTTCTCTTTGCTCTTTGCTACTTCTTCATCTATATATCACTTTTGAGTCCTCTTTATTGCCTTTTATATTTTTTCTTTGTTGTTTTTCTGTCCCTTTTCTTTTTATTTTCAACTTTTTGCTAAGTGGGATTTTAGCGTGTTTGGTAATTTTAGCGTGATTGGTTTTATTTGAGGTTGAGTAACGTTTAAAGTAAGCATAAACTAAGAACTAACATTACTGTTTTCACTTACGAAGCAAATAATGAAATATGAATATGACACGAATGGCTCAATCAATGCCTTAGGATACATGAGATGAGCCCACATCTAAAAGGACCAGTTTTGGAAATGCATGTGTACATATTTAAGAGAATGTCGATTCTAAAAAAGGTTGTCTATTAAATTTTGAATTTTAAAGTAAGGATACACTCCTATGCCCAACATCATAATAGTTTGGAAATGCCGCAATTTAAAATTCAGCATTGTGCTGAACAGCAGGTTGTGTGCTATTTGACAGTACATAATACTATTACAGATAGAATAATACACTATATGATGTTAATATAATACAAATACAATCCATAAATATAAATAATATAATATAATTTCAACAGCACATCGTGTATTGTCTGATAGCATTTGTTTATATATATAACCGCATGATGATGCGAAATTTTTTTAAATTGACACCGTAATCATCCCTGCGCAGGTTGTTTCTTGTTGCTAGTTGGAATTGCCGTTGAAAATTGAATTGAATATAATTTAATTAAATAAATTTAAATATAGGCAAATTCCGAACCGCTACAACAAATAGTTACGAATTTATCCTAACATCAACAGTCATCATTTAAAGAACAATTTTTTTATACTTTCCCTGGCTTCTTTTGTTCGATGTAACTTTCTGTACGATGATACAAGACAAAGATTTATGAACAAGACTGCAGGTTTTTTCTTTCTATACTTTTTTGCATTTATAACATGGTGTTGGAGCCTCATCTTGTGTATGTATGTGTATATATATATATATATCGACGGCCCCGACTTACAGCGTCGACGACAACTCCGGCTCGCTTGCACTGCCGCGAGACAGTCCTCTCAGCTGCCGCCAGAAGCTCCGAGTTCGCGCCACTTTCAGAGGCGCCGAATTAAACAGTCTCCGGAAAGATTCCGACTCCCTCTGGAACCCAAACGATGCACTCTGCAAATCCGTCGCGGATATTGCCGCACAACTATCGACCGTCGACTCGCATTTCTCCAAGTCGTCGACAACAATCCCCTCCGATCCTCTGCTACTGCAGGTTCTCGAAACCACGTCTCTCGTCTCCTCGAACTCATCGCAGACGAGCTTCAACGCCTGCACGACCTCGCCCATGAACGGCCGGTGCGACACTTCCGGCTGGACGCACGTCGATGCGATCGCCGCAACTTTAGCGAAGCTATCGACCGGCACGCCAGGTTTCAAATCCGGATCGATGATCGTTTCCGTGCCTTGTCGCGTCGCGAGGAGCGGACGCGCCCACGATACGAGATTTTCTTGCCCCGGCGGCCGCGACATGTCGACGGGCTTCCTCCCCGTTAGGAGCTCAAGCAGCACGACCCCGTAGCTGTATACGTCGCTCTTGACTAGGAGATGGCCCGTCATCGCATACTCGGGAGCCAAATAGCTGCAAACGATAGTTTTCGACGTTCTTTAAAACGGCGTTGCTTAAAAGCATCGCATAAGATCGTCAATCCGAACGACGTACCCGAAAGTTCCCATGACGTGAGTCGAGATGTGTTTGCTTCTTTCGTCCATCGCCGCTCTAGCCAACCCGAAATCGGAGACTTTAGGCGTGTAATCGTTTTCGAGTAAAATATTGCTCGATTTGAAGTCTCGGTGTATTACACGAGGACTCGAGTCCTCGTGTAAATAAGCCAAGCCCCGGGCCGAGCCTAATGCGATCTTCATCCTCGCACACCAGTCGAGCGTTCCAGTTTCCTTGTCAGCTCCTGCGCCGTCGAACAGATCCACTTAATTTTACGAATACCTTAAAGATGAACATGAATCGAAGATCGTTAGTATTTGTACTGACCGTGCAAATGTGAGTCGAGGCTTCCATTAGGGACAAGCTCGTAGACGAGACATCGACGATGGTCTTCCGGGCATATTCCAATCAGCATAACCAAGTTTCTGTGATGCAACCTGCCGAGCATCTCGACTTCTGCTAAAAACTCGCGGCTGCCTTGCTGATCGTCCCTCTTGAGAACTTTCACCGCCACGTTTCTTCCGTCGTCGAGAGTGCCACCGTACACTATCCCGAAACCACCTTCCCCAAGAATCCTCGACATATTGAACCTATCCGTGGCTCTCTCGATATCCTCGACACTGAAAATCTTTGCCGCACCGGTGTATGCCATAAGACTAGAGTTGAATGACGACATCGAAGCTGAGCTCGGTTGGCTTCCTAAACCTGTCGATTCGTATCCGTTCGATTCAAGAGTGCCAACTAATGTAACTATATATAACTAAGATGCATTCGATTACCAGGCACCATACCTGAAATCTTTTCGCCCGATGATGATAAACTTCGTCGATCTTGTTTGTGAAGGCAACCACAAAAGCCACATTTTGATAAAAGCAGCAGTAGAAAACCTCCACACGCTACGAAGGCTGTTACCGACGAGAGGATCACAATGATGACCATACTTTTGCTCGAGTCGTTCTTTCTTCTTCGTGGCACGTATACTCCCATCGGTTTTATCGGTCCATCGTCATCTCCACCACCAGGGAACGGTTGAACGTTGACTGTTGTAGATCCTGAGGTCGTTGAGAGGGGTGACGGCGGAAGGCCTGAAAATTTCAACTCTTTTAAGCGATTCGCCTACAGTGATGTTAGATAAAAAAAAAGTGGTGTTTTTCGAGGACTACCTGGATAGTGAACATAGAGCACCTCATAATCGCCCAATACTAATGCTTTTATGGGAAGGTTTCTGTTCCGGAACTTCGAATAAATAAAAAATGCGGTCCTAGAGTCGAACATCTGAGCTAGAGGCACCAGGTTAATAAGCACGGTGGTTTTGTCGAGCCGTTGGTCAGCTGCATCCGCTCCCATTATTCGTACTTGGCTTCGATTTAACGACGTAGCAACTGCGATACATTCGGCAAGATCGGAGACCAACGGAAGGAATGTGTACAGGGGAATACCGAAGCGAAGTTTAACTTCGATTGGCAGAACACAGCCACAGGGCGAGCCAGGAGGGGCGTAAGTCAATGGGGCAGTGCAGCTTACGGAAGTGCATCCTGCAAGGCAAGAATTCAGGAGGCGATTTTGGGTACGATGAAATGGATTGGGTAATAGAAAAGAAATTGAACAATTCTTGAATGCACGTACAACCATACCTTGATTCGGAGGAAGCTGTGGTAATGTCATGGTTGGAAGTGGTGAAAGAGATTTCTTATCATTTATCATCCTCGAGCTCATCGGAGCAATGGCAGGAGAATGGCCAGGCACTAGAAGATGCAGTGCAAATGGTTTTAGAATCAGATGGTGAAACATGAAAATACAACCATGCGATGAAGATCGAATATCCTGTTACCAAATAAATGATGGGAAGGAATTGCAGGCGGCCGGGGATGTCCTTTCGACGTCCGCCGGTGCAAAGTAGGTAGGAAAGAAGGCGATGGAGCCATTGTTGATCCTGCACAAGAACATAAATGTCGTAAAATGACTTGAACCAGCACAAAATTGAAACAACCTGCAGTATTTTGGTGTCGAGTAACCAACCTCTACTACGAATCTTGTTTTTCCACGACGAGACCGCTGCCGGAAAAGGAATAAACCTCCATTCTTTCCACCGTGTCCGCCCTATTCCAGACACTGGCGCAAGATCATCGTCTTTGTTACAGAAAAACAGGAACAAATCGTGTTGAAGACCCCTTGCTAACTAACAGTAGTAATGCAAGCTCAATTCATTTTTTTTTTATACTAGATTCTAGTTTCCAACAAGTTTCAATGATTTCGAATACATATTCATTACGTCATACGAAATGGTCGATGAAAAGAATAAACACGTGCACAGGCATACAAGTAAAACGAGGTAGTAAAGACGAGCTACCATATTGCAGAAATCGAAACCGGTGCATGCGCCCATTAGGGGTAAGATCACCGGCTTTCCGTTCAATACCATGAAGCCAAGAACCTATCGAAGGTGAACCAAGACCTGTACATAGATATGCACCATACACTGTAAGAACAGAACATCAAGAAGTTGTAAGACCTGTATTTGCTAGAATAAATACAAATTAACATAAATACTAAACAAATAAATCAACAAAAATATGACTTATGTCCAGAATTTGCTTTGGTTTAATGCTACTTCTTGATGAAAATTTCAATACGAGAATAACTAGATTCTATGAATAACATAAGTGAACAAATAAAATGTAGGAAAAACATAGGGGAAAGTTTTATTATGTAAGATTGAGAATTACTATAGCAACAGGAACCATTACACTCAAAATCCTATGATCGTATAACAAAGATTCAATATCATAATCTAGTAAAGAAGAGCTAATTGAGAACTTTCAATTAAAACTAAAAATCCTAACACAACTGCAAATAGGATTCAACGAAACTTTCGAGAAAATAAAAAAGCTAATTCCAACATAAACACTGAATATTCTAAAAACAAGATTTGATGCGGAAAAAGCAGTGCTCATCAATTAATTACCTGATGATTGTTGTAATAACCCGACACAGATTATGAAGAAAAAGAACCCTTCAAAGAAAGAGCTTAATTTCAGCACCATATCTCCCAGAAGAAATCAAAAACCAAAACCCATTTCTTATCTTCCCAAGAAATCCCTAAAGATGTGTTTGAAGTGAAAGAAAATGAGATACAGTGAGTAAGAATGGATGAATGAATGGTGCAAGTAAAGGAAAGGGTTTGAATGAATCTTTATAAATCTTTGCTGTTTGATTGAGTTTGGAAAAAGGAGTTTTTTAAAAAATTGAAATAATTCAAGAAGGAAGTCCAATGGCTGTGCAGCGAGTGTCTCTTACATGGCAATATCTGCCAAATGTCTGATTCATGGAACATTCTCTTGTCGTCTGAATCCCCACTTCCATTTTAGTTACTGGTTGATTGACACTAAACAATATTTAGATATGGATTAACTTTACTTATATTGGTTATTACTGAATTTTTTGTTGGGCTTGTGCCTATTCTTGGTATTATTGGGAAATTTAAAATTATTTGCTGCCTAACTAGAAGTTAAACACCAGTCAAAGTGTGTTTAGACTTGTGTGTGTTTCTTGTTTTTTAATTTGTAGAATATATATATATATTACATATTTGTTGGTCCACAAATTGACCCTTTCAAAGGTCAGAGTGGGTAGTGATGTTTTAACCAAGAATGGACCTATGATGAGGTCCTGTCAAACCCCAACTTAAGTGGCTAACATTCCAATACAATTTTTTTATTGCCCATTAGGGATGGAAGAAAGGGACCAATGTCCAGTAGAAAGAATAGATTGAGAAGATTTCTTGCCCACAAAATTCATACAAATTTTACATAATATTCAGAATTGATGATATAAATATTAATTAATCCAATACAATTAAATTAGACATAAGCAGAATAACACACATACAAAATGATCCTTCAAAGTAGCTACCAGACTCGATTCTCGAAGTTCAAACTCAAATCTTGATCATCTAATCATCTTAATATCTATAAAGATGAGGAGAACACGGGGCAACTAACCTCGTGTCCTTCGAAAGAGCAACGGAAATGTAGCTGAATTGAAGTAAGTCGAGGACCCAAGTTGAGCTCATTGATTCCCTGTCATTCGACCCTGCGTACATAGAGCATCAAGTAAGAAAAACATAACACAATCACTCACCTTGTTCTAATCATAGGTTGGTGTCCCTTTCTTGTACTGTAAATCTCCATCTGCAGATGAAACGTTTGTTGCGAACATAACATAGATAAACTGACTAAAATCTTACAGGATCATCAGTGAAGTGGTTCACAACACTGTCTGTGTTTTTTTCTTGTTTCCAAATGAGTCCTAGAGCTGCACATTTCAAAATCGAGCTACAAATAACCCCCGGGAATAAAAAATATTGACAGTCTTCAAGTTCACAATTTCTTATTGTCAAAAGAATTGAATAAAAATGATCCTATAAAACTCAACACAAGCAGCAGCCATAAACAATCACGCTATGGATCACTCTTTACATTCATCATGGGTTCCCATGTCTCCTCTGATACATGGAGGAGACGATATGTATTGACAACAGAAAATATGGTAACAACCTGTACAGCTCTTGAGCATGTCATTTATACACATGCATAGACATTTTTGCGCAAGTTCTTGGGAGCTCCTTGGAACCCAATCCCAGGAGAATCCTCTGCCATGCACAAAGCATGTCCACAGCGTTAATAGGTTCGATAGAGCTCCCAAGATTAGCCCAACAGCCAGTGAAAGGCATGCAGTATTGAAGTTCCCAGTTCCCACAACTTAGGATATGAAAAGAAGCCAACTTTAAAGGGAGCAGATTGCTAATCATGTAAACGAGCCAGTCAGGATCCTCCGGTAGATATACGGGCTTGAATTTCCTTGAAACAAGTTCTTCCTTGCCCCAAGAATGACCGTGAACCAGTCAAGAAATTGCTGCAAACAGGAGATCAAATTTATTATGCCACAGACAAGCACCAGAGCAGCCTGTGTGATATCTAATGCATAAAATGTAATTTACAAGAAGCAATTAAACTTATTTACAATGCACTGAATTTCATGCACCAGGAAACGGTGACAAGAAAACTGCTAAGAGCCATTTCATGATATGGGAAAACTCAATAGTTGAATAATGAAACAAGCTTCGAAAAATTGTGATAGACACGCAACTCTATCAAACTCAACATGTGTTGGGGGGTAATTTCAAGAGCAAAAACATACATTGATTACAACAATTTGAGCTGCTGGAAGTTCGGGTATTAATAATTATGAGGTGAATTGAATCAATGTTTTACAAAGCGAATTGAGTAAATGCAAAAATACCTTCACAATTTTCAGAGACTTGTGAACGATCATAGCCTCTCAACTCTGTTCCTCCAAAATCTCCCCAAGCATCTCTACACTTCTCTTGGACATCTCGCCACCTTTCAATAATGTTGTAAGGAACCGTGGGTACAATGCATGGTAATCCATGGTACCAGGCAAATCCTACAGAAATGAAAATCAAAATCTTAGCCCCCCATGATACAATTAGATTTAGATAAACAAGTAAAAATAAAAAGTGCCATTTCGAATCATTCCAGGAAAAAATATGTCAAAACAAGATCCAGCCTCCTATACTTCAAAGGAACAATTAAGAGACAAGGAGACAAACCATATGCTGAAAAATGCCTTGTGTCCCAGGATTAGCAGCTGGTGAATCTATTGGTACCTGTTGCATTTTTTAAAGAAAATTAAGCTAATTATCAAAAAAAATACTGAGAAAGAGATAAGGAGCTAAAGTACTAACCTTCCCTTTTTTACTTGTGATTCCACCATTGTCTGTGGGTTCCTTTCCAAGATTTGTCCTCTTGGAACCTTTATTCATATTGGTTCCTTTACATGTATGCAGCATCTGCCCACCCGAGACACTTGTATTATCTTGGCTCACTCCTGCAGCCACTTGAATGGCCATCGAGGGAGCAATGGGTCTCAAAACATCTTCGGAATGTTCATCTACATTTGAACATTGCTTCAGAGCATTACTTATGGCTTCAACTGCAGCATTGTAGCTTTCCTGCGATAGTGAGCCCTCTTCACCCAATATTATAGCTCGGCGACAGAGGTCATTGTAACGTCGGACCTTGGCCTGCACTTCATCCAATTTCTCACTGAGGGGAATTCTGCTTGTGGCAGCATTTGTCCATCTTTGCAGTATGTACTTAAAAGGAATGCTAAACACACCTGACATTTGCAGAACCACAATAGCATGTCTACAAAGATAGCCTTTGTATTCAAATGAACGACAAGAGCAGTATATGTCTGACTTATGTTCATTCCATTCCACAATGAAGTCTTGATTATTTTCAAAATCTTTCACTCCATATAATAAAGTTGAACCATCCTCCTTCTCTTTTTTCAGATGGCACGCAGCTGCTCCCAGGACCTCCATTTGAAACTTTTTGAAGATTTCATGAGTGCAAACAAACAGCATTTGTTTCTCAAAAGGTGAGGGTGACTTCACCTCTGGTGTTTCATGCCACGCATCAAAATTTGCTTTTGCCTCCTCTTCGTATATGTCTTCAAGAATTGATTTGTATTTTTCAATGAACTCTCTCAATGAAGTTTCACCATGGATGTATTTATCAAAGAAACTGTTCAAACTTTCAGCCCTCGAAGCTGCAGACAACCCGGCAAAGGAGACATCCTTAATAAACACAGGCACCCAAAGTTTGCGCTCTTCGTACAAAATTTGAAACCATTCATCTTCCCGCAGGTTGAACCTCTCAATCAACTTCCACCACCGCTTCTCATATTGTTCTTCATTCCATGATCGATAGATACACTTATTGAGTTTTTCCATAAAAGGGTCATGCCAGATACTAAGATAGCCGAGCTGCCTTGGTATCTTTTCCAGGATATTCCACAGATGGATATAATGGCGTGTGTCTGAACAAACCAACTGTACAGCAGCCTTGATCGTGTCGCTTTGGTCTGTTAGTAAAACGTTAGGACTCCGTCCCCCCATTGCCAAACACCATGACTGAAACAACCAGATAAAAGTATACACTGTATCATCAGCAATCAATCCACAACCAAGCAATGTAGGTTGGATGTGATGGTTCACTCCAATAAAAAGAACCAGAGGAATCCTGTACTTGTTTGCAAAATAGGTAGTGTCAAATGAAACCACATCGCTGAAATATGTGAAATCTTCCACTCCTTTTGAATCGACCCAAAAGATGTTTCGAAGCCGATGTTCCTCATTGAAGTCCAATGCATAGAAAAATTTAGGATTCTCTTCATGCATTTGAGCACAAAATTCAAGCACAATCTGAGCACCACCTTCTTCTAAACTTAGAAAACGCCCCCGATCATGCTGGTTCCGGATTACACCCTCTGTACAAGAACCTGAAAACTGATAAGCACCATACTGTTTAGACATTGAAGTAACAGCCTTCTTCTTTCTGACCTTCGTATCATTATTAGAAATATCAACATTCCTATGGCTTCTAAAAAAGTGTGCTTGAGCTGGTAAAAGCTCGTGGTTATGCTCTTTCACAAAACTATGAATATACCACTTCCCCGTCGGCCTCCTTTTCACGTGCATACTAGCTTTACACCCAATTTTCGGCGAAGGCCTTGGATTAATAGCATCATCTGATTGCTGCTTGTTTCCATACCTAATGCATGAAAATTTGGCATCTATGAATTCCTTCGATGCTCTGGATCGACGGCTGCTCAATTTGGCCGTACCAAACCCTAACGATTTAGCATATTCTTTATAGTACTCATAAGCTGCCTCGTGCGTATCAAATTCCATGTCATCCCTCGGTTCTAAGCTTGAATTTACAATCAAACTACCACCACTCGCCTCCATTGATCAATTAAACCAAACAAGAAGAAACTAAAACTCAATCCCTGCCAATGAAATCATAAACCTAAAGAAAATTAGAGCAACGAATCCTCCTAGAATATTAATCCAACAGATGAATATAAAAGCTTTAAAGGCCATAGTTATACAAAAATAAAATAAAATAAATTCCACAACACATGAAGCAAGAACTGTACCAGGAATGCGTCAGAGTACTTATTGTTCTGCAAATCAGCCGCTGATGAAACGAGAGGGCTCTTTGAGGAGATCACCACGGTCAGTCGGGCGATTTGGGGAAGTAAGATTGTTGCCTTGCGAACGTTTTCTTCATAATTTCAATAGTTGCACTATAGTCCTCAAACTTCTGTGTATCTGCTTTCATTCCCCAAAAAACACTTTTCTGAAAACCAACGGATAGGATAGGTTGACTTGTTGAGCTGTCAATTCCGTTTACATAAATAATTACGAAAATATGTTTATTTGCCCAAATCAAAATTTTACACGATATATATGTTCCTACTACTTTTTTTTTTCTTTTAAATTAGCGCTTAAATTCGTGTGATATGCGCGAGATTATTATAAAAAATAATATTAGTTAGTAAAATAATACAATAGATTATAAGATAATATTTTTCAAAGTCACTTAAATATAATAATTAATTAGTAAAATACAATAGATTATACTAATTAATAAAAAATATAAAAGAAAAACTTATAAAGATATAAATAAAATAAAATTATAATATCAAACTATCAATATTTATAATTACAATTGAAAGTATCAATAATTATTATTTACTTTTAAATTTAAATAATAAATAAAATTATATTATATGTAAAAATATTTTAAATTAGAAAAATTATGTAAATAATTATATAATTTAATATTTTACTATCTTATTAGTTTTTTAATAGTTTTTTAATTTTTCATCATATTATTATTTTTATTTTTATTTTTATTTGCTTCAAAACAATAAATTAATTTGTAATTATAACATTATTGTTTGTAATCAAATAACGTTTAACAAAAATAAATAAAAATTTTCAGACAATTTTTTTAATGACAAGGGCACCGACAACTACTAAGACGAATATAATCAATTCGTATAAAATAGAAAAAAAAAACTATTTAAAAAATAGATTGGAAAAAGAAAATGCAAAACAAATTAAACTATACATATAAAAATCGGCATTTTTTTTTTTTTTTTGCAAATACTGTAAAATAATATTAATAAAATTTTCTAAAATTTTTTTCTAAAATATTATGTTCAACTTCAATCAACGACAATAATTAGGACGATGAACAATTTTCGCGTTCACATAGCATTTTGCTCAGATATGAATAAATATTACCTAATGAATACAAATATACACAAATTAGATAGTGGAAAAAAAAAAAAAAAAAAAAACTATATTACTGCCAACTTTAAAATTAAATGAAATTATAGAAAAAAAAAATCATGAGATTAAAGAGATAAAATCCAAACAAATGTAAAATTGATGGGCGAAGACGGCACAGTCTTTTCCAGAGCTGGATCTCACGTTCTTCATACATCCACCATATACAAAATTTATACTCCATAAAAAAATATATATAACAAAAAATAATAATTTAGTAAATAGAAAAAAAAAAAAAACAAATGTAAAATTAATTGGTGAAGAATATGGAAAAATAAATGAGATATATGTACTTTGATCTTCTTCAGTGATGATTTGTTTTATAAAATTTATCCAAAATTAATTTTTTATATTAAATCTAAAACCACCCACTACCCATTATAAAATTGTTAAACACTAATTTCAAAATAAAAAATACTTGTACTAAATTTTAATTTTTTTTTTCTAGGATATAAGATAGGATATATAGGATAAGATATGATAGGATATGTATATATTTATATTGTTTAATAATATTTATGAAAAATTATTTTATTAAAAAATTGTTGAATAAACAAATAAATGTTGTAATATAAAACTGTTAAAAAAATTCAATAAACTATGATAAAGAAAATAAATAAGCACATTAAAAACTCAATAAACTTATTTTGCAAATTATTAGATAGCGCAGAATTTACAAGTGTACTGCGAATTTTCAAATTATAAAAATAATGAAATTATATTATAAGGTTTTAGTAAATAAAATAAAATTAGGCCATAGTGTATGTTATAAGCATAGACTAAAACCTCAATACACAGCACAGGCACAACTCGCCGTACACGTTTCTCTCTGCACTAAAGTCAAAAACCCCTAAAACCCTAATTTAACTTTCTCACCCTGTTTCCCTGTCCGGAATTCGTCATCTGATTCGATCATGTACAGAATCGCCGCCGCTGCCATTGCCTCCTCGATAAGGTTAGATGCCAGCTGGATTGCTCTTAGTTCATTATGTATTGAATGTGGCCTCTGTTGTATATTTACTCTATGATTCTGTGTGCAGGTCTTCTGCTTCCAGAAACCAGGTGTGTACTTCAAGTGTGAGTTCGGTTGATTCTTACTTGCTTATTGATGTGCTATAATCTTTATTAGCGTGTTCCTTTTTGGTTAAATTTGGATGGACAGGTATGCGGCAGGGTCGTTCATAGCAGAAATTATGTTGCTAAGGATATTAGTTTCGGGACAGGAATTCGAGCGGCTATGCTCGCTGGGGTTAATGAGCTTGCGGAAGCTGTTAAAGTCACAATGGGACCGAAGGTATGTGGGGGCTTCGCTTTAGTTTGCTCATAATTAATTTGCGAGTTTTTGTACGAAGTCCAATTTGGAAGGGGCAATTGAGAACAAGGTGATGAATCATTTAAATAGGTGTGCTAAAATTTGGTTCTGGTTATGTAATGGAAAGGAGCATCATGTTTTATTGTTAAATCTTAAATGGCAGCAAGCAATAGATGATAAACATTAATCTTATTTGGACAGTGTACCATAATGCCTGAATAGTGACAATTTGTTTCTTTTCGTTCCATTTCTGCACTTTCGATTTTCTGGTTTGAAAAGCTGCTCATGGTTGTACATGTCTTGTTTAGGGTCGAAATGTAATTATTGAGAAACATGGAGATCCCAAGGTCACAAAGGATGGGGTCACAGTTGCCAAAAGCATCAAGTTTCCAGATAAGGCGAAAAATACAGGAGCAGATCTTGTGAAAGAGGTTGCTAAGGCAACTAATAAAGTTGCTGGTGACGGTAATCTAATTTCCTTATAACTTAAGAGGATCGTCATTTTCCCTTGATTGATAAATGTTGTATGAAATGGAAAACAGTTTTCTCCCATTACAGAACAACTTTTAATAAGAATTATTTCAAGCTATAAGATCATGACACAGAAAATGATGTTGCAACAGGCACCACTTGTGCCACTGTGTTGGCACAGGCAATATTCAGAGAAGGTTGCAAATCAGTGGCTGCTGGGGTGAATGTGATGGATTTGCGGAAGGGTATAAACATGGCGGTTGATGCTGTTATTGCAGATTTGAAGGGCAGAGCTATCATGATCAGCACACGTGAAGAAATTACACAGGTGACTGGCCTATGGAACTTGGAACTGATATATTTCTTTGTATATGTGTATTAGGAATGGAAAAACTTAAATTTACAACATGTTGGCACTTATGCCCTTTTTTTAGGTGCTTAGTCACTTGAAAATAGTCTCATTAATCGGCTTGATAGCTAATCGCATGTTTATAGAAATAGGCTTTATACACTTATACTGATTTCATTTTTCTTGTTTCTTATGCACATTCTCCGTATTAAAGGTGGGAACTATATCAGCAAATGGCGAACGTGAAATTGGTGAACTTCTTGCTCGGGCTATGGCGAAAGTTGGGAAGGAAGGAGTCATTACTGTTGCTGTTAGTATGCTTTAATTCTAATCTTGCAACTATGTGTTCTAATGATTGGTGCACAACTAAAAGGCAGTTCCTAAATTTTGCAGGATGGTAATACACTGGATAATGAATTGGAAGTGGTGGAGGGAATGAAGCTTTCCCGTGGTTATATATCCCCTTATTTTGTTACAGATGAAAAGACCCAAAAATGTGTATGTAAAAATCACTGTACATGGAAAAACATGTCACCATATTTGTTGTTTCAATAGTTGCTGAGTGCGTCTGCAACATGCTCGGTCGGTTGAGTTGTTTTATGACTCTTTAGTTCAAATTGCTTCTCTTAGGAAAAAATCTGATGGTTCTCATGTTAAACTGGAATGTCTTGCCTGCAAAGCTACTCAACGTTTGACAGAGTAACAACAGATGGATATATATGAATGATAACGATGCTAGTTTTAAAGTTACTCTGTGTTTTTCTATTGTTCTATTTTGAATGTTGTTCGTTACGTTGTTTTGTAATTTTTCTTTTTCATGCAAACAGGAACTTGAAAATCCTTTAATTTTAATTCACGAGAAGAAAATTTCAGACATGAATGCTCTTGTGCGAGTATTGGAGCTTGCTGTAAAGGTAATATATGCTCATTCGACGGAATATTCAACACCATGCCTATAAGTTTGATGATTGGAGGAAAAGACTTGTTGGTGCATCTTAGATGAACATTAGGATGAATGACTGCATCTCATGACTTTATTTTTTACAGAGAAACCGGCCTCTGTTAATTGTTGCCGAAGATGTGGAGAGTGAGCCACTTACCATGCTCATAATAAACAAGCATCGTGCAGGATTGAAGGTAAGATGACCATGTGTTGTTAATAATATCTGTTTTGTGTAAAATAATAGTTAAGAATTAGTACTGGTATTTGATGGAGCAGCCGCACCCCCCCCCCCCCCCCCCAACTCTCTTTTTTAATTGAGAAGGTCACACTCTAATGCTCTATCCCATGATTTGGTAGGTTTGTGCTGTGAAAGCTCCTGGGTTTGGGGAAAACAGAAGAGCAAATTTAGAAGATCTTGCCATTCTCACTGGAGGGGAGGTGAGACAGGCGTCAACCTGACAATACAGTTGTACACATTGATCTAGTATCCGGCTCATTGTGAAATCTGCAGGTCATTACTGAAGAACATGGAACAAGTCTAGACAAAATTCAAATTGATATGCTTGGTTCAGCCAAAAAGGTTTGTATAATTTTATGAATACACTTGTTGAATGATATTAAGTACGAACTCTATAGAGCCTGTTTGTTTTTCTGGTGGAGCAGGTCACTGTTTCTCTTGATGACTCTGTAATTCTACATGGTGGTGGCGATAAAAAGTTGATAGAAGAAAGGTGTGAGCAGGTATGAGCGACGAACATGAAAATCTGAGAACTTCTCGTGGTTAAATTGCTTTATCACTTTCTTGGCGGTTTCTTAGCTCCTAGCGATTGCAGAAAATCTATTGCTGAGATTTATCTCCAGTAGATGAAGCATTCTTTTGGTTCTCTTGGCTTTGTTATTCAATAGATGCTGCTTACTTCTCTAAAATCACACCCACATCTTATTTAACCATAACATTTTAGTCCTAGATGATAACAGGGACGTATCATAAAGTGTATATTGCATGCCTCGCAATATCTATTGTCAATCAGCCAACTAATCTTTCTTATCTGTATAGCTACGATCTGCTATTGAGAGAAGTAGTGCAGCATTTGACAAGGAGAAAGCACAAGAAAGGTTATCAAAGCTGTCTGGTGGTGTTGCTGTTTTCAAGGTACATTTATCACATCAATATTCGATGCGACGGCTTCTATACCACACTTGTTGGCCACTAATTTCCTCTCGCAGGTTGGAGGGTCCAGTGAAATGGAAGTTGGAGAAAGGAAAGATAGGGTAACAGATGCTCTAAATGCAACAAGGGCTGCTGTGGAAGAGGGCATTGTTCCAGGTAAACACTAAGGGTTGCGAAGGTGGAGTCGAAAGACACCATTTATGAATCCATTCATTTAAACACCCAGACGGAAACCTTTTGACGAATGCAAAATCCAGTCTTCTCTTTTAGAAAACATGTAGGAAAGGAAGATGCGTATTGAGAAACTTTTGGGGTGGCTTTCTTGCAGGGGGCGGTGTCGCCCTTTTATATGCAACAAGAACTCTCAAAAACCTTAAAACGGAAAATGAGGACCAAAAAAGAGGAGTCGAAATAATAGAAAATGCCCTGAAGGTGGTTTATAATTTAAATGTTTCTTTGTTCCCTCTGTCATCTTAATGGCTAGCAGTATGTGAGCCGCTGACATCTTTTATGTAACAGGCACCGACCTTTACTATTGCCTCGAATGCAGGAGCTGACGGGGCTCTAGTTATCGGTAAGCTATTGGAGCAGGATGATCCCAACTTGGGCTATGATGCTGCCAAAGGTTCGTATACCTGTGAAAGCATGAACTAATTTTTTCGGATATTGGTTATTTTTAACCTTTCTTAGTTGCCATTTATCCATCTCTACTTTTGGTTATTTTTACCATTTTATCTTTGCCATGTTTCTTATTATACTATTGGCCCTAGCTTCGCCTTGTCTCATAAAGTGTTGTGATGCTAAACTTGTACCTGTGATGACAACTTTTCAGTTCTCACTCATCTTCGTATGTCTTTCTGTTGTTCGATTATGTGAAAAGCAGATCAGTATGTGAACATGATAAGCGAAGGAATCATAGATCCCGTGAAAGTCATTAGAACAGCTTTGGTAGACGCCGCAAGGTGAGGATCAAACTTTGCTATACTATCCTCCTACACACATTTCCTACATCATTTCATCGACATATATTCTAACATCCTATTCTCATCTGCAGCGTCTCGTTGCTTTTGACAACAACCGAAGCTGTTGTCCTCGTCTCCCAAGGGGAGAAGCCTAAAAAGCGCGTGGCAGATTTAGACTCAATGGGGTATTAACTCGACCCTCGAAAATAGGAAAGAAAGAACCAACACAAGAATCCCCAATTCAGCCAAATCAATCTCTCATCATTTTTGTACATGTACAATACAATATCATATGTTTCCCATATGATCCTAAAACATTTATTGCATTGTCAATTTTCTTGTCCCCTACAAGACAAGAATTGCCCATTTGTATGCCTTCCTGCAATAACCATTCTTCATATTTATTCTCATATCTACAAATTTCGATGATCTTCGAATCAAATGTCACAATTTGTGAGGCTGAAAAATGGATCAGAAGCCTTCAAATCACTATGATCTTCAACACATGAAAAACAATCTTCCTCTTCTCTGCACAGCCCTTTCTCCTCTGTCAAGACACCATTTTTACTGCAAACATAAAAATACATTCGTCATCATTGATCGATTTCATCGTGATTTCGATGAATTTTTTGTTATAATGAGACCGTTCTTGAAATGGGACAAACCTTGTTAATACAATGTTGCCATCGGCGTCGAATCCGAAGCGATCGTCCTCTCGAACATTGTCGTCATTTTCGTCGTCGCCGTCGTTATTATTGCAATTCAAGTGTTCGAGAATTGGCCTCATATCATTCGGACATTCCTCCAAATTGTTATTCTGATGAGGAAATGAATCAGAAATCGAGTCTGCAGAAACATTGCATCCCCAAGAATTGACAACTTCATCTTCCCCTGTCCATTTCTCATCATCATCATAAGGCCCCAAATCCCCGGCATGCATCGCCGGAGCTTCGCCGGAATCCGGGACCGGCCCGGCCTGGGAGGCGGCGGCGGCAGCCCGGCAAACGGCGAGGTGGTGGAGCACGATCTCGAGCTCGGCCTTGGCCAGGCTGATCCGGTCCTCCAAGTCCCTGATCATGCGGTAGCAGCCGCCGACGGGGTCGGCGGCGCGCGCGTCGGATTGGAAGATGATGGTGCGCATGGCGTGGTCTTTGGCCGGCGGGTCGAGGTGGCGGACGATCTTGACGATGTTGCTGACGCCGAATAGGCGGTGGGCGTTGAGGAATTGCCGTTGGCGGTCGTGGGGGAAGTAGGGGGCAAGGATGCAGTCCGACGCGCACTTGCGCCGTTGGTACTTGCATGCAGCGCAAACTTGCGTCGACGACGAACTATGGTTGCGCGGCGGCGGAGGCGGCGGATGGTGGTGGCGGCGAATGCCGGTCGAGAGGTCCCGAGTTCGATTCTTGGAATTGTTATTGTTGTTGTTGTTATAATTGTTGTTGTTTGAATGTAGGATGTTGTTAGTAGGAAGGGGGGAATGTTGTTGGAGGGTGGGGGGGTGCATGGTGGGGGGTGGGGGGTAGGATATATGAGGGGTGGGGGGCGGCTCCGGCGGGAAGGGGGAGAATTTTTGTGAGTGATGATTGAATTGAGGCTTTGTTGTTGGGAAGTCTCTCGTCTATTGTTGTTTGTTATTTTTGTACTAATTTTAATTTGTTGGGAATAATAATATTTAAGGAATCTATTGTTGGAAGGTTGGGAGGGATTCTTGGAGGGAAACTTATCTATCATATGGGTTATCAAGTTTTTATTTGTCATCATTTTTTATATTCTTATGTTATTACTGGTTGTGTTTATTGATTTTTATTTATTTATTTATTTTTTGGGATATGGAAATTGTTTTTGGTTTTTAGAAATGAGAAGGAAAATCAAACATAGACTTGCAAAATAGAAGTATGAAAACACAAAGGGTGTATTTACTTGTGAGATCGATTTTACTATTGTAATTTTTTTTTTTTTACCATCAGAAAAATATCAAATCAAGCACCTATTATTTATTTACTATATTATACTAAAATTAAATTTTACATATTCATCGAACAACTATTTCAATTCAAAATTTTATTATTTAAAACCAAAATTCCAAACACACCCGTATTCTTTAATGAAGGATAATCTCACAATCATCCCAATTTCATGATCCTATTTAAATAAGAGAGTAACCCAAACCATTTGGTTCCAATGATCTAAAATAAAGAAGTCATTACAAAGCAGAAAATCAACAAATATCAATATCAACATTACAAAAACTTTCCAACTATATCTGAGCCACAAATGAGAACATATATATATATATATATATACCTCTATCAGGTACACCAAAGAGTTAGAACAATGGTTTTTCGTGTTGTAAGGATGCAAGAACACAAGGGATTTTACCCAAATTAGAGGGCAAGCACTTAGATTTGATCCTGGATGAGTTCTTGAACTGAACTTCTGTACTTTGATATAAGATCCCTGAACCAGTGAAAACTTTGTCTCATATACAGACATACATTCTAATTCTATAACACCAATAATGATTTCTACTTTAGCAAAATAGAGCAGAATGGATTGCCAATTAATGCAGCACCAAGTTCAGTTCATGGCAAATTTACACGAAAACACACAAACCTACCTTCGTTGCATCAGCAATTTCTCAGTTTCCTCCCGCCTGTGCTTTTGTTCCTCAACAGTCTGTCAATCATGATGCACCAGAAAGAACAATTGAGTATTTATCGAACAAGAATTATTTTCAATCCGTGCTTTATCAATACAAAACCACTATGCACTTGTCGGGTTTAAACTAAGCCATGATAACACAGCATTCGATACAGGAAACAAGATTTAGTTTTTTAAAGCTATGGCATTTAATTTGAACAAAGAAATTCTTCAGTAATCCCTCGTGATGGCTAAAATAATGGAAAATAGGCAAAAATATTGAGTCGGGAGTTACCGTGGATTTGGCCTTAATTGTGCCTGAGATAGAGTTTAATAGTTGCTGGCATTTCTCAAACTGTGTGTTCAACTCACCAACCTTCCATGAAAGTAAACAACCACCATTGTTATATCAGAAAAACCAAAATCCAGCTGAATGATCCAGTAGCAACAGAAGAATAATTGCAAATGGATTATTTGTACCATCATACATAAAATGCATATTATATTGCAACAACTGAAAGCATGATTATACTTTCTAATTAGGTCAGGCAAACTTGATCTCGAAATTATACCAATTTGATGCAATTAAAGGTCAAAATAACAATAGAATACCAACCAAAGCATCAGTTTGCTGATCCCTAGCCCCATTTTCAGTCACATCAGCTAATTTCTCCACCAGCTGAAACGAATTCCAAACATGTTTCATCATTATTGTTATTATTATTTTTTTAAAAAAAAAAACCTAACTAGCGCGCAAACAGAATCGATTAAAAAGGGACGAAAATCGGAAAATTACATGGAGCAGATGAAAGTGAGAGGCGAGAGACTGGTGATGCTGTTGTTGTTGTTGTTGCTGCTGCTGCTGTTGTGGTGGTTGTTGGAAACGCGCCTGTTGCTGATTGAATTGCTGCTGAAATTGCTGCTGCTGCTGATTGAACTGCTGCTGTTGAAGGAACAAATGATCCTGATTTGACGGAGTAGCGGGATTACTATGGGATTGAATGTTGGGAATCATCGTCCAATTCCCTCCACCGAAATTCTCCATTGTTGGAGACCTCCCAACTCACGAAGAAACAGAGCGAATAAAAACGTCGTCGTGTAGTTCCCTGAGCCCATATGGCTTTGGGCTTAAAAATTATTATTGGGCCAAAAGTAAGGCCCAAAATGATCTCTGTTAAGTCAACGTGGATTCAAAACATTTTACAATGGTGCGCACAGAAGAAGAAAAAAAAAGAAAATCGGACTCGAGGAGAATTCCGTTTGCTGGATTGCGAGAGTTGGGGATTGATTCGAGGTTCGTTTTTCAACTGTGTTTTCTGTGATTAGGTGCTTTGATCAATCGAATTCATTTGCTTTCGAACAACTATTTGGTGAAAATTCTATGTATTCTTTGGATTGCCGGTTGCTGATTGCTCCGGATGATTTATTTTAGCTTCGTTTTGCCTTTTAGCTCTAGTTCTTCTATTTTGCTCCTAGAGAATATCTGGCTGGGCGATTTTTGAGTGACAATTAAGCATTTGTTGGGATGTGTCGTGTTTAGGTAATGATTCATTTTGGGAAATTGACATTTCTTTTGGCAATCAGCTTTGAGAAGGCTTTGAATTTGGCATGGCTGTGTGTTCTTGATGAGATGATAGCCTTTTCATTTTGTTTAATCGTTTTTGAAAGACTTTGGAACAATTTGTGATGTGTTCTTGTGTTGATTGAAACTGGAGAGTGAATTATTTGTTCAATTTCATGGTCTTAGGGTTTCACTATGCATTTTGAATAAGGCTGTTAAACGAATCGGCTCGGTTCATTTATAGAGATAAACGAACCGAGCACCGAGCTCGAGCTCGAAAAATTAATTTTCTTATAGTGATAATATATTTATATTATTTATATATTAATATAATATATATAATTTTTTATATCAAAATCTACATTTATTATTAAAATTTGAATATTTTATTATAAAAAATTATGAATAAAATTAAATATATTAAAAAAATATATAGAATATATATAAAATTCAAGTCGAGCTCGAGCTTGAATTTGAGTCTAACGAGTCGAGCTAGAGCCACTATTTTGGCTCGAATTCTTAACGAGCCGAGCCGAGCTGAGCTTATATCGTCAACAAGTTCGAGTCGAGCTAGAACAACCGATACTCGAGCTCGTTCGGCTAGTTTAACAGCTCTAATTTTGAAGCTTAATTTACATATGCACTGCGCTCGGCTAGTTTAACAGCTCTAATTTTGAAGCTTAATTTACATATGCACTGCGTGAGAAACTTGAATCAGTAGCAACAGTTTGACTTCCATAATAATGTAGAAGGAGCTGCTGTTCATTCTCATTTATGTTACGAGATTTTATCTTCATTTTTCCAATAAAACAATATGCACTCTCTGCATATGCTATTAATAAAGTATTTTCGAATCTACATATCTTACTGGTTGCATATTAACATTCTTGATGAACTGTTTATTGAACTTGATGAATTGTTGGGTGGTGCCTGTTTTCGATTTTATTTTGATTTATTGTCGCTCCTTAGTTCTTCGCCCCTATTAAATCTTCGACCCTGAATCTGCAGTCAGTGAAGTATGTCGGTGAAACCAACAGTAGCATTAAGAGCAATGCTCGTCGGAGGGATTGCTGCCTTTGCTAAAATCGGAGGCGCAATGAAAGCAGCTGGTGGAGTGAAGCTCGGCGCAGCTGCAGCTGCCGTGACTGCAGCAGCAACGGCTGCTGTATCCGGATCGAAACCAGAACTGAAAAACACTGAAGCACAATCTTAAAATAAAACCCCATCCTATTTTTTCGGGAATTTTTGCTGATATCATAATCTGCATTTAGCTCGGAGCGTGTTAACGCTGTTGGGACAGAACATTATGAATTCTTCTAATGAATGGCGAAGTATATGCTAATGAATCTAGGTACACATTTAGCCTTCTGCGCTCGATACTGTATGGTATGGCCCAATGGGACATTGGAGTGTAGGATATTCCTCAGATAGAATCTACATGATCTTATTTCATTTCGGTACCTCAGGAGATCAGGAGATCAAAACACCTTGTCTTCTTGATTTACCAAGTTTTGAGCTCTTAGAGCCGCAGGTGAAATCGGGGCCATCAGCTGAGCTCACAACCAGATCTGGTTTCGGGGGTTCGAGCTCCAAGATGACCTGATTGTGCAGAATGAACCAATTGGTTAATTAGTCTCAAAATAAATTCACTATGCAATCTACTACAAATATGTTTCCTCTCCCTAAGTTTCAAGAACATTAGTATGTCAGTATGATTTATACCACATTATTATCTCCTTGCCGTAGGAATGGCGCCGGCACATAAAGGTTGCATTGAGGTCCAGCAGACTGCAAAAAATCGAGACGAAACCACAGTGTCATTTGCACATTGAAGACAGAACAAGAAGGCAATCAAGGCTGTTTTGCCGGATGAAAATGAGTAAATTTACCGGCCAAAATCGACCAATGTTAATATCATTAACAAATGCAATTCCTTTACTCCAGCCTCTGAAGGATAGATATGTGTCTCTGACTTTGTCGATGGTGAAGTGGCCGGCGTAAAAAGCTGGTTCATGAATATTATCTGCAAAGGGAAGCAAATGTTAGAATTAACATGCCTTTTTGTAGCTACAGAACAATATCGAGGAAAGAAGATGCAATGGCAGCTTATAGAGGGACTCACTCTTGTTTTTCGGATTTTTGTACGAAGATCCATTCATACTTTGTTTCAGAATGATGGGGTTACGGGCTTCGTTCAGATTTTGGAAGGCGATAGGAAGCATTTCCCAATGGTACAGAGGGTTCCCATCAAGATAAACAGCTGACAAAATGCCCTGAAAGCAAATATCCGAACAATAATCAATGCCGGTGAAATACTAGTGATGGTATCAACACAGGGTTAATGATAGTTACCTTCCTGTCGAAAATATATTTCCCATAATTTATGCGACCCATATTTTCAACCTGCAAAAGTAAAGAGCAATGTCAACTTGACAAAAGAAATTCTTTACAGAATTTGAAAGCATTGGGTATCCATACCAGGATATATAATTTAGTTTCGGATTCACATTTTAAGCGCGGCAGGTAAATGGGTTTATTAGACCATCTTGCGATGACACCAACGTATGTTGGCCTCTTCTCACTATCTTTTGGGCAGGAAATAAACACTTGAGCTCGGTCGTGCACCTGAAAAATAGATGATTCTTGAATGTGAGAGTTACAGAACATTTTAAGACCAGGCCAACAAGAATGGTTGTGAATTAAAGGAACCTTCCTTTGCAAATATGACTGGCGCTAACCTTTGGTATGGACAATATACTTTTGTCGTCTTTTGGAGTGTACTGTGAAGAATATAAGATGAAGCCGAACATCTGGAAGAGAAAACACAGCAAGTTAAATGAACTCATCATCTGTATTCAATCATTTAAGCTTGTTTTCAAGAATCAAAGTGCAGTTGGTGCTTCATCACCTGTCCAATAACTTCCATTGCGATTGGATTAGCAGACTCAACCACATCGGCACGGCCTTTCATGCTGATTGTATCAAACAAATATGAAACTCTGTCGAGCTTAATTTGGCCATAAGCTATCCTCTCATTATTAGGGGGAACAGAAGCAAGTGGCTCTGCACTGTATTTGGCAATAACCCTTCTCAGAGCTGAAAGCAATGCCACATGATCATCAAAATCACAGAATAATCAGTAAGGGTTTCTCATTTAAAGGGCAAGATAATTATCACTTTGAAACTCCTTTTTAAGTAAATCTATAAATTGCAACAAAAACAAATAGATAATATATACAATGTATCTAATCATTTGAGTTTTATTCTAATAAACAGATCAGAAGGGACCACTTCAAAAACTAATCGAGGATTGAACCCAGTGTTCATACTGCCTAATGATTGTAATAATAGCATCCGTATCAGATAACCAGTTTCTTATGAGAAAGTCCAGCATAAAAAATAAGAAGATAAAAACTAGATCAAGAAAATAAATTGCATTTGCATGAGGATTCTGAAAATACATATCTGGTAGCCTCTGTAAACTGACTTGGTTTAAAGTCAATTCAAACATTAAACTGAAACAAGGCTCTGAATGAAGCAACCAATCATGTAAAAGACAAAAGAGAAATGCAAAATATATCTGGGAAAGGTATCTGCAAGGTTCAAGTACCTTCGTATTTTTCATTATCCACGTCTCCAGATTCCCTAATAGGTGCATCCTAGAAAACAGGTGACAGTTGAAAAAGAAAATGAATTAATTATGGTTGTGGTAACACTTATTAAGGTAACAAAAAACATAAAGAGTCTACTAAGGTCCTCACATAATCATAGGATGTAAGATCAGGCTGGTAGTCTGACTCATTTGATCCAGTATTAGCACCACTATAAAAACCAAAGTTTGATCCACCATGTGCCATCTAGATATAAAGCATTCAGTGAGTGGTGGAAAAAGACATTTTCAACAAATAAAGGTTGAGTTTAAAGACTTACATAAAGAACGGCAGATCCATTCTTTGACAAAATATTTTCCAAGTTAGTAGCTGTAAACTGTGCACCCGTACTCGCAATATTCTCTCCCCAATGTGTGAGCCAGCCAGTATAGAATTCACTGGAATGATGCATGGTTGTTATATGCTGCAATGCAAATGTAGTAATAAATTTTAGAAGATACCAACGCTGAAAGAGGAGGTGATTTCCCTGGTGCATTAAACTCTTTCTGTAACTTGAATATTGCCCATGGTTCCTCTCCAGTGGAAAAGTCAACAGCTGTAAAAAAATAAAAATAAAGAAAGATCCATCTGGTCAGACACTCAATGAATTACTAACTGGTTAGACACTCAACACTCAAGTAGCATACGAAGCCAAACTGTGGATTAAGACTCCTCTCATGCCCTGTGTGAAGTCCAATATTGTGAAGATATGATCAAAGAATTGATGGTTTGTTTACTTGTAGTTTTCAGACCAACTTTTTACTATTTAACCTCCCAATTTCTCTCCAAAAATCATCACATGAACACCAATTTTTCATTCAAAATATCACATTCAATAACCATATCACCTCCAAAAAATCAAACCAACAAATCCCATGTGAACCGTGTGATTGCTAATGAACAACAACCACAATGACCATTAGCTTGCTTGAGTGGCTGTGGACATGGTAATAATCTGAACATATCTTTTGCGGATCCGATTTAACAGTCAACGTTGACCTTATTACTGGTTATACTTCCTCAACAAAATAAGTGTCTGTGAATATCGGAGTACAAATGAATAAAAAGCAGCAATGTAAAGTCAGAATTCACTTAGACAGCGAGGAATATCTATAAAGTATTCCAGTCATGCTACCTGAGAAAACAACATCTCCAGGAATTGTTCCTTTATGAAGGGTTTCCCTAGTACCTCCATCGGTGGTATACCTGCAAACCCAAATAGAAAATGAGAACAACATCAATGTCCACCAACCCTGGAACATAACAAGTTGGTTGACATCATTTTAATATTTTTCTAGATCTCAGGCCATTGCAGGTATAAACAAAAATTGAATTTAAGTAGTTTGCTTGCATTAAATTTCTGCAAAATGGAAAGATAGAATATGTCCACTTAATAAAAGCAGCGGCAATGCCCACTGTTTGCTGCTTCAGCTCACAATATTGTATCATCCCCAAGGTGCCTTCGTGCAAGTTTGACCAAATAATGCAGGTAAGCCTTGTCATCTCCATATGAACCATATTCATTCTCAACCTATATGCGAACAAGCACGATTGTCAGAAATTGGCATATAATATGTTTGCTAAACAAGATCACATAATTACCATCATCTTACACAACATGGAGTAAAAATATGATGAGCTTCTACTCATTAGTAGCTATAAGCAGTATGGTTTCCAATGCACAGATTAAGGCAAATTAACATGGAGCTAGAAAATCTAATCTTTGACCTTTTCCAACTCCACTCAAACAATAACAGTATTGCACAATGGTTTTATCATAAATTTAAAAATAAATAAATAAAAAGGAAAAAGTATTACAACATAATGGCAAGGATCATTGGGTTTGCCTACTTGGTGTTTTTTCCAATTTTTTTTTACTATTCAATCTTTTATTTTTCTCTTCAAAAACATTACATCCAACGCAGCATCACACTCAACAACTATTTCACCCACAAAAAAAAACCGTAAGCAAACCTATAATTTTTGGAAGTTTATTAATTTGATAGAAGCAATTAATGGAACTAAAGAATTGGCCTGTATTTGAAACTGAAACAGTTTCTCTTCAAATTAATAAAATTATTGGGTACTAAACTGGTAGGTTTGCAGGTTTAAGAGGCTACTCATCTTGTTTTAAGTTACTGATGATTCATTATTGCTAACTGAGAGTACTCAATTGAGGAAAATATTATTTTTTTTTTCACAGGCAGGCTAAGGTCATGGAAACAGATTGTTTTCAGGTGGTGATTAATATCCACTAAATTTTATTTTTGCTCTATTTAATTAGTTGCTTACAATTCTTGGTCTGTATCACAAGTTACTACAACTTATCAATTCAAAATTCAATATGATGAGTAAATAGATATAACAAACCTGGACCATTGCAATAGGACCTCCATTGCTGTAGAGAAAAGGAGAAATTTTTGGAAGTAGAACATTCCACCACTTTTCAACCTAGAATAAATTATCATGAAGCACCAATTTGTGTAAACTTTAGGAATAAAACACATGAATCTTTTAAGTCTGCTGAACCAGCGAGTCAAAGTTAATACTGCCAAATGGCTCAAAACTTTTCTTAGGAATTAAACCACCATATGCAACCCTTTATTTTTTCTTTTTGTAACACAGTTTTTCACTTGTACAAACAATTGTGCAATATCTCTTGCTGTTACATGCTTCGTAAGTTCATTACAAATCTTTTACCACTTAATATGATTGCATACCTGTGGGCTGTGGCACAGATACATTATTTTGAAATTAATGCAACATGAAAAAATAAGCTATCCTTGCAAACCAGTATACTTGCACCATGCAGCAGAACATAAATGCATATGAAAAATTTACAGAGTCAAGGAAGGCAGGGTCTGATGATCTTAGCCTAACAGCAGGCTCCTTAGTAAGTAACCATGGAGGGAAGCCACCCAAATCCCACTCTACAACCAAAAGAAAAGGTCAAGAGTATAATTAAGTGGCAGAAGTTCCTGAGGTCTGTGCTATACATATCTCCAGATCAAAATTTCATGTAAAGTGCTAGCTACTGAAATCTAGATGTAAACTGTTTCAACTGACTGAAGAAAAAACCAAGCATTTGGAAGAACTATGTAAAGTCAAAAACTGGGATTGAGTACAATAATATGTTGATTTTTTTGTATAACTGATAGGGTCCTAACCAGTCATATTTTGCTAGCAAAGTTCATGTGGCAACCAAATGTTAATATCCACCTTCATAGGAAGAAAATGCTAAAGCAGAAACACAAGCATGAAATCATTATTATACATGCAATCCTATCATGCACTCAGTGCCCTCAGCTCCAATGAAAATTTCACCATCAGACAAGAAAACTACATGGATCACATGTCAGCTCCACCAGATATATTAGTTTCATAAAAAAGAACAACGATAAGAAAAAGACTATTTCAAATTGCCTACACGCTCCCTTGCATTAATAAAAAAGCTCTCCCTTTGAATTTTCTTCACATTGACTGAAGAATAAGATTGATTCGCCTATAAACAACTTTATACAAAAGGAACTGAAATTTCCAAGCAAACTGATACATTTCCACTAACTGGCAAAAACCTACAAAATTTCAAATACCAAACACACAAGAAGAACCTTTCAGCGAATTGGTGAAATATTCATACACATTGAAACACCTTTATATCAGAATCAGATGACATCAAGAAAATGAGGGGTAAAAGATGAGCAGTATATAAAACTCCAAATTGAATTTGCTAACCTCCACATATATATGGACCAGGTCGCAGCAAAACCAACAAATCTAGTTTCTTGCAAAGCTTTAGGAACAATAATATATCTGCGAAGCCCTCAAATACCAGATGGCCTTGTTTCGGCTCATGCAAATTCCATGGAACATAAGTTTGTATAGCATTTAATCCCAATGCCTTGGCCCTCAGCAGTCTATCTTCCCAGTACTAAACCCCAATGGTTACACATAATTCCAAGGTTAAATTTTCACCAAGCAACTGTAAATAACCAGGTAAGGTTACAAAGTCAAACTATACCTCAGGGTGCACTCGAAAGTAATGCAAATCACCTCCAATTATCCTAAATGGTTTCCCATCTTTCCAGAACATGTCCTCGGCTATCTCAAATCTTCTTTCATTTCCCTGCCACAATATAAACCTATAAAAACTACTTCAATGCTATTAATCTTAAAAAGATATTAAACCTCTAAGTGACTGCAGCCGTTTCACTAACTCCTCAAAGCTCAAAACCAACCTAAGCTAGCTAACACTTCAATGGTCACATTAAAATCAAACAATTCGAAAGATTACTTATTGAATCAAACTACAACCTTTCAAATTCTACACTGCAACGTCTCACCAAAACAAGTCCAAACCACAATAAAATAATAGCCAGCCAGCTAAACACACAGACACACAATTAACTATCACAACTTCAAATCTACCAACTCACTTTATCCAAACGAATCGGAGAAGAAGGATGATGCGAAACCGAAGGCAATGGAGCAAAAGCCACCAAAACCAAAAGCGACATGGAAAAAAAGAAGACGATCACTGCCATTTTTTTGAAGCTCCGATTCCTAGCCATCCTCTCCTCACTCGATCGATGCCTGGACGCCAGTTTACACTCGATCAATTCAGCTCTTGATCAACTGTTGGCAGCTCAAATGCTTCGAACACTTCCCTGCACTTTGGCTTTCTCTATCTTGTCTCCCTCTCTTGCCTTTTACTCAAACGCCAAGCTCTGAAGTCACTCTGGATATAATAAATAAATTGACTGGCATTATTTTAGTAATAATTATACATATATTTAACAAATTTACTATCAATCATTGTGTTTTCTATTTAAATTTTAAACATAATTTTTTCACCTAATTTAAGAAAAAAATCCATACAAAATTCAATTCTACTATAAATTATCATAAAATTATTTAAAAAATGGTGAAAGATAATAATAATAATAAAATAACAATAACATTATTTACTCTAGAATATAATACTCCCTATATTATAGTTTTAGAAATGTTGGCATTTGTAATGTTAAATTTTTGTGAACGCAGTAGAAAAAGATAAAAATTAAAAGAGAGCATCGACCAAAATAGAGCATGTTCGAAAATTCGATCCGAACGCTGAAAAAAATCATGTTTGGATTTTCAACCCGGCTGTGACCCGAGCCACAAAGGACAGTCGTGTCTGGGCCCGCCCAATTTAGTACGATGCTATATAGTACTCCCTCCTCCACTTTGAAAATGTTTGAATTTCCAACCGGGCTGTGCCCCGGGCCACAAAGGTCTGACCCAGCCCAATTTATTACGATGCTATACAGTACTTCCTCTATATTAGATAATATTAGTTGCGAGAATTTAAAATTTAAGTAAAATATAATTAATAAGTAATTAAAAAATATATTAATAAAAAGAATTATTATATACTAAAAATATTTATAGATTAAGGTAAATAGTTTAATTAAAATTAAAAATATAATTAAAGTGTATAATTAATTTTTTAAAAAATAAAAAAAACAAACAAATATAATAAAAAAAAAAATAGGAACAAATGACGTGGGACGGAGGAAATGTCGTATTAAAGAAAGTCAATGGAAGAGCTTACCTGAAGTAATGATCCCATTCTATCTTGCATACATTAGAAAGTTGTCATCTTCCCATTCTCCCAAATACTCACTGAACCAAATATAAGAGCTGATACTCTTCCTCGGATGAAAATCTTCTTCTTTCTCTTCAACAGCCATGCCAGAGAAAGTGGCATCCAGGAGTAGTGCTTTCAGGTGGGGTTTCGAATGAATCCTCGAGGCTCATATTCAAAGGCCGGGCAGTTTTCCTGTGAAAAAAGGAGTAAAGATTTATGCAGTGATGGTGTGTGGATGTGTACAGTCATGTGAGATTTCTTTCATCTGCTCCTTTTAATGAAAAAGAAGATGAGCATTCACAAAGAGACCATAAAGCTGTCTGAATGAATATAAGAAGCCATTTGGAAAACTGAAACCAACACGAATCTGCAATTAGATAAATCATCGATAACCAGATTCGAACTCAAATACTTACAGCATTACAGCATCTAACAACTATAGTAGAAATCAATGAATGTAAACAAAATGCCAAGCATCTTTCTATTGGATTCCACAGTATTATATGCAAATAGCATTCGATCTAATGTTCTAGTAGCAAACTTCTAAGTGATCTAAACTCTTGAATCACATAGCAAAACAAAACTGTCAGCATAATGCAGTTTTGAATTTCCAAAACACTTACAAATTTGTTGCCAGGTCGCTGCCTTAAGATTTCTTCTTCTTCATCATATACTCATTCAATCTCTTCGCCTTCCACTTCATCTCAGAAACCATGGCCTCTGTTGCATCAATAATCTGCTTAGGAAGAAACACTTCAAGAAAATCGAACCACTCCCCCATTGTCATCTTCTCCAAATCCGGAAGTGGAATTACAGCCTCCTCCCCATTCCCAACACCAGCGACATCTTTCTTGATCCCAGATGAGCTAGCCAACCCCGAAACACCTTCTCCCCCTGGCTCTGCCAACTCATCAACACCAGCAGCTTCTGTTTCCCTTTCCTCTTCTTCACATAACATATTCTCCAAATTCTCTTCTTCTTTCTCCTCAGGAATTCGGGCAGGCAACTTCCTTCTCCCTCTCGGACCCTTCCTCATCCTTTTATCATCATTAACACTCAAATCAATTCCAACTTCACTTATAACAACTCCTTCCTTTCTCGAACTCCTTGTACTCCTCATGCACGCTCTTTGCACGCCTTTAGCCTCATTGGGCTCTAAATCCTCATTCTTGGAACTCCTCAAATTCCTCCCTTGCTCAACCTCTATCTCTGCCATGGCAGCAGATATTTCATTATCTTCATCCAGCTCATTCAGCCCCAAATCTTTGTCCCCTTCTGCAGCATTTGAATCCTCAGACATACTCAAATTGTTCTTACAAGTCCTAGTCCCTCCCAGGTTCACATTCCTCCCTTGGATAACCTCAGCTACAGAAATTTCATTACCTTCATCAACCTCGTGCATCAAACTCCTCAAATTGTCTTCCTTCTTTGAACTTCTAGTCCTCCTCCAACTTACATTCTCCAAACTCTCTACTTTCACATGAATTTCGCCCACATTTTTTGATTTAGCCGTTGCAGATCCCCGTGTTCTTCTTCCTCCCACATTTTCTTTAACTAATGCCCCCAAATTTTCATCCTTTTTGTTTATGGATTCAGGAACCAAATTGGTTATATTTTCTGTGCAATTACCCTCCCCTAACCCTGACTCAGAGTTCTCATCAATTATCCCTAATTCTTCCCCAACCGCACCCATCCTACGCTTCGCGTTCCTCCTCACATTTCTAGAATTAAACCTACTCTCTTCCACATTCGCTTCGAATTTAACTCTAATCGAAGTCAACTCACCCATTTTTATGACATCACCGTCCGCGATAACAGCAGGCTCCGACTCCTCCAGCTGTGCGCCGTTCAGGAACGTCCCGTTCGAAGACCCTAAGTCAGTTACAGTCCAGCAATGGCGTCCTCCGTCCCGGGCGGGTTCAACCTGGATGCGGAGGTGTTTGGAGGATATTCCGGCGTCTTTGATTGCGAGCGTATTGCCTCGAGCAATCCGGCCAATTTTGACCAAAGTTCCGGGCTTGTAGCCCCTGATCTGACCCCCGAGCGGACCTTTTTCCATCACTAGCTGCAGCGTCAGGCATCGGGCGTCTTCTCCTGCTGCTGCTGCAGATCTCTTCTTCGTCACCATTGCTGGATTGAATTCGAAATTGGGAGGCAAACGGGCATGAGGGAGTTTGAACTAATGTGAAATATATATACTATATTAATCAATTAAAAATAATGTTTTGGGTAGGGTCCGGATGTGGATCGGGTATATCCAAACCCGAACCGAAACCGCTAATTATCCAAAAGTTACAACATTAAAATTTAAAACACACATACTCCATAAAAATAATAATAATAATAATAATCCTGAAATTAAATTACAGACCTAGCTAGCTAATAACTAATCTTGCAAGGGTTTTAATTTAATTTGAAGAATTCCTGGTAATTATCCATCCAAGTAATTGCTCAAACTGAATAAATCATCACTTTCCTTCAATCCCAGAAAATCCCTAGTCGCCATCAATCCATCGTCATTACAGCCGCCATTGTTATAATTAATATTCCTGCAGCTGCCGATGAACTGATCTTCCATGACCGCCTGCAATTTCAGGCAATCCTCGAATTCAGACCCGTCGAATCCATGGAAGACCAAGGCATACTGGGAAGAAGAAGAAGCAGCAGAAGATACAGCCGGAGGAGGCGGGTGACTGATCATAACGTCACCCGCGGGTGCTGTCCCTGTCCCGCCACGTGTCCCTCCGTGATCGGGGCGAGAAGACAGCCCGGTGATGATAAGCTCGTCACGTGACGGCAGGAGGTCGAGGTTGTTGTTGTTGATGAAACCCGCAGCCGGCGGCACGTGACTGTACGGATACTGGGAGGAGGGCCAGAAGATGCCATTGATGTCAGGATAATTAGGGTTTTGGTGGAGAAGATCTTGAAAGATCGGGTGCGGCGGAGGAGGCGGCGGCGGTGGAGCAGAGAGGAAGAAGGGACCAGGGGGTGGTGGTGGTGGGTGGGGGGACAGGCGGTGCCATGACTGGATTTGGGGGGTGTGGGTGAAACAACCATTCTGGTGCTCTTTCTTGATTGGGAGATTCGTTTGGTGAAGAGAATCTTTATTATCTGAAGCAGATGATTCGAGGGTTGGGATCATAATTGTGCTGCTGTTTTTTCTTGCATTTTGATTTTGATTTTGATTTTGTTGCCCTAAAGTATCGCAGAATGCTCTGTGTGTAATAAAACTATCCTTCCTGCATGCACAAAATATTACAGAAATTTGTTAATAAGTTAGCTCAAATATATAAATACATATATATATATATATATGTGGGATAGCATGCTCATTGCCGAATTTATAATAAAATTCAAAGCCCACGTAACTAAATTTAAAACATTAGAAAATAAATTTCAAAATACAAAATTTAAATCCTAGATAATAAGTTATAACAACTAACAAATTAGTTGCACTACTCTAAACATTATTGCTAGACTTAATTACAATGTCTACATCAATCTTACCGTTAGAAAAAATATATATATATATAATAATTATTTTTTTTTAAAAAAAATCACTTATTTACAGCAATTCAGCTTTAAAAAATTTAAAATATAATTGTATAAAAGAAAAATAGTATGAAAAATGTATTGGTAATCAATGACATGCATCATATTTGTATGTGGATTATTTTTTAGTTTTTTCTAATGATTGATGTAAAGTTGAACTATACTAGGAGAAACTAAAACTTTTTTTTTTTTTTTTTAAGTTAGCAATTAAAATTATTTTTTTTAAAAAAATTGAATAAAAATAAATGCTTAACATGATATTGTAAACGAAAAATACACATGTGATTTAATGTTGTATATCTAATATGTGTAAATATAAATGAAAGTAAGAATTTTGATCATAATCAAAACCCACCCCACAAACAAAAATTCAAGAAACCTCCAAAACCCATACTGCAATAATAATTTACAGCCAAACAATCAAAACCCCTAAAGGCCATTCTTTCTTATAACTCATTTAAAATCAAAATAATTATATATATATATATAAAGCCTAATTAATTAATTAAATATATATATATTAATATTACCTTGAGAAAAGGGTTCCACAGTGACACTTGTATTCTTTAGTGCCACAAATCTTGGAATGGGCTTTCCAATCAGATTGAACAGCATACTTCTTACAACACTTGAAGCATTTCCATTTCTTCTCCCCATGTTTCCTGGAGAAGTGTTTCTTTATCCCTGTCAGGTCTCCCAGGGCCCTCGAAGGATCGTGGTGGACACATGTTGTCTCTGGGCAGACATAAACTTTTTTTCGTACAAACTCCATCTTGTTCGAGGATCTTTGCTTCAGCTTCCATGGCAGATTGTGGCCTCTTCTGTGCAGCTGCAGATTCTGATCCCTTTGGAACCCTTTCTTGCATATTTCGCATACAAATCTGTTCGTTGCCAAAAGGGCTTTTGGGGACAAAGCTATTACTTCTGCATTAGGGTCTGCAAACATGGGACAAAAACATATATATATGAATTAAAAACCCCAAATTATTGTTTAGATATATGCAATATAAATATATATATATATATATTTTGTATTTTCAAGATTTATTTGTCACAATTAAGTTTACCCTAGTCTAGGATTAAATTGTGGCCTAGCTCTTTTTTTTGCTTTTTTTTTTTTTTTTTAACTATACAATTTTGTGGTTTTCAAGAAATTAAAACAGTATTCACTTTCTTTACAATTATTAGTATAATTCACTTAAAAAACAATCAAACAAATATGAATAAAAAATTATTGACTTTGCAACAAAAATTAATAATAAAAAACTAACCATAATGCTGCGACGTGCACTAAAATTTACTTGACAAAACAAAATGTGTTTGTTTGTGAAATATTTTAAAATTATAATTTTATTTTTTTTATATAAAATATAGAAAATTGTATAGAAAATGTATATGTTTATTTTACAAAAGAACACACCCATAATAATTCTTGTCCAAGTCAGCATTCAAAAGCTGATTTTCAAAAAGAAAAAAGAAACTTTTTAAAACAATAGAGTCAAACAAAATCAGTTCAATAATAGAATAAATCTATATTTCATGAATAAAATATTGGACTAAACCTTGGATCAAAATTGAATTATATAAAAGCAAAAGAAAAAGAAAATAGAGTTGAAAATGTGTATTTATTCAAGTGAATTTAAATTCGATATATGAGTTCAAAAATAAAAATAAAAATAAAAATAAATAAAAATAAAACTCACTCGAATTATACACCACTGATTGAATTGCTTTTGTGGGCCCTAACATAATTAATTAAAATAGTGCAGAATTTAATGTCATAGCACCATCTTTAATTAACGAAACACACTGTTTAAATTTCTTGAAACGTTTAATTCAAACATTCATTCACTATTTACAGAATACAGATCGAATATTTCAGTGACAAAAAAACCCATTTCCCCAAACAGTTCATTTTGGTGAAATGGGAGTGAAATTGAGAAGACCCAAGTTGTTAAATTAAAAATCAGAATTAGGGTTAAAATGAATCAAGATTAGGTTTTGACATGGTTAAAATTAATTAATAATTTACCTGGATGGCCTGGCTGATTTCTCTTCTTCTTCTTGAGCAGTAATGTTGGAGTGAGATGATGATCATGATCAAGATGAAGATGAATATTTCTTGTGTTGGAATTGGAAGAAACTACTACTGCAGCTTCAGTTTCAGCTTCAATGGAGACACGATGAAGATGAAGACGATGAGATGATGAAGTGAGATTCGAGGAGGAGGAGATGTTTTCTTCCAAGTTTGAGTTTGTCATCTCAAATTCAACTTCATTCACTAACACCTTACCTGCAGATTCCACTTACTTAATTTACTCGCGAATAATAATAATAATAATAATAATAATAATAATAATAATAATAATAATTGTAAAGGAAAAAAGGGGGGCTAAAGTGAGTTGAGGATTTGGACAAATTGGAGAGGAGGCGAAGGGGATAGATAGTACAATAGTATAATAATTTGGGCAAATATATGTGGGGTTATAATTTTTAAAAAATTTCATGTAGAGCCTCTTTCAACTTGAAGAGTTTAATTAGGGTGTGTATGTTTGGAGGCTTGGGTTTTGAATTAGGATTTGAATAGTAAAATTTTTTTTAATCAGAATAGTTGTTTAATGTAATATAAATAGGGGTTGAGATTATGTTTCAAATATAAAATTGATATTTAGAATAATATAGAAAATAAAAAATGGAGGTTTGATTTGATATTTTTGGATGAATAGTGAATTTTTTTGTAAAATCCCTCAAACAAAAACACCCTTAAAGGCACTTGTTATAGTTTTTTATTATTATTATTTTACAATTGCTTAATATTTAATACGATATTTTGTAATAAAAAATAATACTCCTTCCGTCCCATAACTTTAGTTTGGGTAAAAGGTACAGATAAAAAACCTTTATGTCCTTATTGTATTGGAACAGGGAGTATTATTTTTAATAATTAATTCTTTAGAATACTGTATTATTTTTTCCATTTTTTAAATTAGTGTTTTTCTTTATTTATCACTAAATATACATATATTTTTGTAAAATATTATGTCTTTGTTCTTTTAATAAAAAATTTCAACATATTTTTTAAAAAAATTAATATATTATGTATATTCTTTATTTTTATATTACTCATACAATTTTTTATATTTTACATAAAAAAAAAAAATATCAAAATACAAAACAAACATAGTTTACACCACTTCTTGCATTTTTTTAACCAAACATAATAATACTGAAACTGGTACAAAAAATTTCAGGGTTGTCTAGAATATTTTTTGGACCTTGAGAAAAAAAAAAAATAAATAACCTGGTTTTTTATAGGTAGTATAATTTATTTATTTTTTTATAGTAGGAGAGTATTATATAAGAGAGAAAAAGAGCCTTTTACTTTAATTATTCAATAATAGGTTTTGTTTTATTGATAAAAAATTAAGAAAAATATTATTCTATTTAGAAAATTGTTGTTAAAATTTTCGAATTTTTTTCTTTAGAAAAAATGAATGTTTAATATAATATTTTGTAAAATAAAATAAATATTTAATACAATTTTAAAAAAGAATAATAAGTTCATTTGTCCAGTAATCTTTTTCTATTCAATTTCTATATATATAATACTTTATTTGTTTAGTAAATAATTAATAGGTGTATTAGTTAAAATAATTATAATATAATAAAAATAATTATAAAATTAAATTTAAGACAACTAAATAAATTAATTTAAATTAAAAATATAATAAATTATAAAATATAAAATGCTATTAATATAATTATTTTTTAAGAAAAAGACAAACTATATAAAAATAACCAAAATGAAAAATATAGATAAACCCTATGAAACAATATATATTTTAATTTTTTAAAAAAATCAACATTCAAAATAAAATGTTATTTTTTATATTTTTATATATATTACATAAATAAAAAAAAAAAAACTTTAAAAAATAAATTGGCAACCATAGGACAAAGATGAGGATGGAGGTAAGAACAATGACACGACGAAACCCATCATCCTACCTATGTCTCTCTCTCTCTCTCTCTCTCTCTCTCTCTCTCTCTAAAACCAAGTTCAAAGTTTTCTCACTCATCAAATATACAAAGAAAGAAAGAAGAGATAGAAACACCCTCAACACCACAAAAACAAAGATAAATAAATAAATAAATAAATATATATAATTATATTTATACATACACACAACAACTACTGACTACTGAGTGAGTGAGATGCACTTTGGGTGTGGTTGTTTGGGGTTTGGATTTTGGATCGGGATTTGAATAGTAAAAATTTTGAATTTGAATAGTTGTATGATGTGATATAAATAGGGTTTGATGTGATGTTTTGAATGTAAAATTGATTTTTAGTATAATATAAAAAATGAAAAATAGGTGTTTGATTTGATGTTTTTGGGAGAAAAAAATTGGATGAATAGTGGAAATCCTCCAAAATCCTTCAAACAAACACACCCTTTCTGTCTTCATTTTTGTTAAGTTGATCAAGAAATTATGAGTTCAAATATTCAATAGTTTCAAATTTTTGTCTATTATATATAATTGTTTTAGGGAAATATTCTCTCAATCTATTAAAATTAATTTATTTGGCCTCAACATGAGAATTAAGAAAAAATAAATATCTTATTAAAAAAAATAATAGGTAGTTGATGGTATTTTTGAAAATTTAGTTAAAAAGCAGAGTAAACGAAGAGAAAGAATGTAATAAAATTAGTGATATTTGTTGTGAATAAGTGTTGAATAGAGGATAATAATTAAATGTTGATTTATTAACTTTGTCAAAATTAGTAATGAGATATGTTTAGTTGACGGACTAAAAAGGAAAGTGAGAATAAATTTGACGGACGGAGAGAATATGTATCCGGAGATATGCCACCTCAGTAATCAGGGTGTGTTTCTTTGGCACAATTCCTCTCAAACCTACTATTCATTTACTGTTGATGGCTATTTTGGGGCGAGGGCAGATCTAGGCAGACAAAGTCTGCAACTTAGCTTCGTAGGCGTTGACTGTACGTATATCTCACTCCTCAACTATTTCATCTTCCCTTCGTTACTCTTCTTCTTCTCCCTCCTCCATTATTTCTCATCTTTAATACATGTTTTTTTTTTCCTCCCAAATTTTTTTCACCCCCTTCGTCGCAGAGCAAGGATCGTGGAATTTTAGCGATTTCGTCGACGATTGATGCAGAGGATTGCCGCGAAAAAGTTCGGGGGACGAACGTTGACAGGGTATAGGTTTTTCGGCGGTTGAGCGCAAAGAGGTAAGGAAAACTGAACTACATTTCAATTTGGGATTTAATTGATTAGTCGATTTCGTAAATTCGTGCAATTTTCGATAAATCTGTGATAGGACCATCCTACACACCAATCCGGCGTTGCCTCGCTAAGGGTTTCATATGGGAGCCAGAAGAATATGGATAGTTGTGAACGGATGTGCATTTAGGTCCGGTTTTCTGCTTCAATTTCTACGAAAAACAACCACTTATATGGAATGAGCACAGCCGTACTTGATTAATTCTATTACGCTGCTTTTTATGTTACGTGAAGCACACAACAAACAACAATCGATCACCGCCGTGCAAATGTGGCTGCATTTCTTTGTCCGGTGCATCTAGTGTTGTTTCCGAACAGCCACGGACTCATGCATAACCGTGCACAAAGCTTGTTCTTGCATGTGTAGCTGTAGGCAAGACATAGAAGTAGATTCGAAATTATATATTTCTTTTAGTCACAGATGAAAAAAATAATAATAAAGGAGAAAAAAAATCACTCTTCACATATATTCAATTACTTTTATATTTAATATGACTTATTTTCAATTAAATTAAAAATCTCATCACTCCAATCATCACCTATCAAATCACTATTCAATAAAATTCCTCAAATCCTAACAAAACCTACTACACTAAAGAAACGCGATTTTCCAAAACTTTTAAAATAATTCAAATCCAAACCAAATTCAAACTTAATCTTCCCAAACCCAGCGTAAAGATCACACCCTAGAATACATAACATATATTATATGATATGATATACTCCTATATTAGATATATATACTACTATATATAATACATATATTTTTAAATTTTAAATTTACAGGATTTTATATCCTAAAAATGATATGAATATTGGATATGTTTTATTAATTTAAAATTTAAAATTTAAAATCTGTAAATATAAATTTTATTTAATTTCATTAACAAAATAATTTATTTTATAATAAAATATAATTATATATTATAACACAATTAAATAATATAACTTTCTATTTGCATAATTTTTTAATAAATCTTGACAAATAATAATAATAAAAAAAATACAAGATTAAAATATAATTAAACAATAATATAGGTATATATATAATATGAGAATAAAAATTAATTAAAAAATAAAAAAATATCTTTGTTGTGAGTATATAAAATAAAATAGAATTTTATGTGAAAATAAAGTAAATAATAAAATATAGTGAAAATACCAAAAATGGATATCACTGTGCTGATGGTCTAAGTAATCCATCATTTAATTTTATTTTTTTTTAAAAAAAAAGATTTTAAATTGAATTAATGTTTACTATTAATTTTTATGAATTTAAAATTATTATTATTATTATTATTATTATTATTATTATTATTATTCCTTCCAATTTATTACTGTACATGATTGAGTCATTGATTGATGAGATTTTTGAGGAAATTAAAACACAAATGATTATTAATCATTATTATAACTGTATAACATAATTTGCATAATATATCCCTTTATTCTATCAAAATGCAAAAAGACTCCGCATTGTCTTAATGTAAGAAATCCTCTCAGCGCAAGACATATTATTGAATTGCACTTCCTTCGTCTCAACCACTCTAATATATTTTTTTTTTGGGTATGTCTTAAACACTATGTAATATTTTTAAAATAAAAAATAATTAATTATACTTAATCTTTATTACACTTTATCCCCTCACATCATACAAATAAAAAATATATATATATTTATCTCTCCATCACATCACTTAATTTCTAAATTATCCTACCTAATACTACTCGCATAAAAACTCGTGTCAAAAACAAATATTGCACTTTGTTTGCGACAGATGAAATATTTATTACATAAAATTCTTTCATAATAGCATAAACTTTATATTGAATATTTTTTATCCAACGTTAATAACGACTAAGAATCACATATATACGGATAATTTTATATTAAATAGAAATAAATATTGTGAAACTTTTAAAATACATTTATACTAATAATATCTTATACTAAGTTGTTAATTTTTTTTATTGAATAAAACTTTCGTAATTCTTATTTATGTATAATTTCTTTATTTTTTTTTAAAAAAATTGCTAATAATTAACTTGCAAATTAGATCTAACAAAATAAATTATATTCCTTCCGTCCAGCTACATATGACCCTTTTTTTTTTTTTTTTTTTTTTTTTTTCTGTTCCATAAAATATAAATCTTAATTATTTTTAGTAAAATTATTATCTTAAATGTGTTTGTTTGGGGGATTGGATTGAATTGGATTTGTACTATTCATCTCATTTTTTTAAAAAAAATATCAAATCAAACACCTATTTTTCATTTTTTTTATATTATATTAAAAGTTAATTTTACATTCAAAACATCATATCAAGACCTATTTATAGCACATCATACAATTATTCAAATTCAAAATTTTTACTATTCAAATCCCAATTCAAAATCCAAACCTCAAAACAAACACACCCTAGAAAAACATAAATCATTTTAATTAAATTTCTAACTTCTTACACGTAGGCTCACTCAAAACTCTTTTATTTTTATTTATCTCTTCAATAAACATATTTTTATCTATATCTAAAACTTATTATTTTTTATAAAATTAATTTTAAATTAATTATAAATAAATAAATTTATTTGTCTATTTATTTATATTATATACAAAATAATATAAATATTATATAAATTTTATTAATATATAATTTTAAAATTATTTAAAATATCAACCATACTATTCATATAAAAAATAATAAAATAATTTGAAATTACCATTCTCACTATTATGCAGTGAGCTGCTATAATTGACTAATGAATTGAGGACCATATTCTGATTTGGACTTCTAAGGAATGGCTTATAAATAAATAAATAATAAAATAAATATATGTATGTGAACGCTGACGTGTCAAAATAATTGGAAAATAATTTTACTTGCGAAAATAAGAATGACAAGTGAAAATCAACGAGTTGTTGATGCCGCATCTCCAACCCATCAAATTTATTTATCCAATTTTAATTATAAATATGTTACTGTTATAATAATTTTATTATAATTATAATTTATTTTTCACTACTATTTTTCAAATATTTAATTTTTTTATTATTTTAAACAATTTTTTATTTTTATAATTTAAAATAAAATTTTAAATTTTTTTTAAAAAATAATAATTAAATTAAAAGTCAAATTTATAATTAAAAAATTACAATAATAATAATAATAAAGCAACGCCAAAAATAACGTTGCTACAGTGCAACACCAAAATATCAATGCCAAAAAGTGGCGTTGGATTTGACATCGATCGGAGACAACCAACGCCAAATAAGCCAGGTTGGAGATGCTCTATTGAATAGTAAAATTTCTGAATTGAAATAGTTAATGATGTGATATAAACACACGTTGATGTGATATTTTGAATGTAAAATTGATTTTTTTGAATAATATAGAAAATAAAAATTATGTGTTTAATTTGATATTTTTGAGGAGAAATTTTTGGATGAATAATGTAGATTTTGCAAAATTCTTCAAACAAATACACCCTAACTTAAAAAATACTACTAATTTATAAGTAAATAAAAATATATAAAAATAATTTTAATATATATATATATTTTAGGTATAAATTCTTTATATGTACATTATATATTCCATCGATCCAACTAAAAAGTATACATATTTTTATTTTGAGAAGTCCAATTACAAAGTAAGATTTTATTAAATACTTCACTTTTTTTATTTTTTGCACAAATACACTTACTTTATATCACATCATTATTTTTACACCAAAAAATATGGATAAAAATATGATTATACTACTTTTAACTACCCAATATTTGTAATCTATATAAAAATTAAAAATATATTAATATTAATATATAATTACTTTTAATATAACATAAAAGTAATACTTGTGAGTGTGACAGATAAAAATAGTAAACAAAAAAATACTTGACAAATAAATATTTAATTTGAGTTTCTTTTTAAATTATAAAATATTATATTTAAATATATTTAAATTATAATTTAAATAAATTTTGTTTTAAATCAAATCAAACAAATATTACAATCCTCCCATAAGAATAGTATCATTTGGTTCTTAAAAATATTTAAAATAAAATTGGACGGAGTAAAAGGAAAAATAATATCCTCCTATTTAACATCATTATTCGTGTCACTAAACCTAAATTGTCTCGAAAATTTTTTGCCAATTAATTATATTATATTGATAAATGAGTTTGTATAAGATAAAAAATTTTAAAATATTATTGAATTTAATAAGATTAAAAGTAAAGGTAATGTGAAATATTACTGAGTATACGATAGCTTTTCAAGTCCAATAGACTATTTCAAAAAATTTATTTACCAAATACTATAATAAATTTTTTGACTGTTCAAATAATTAAAAACGGTTAAATAAATTTAAATTGTTAAAAAAAATTAATTACCAAACACCCTTAACTTAATAATAATATTTGACTGATCAATAAAAATATATATAAAATAATTTTATTATTTTTACATTTTTAAGTAGAAAAAAAAAATAAAAAAAATATGTTGAATTAATTAAAAAAACAAAAAACATTCTACTTATATAATACTTCTTCTGTACTGTATACATGTTTCTAATTATTTTTTACATATAAATTTTAAAATATTAATGTTTTTTATGCAATATTACAGCTGCAAAATTTTAAAAAATAAAAATAAATAAATAAAATTCGAGTGAATCAAACTAACATATTGAACAAATTCATTTTTTATTTTTTTAATTTTTAAAAAAGGCGATTGAGAAAGTACTATATACTACTTTAATATAATATGATTGGTGATTGATGAGTGAGACTGCGAGAGTGAGTGAGGCCACCAATGCTGACCTCTACTTTGAATTTTATATTCATATACTATTTTATGCTATTTTAATAACTAATCATTTTATTTAATTTGACAGCTTAACCAAAATTTAATAATAGAATCTTGTCTTCATAACTCCAGGAGTATATTTAAAATAATAAATTTGTCAAATTATTAAGGCTCTGATTGCATATATAAATAAAATAAGGTAAAATATTTATTATTATTTATTTATAGTTAAATCTTAAAAAAAATATTATATTAAAAATATTTTTATTATATTTCGAAATTCCTGAAACATGAGTTGTCTTGTTTTGTAATTATATGAACGGTAAGTTTGTGCAATAGTACAAGAAAAAAAATATATTTTATATTAAAAATTACACATAAGTTTTTTTATTAAATATGATTAAAACTCAAAAGTAAATTAAACGTCACGTTCTTTTTTTTTTAAAAGAAAAAATAGTTTTTCATTATTTGCTATTCTTTAAAAAATATTAACTCAATTTTTTATTTTTATATTAATTAAAAATTAATTTTATATTAAAAAACATAATGCGAATACAATACGTATTGATATCTAATCAAACAAGTATTTAGATAAATAATACTAATATATTTATAATTTACATAAAAATAAATAATTTTACATAGAAGATAGAAATAATAGAAAAAACATTTTCAATTTACACTGAAGAAAAGTATATGTATAATACTCTCTCTAATCTCTACCCACTCACAAATTATAAACATTTTTAGTTTAAATTATCCAAGTACAAAATAATTACTTAAAAAATATCTTATTTATTTTAACAAATGTTTTTATTTTATGACATTATTATTTTTATAAAAAAAAGTAAATGACAATTAATTTTACATTATATTTAAATATTTACTATAATTAAAATATTATTATTATTATTATTTTTTTAATTCTGCTTAGAAATTTAAGGGTGTGTTTGTATCGGGGTTTGAATTTTGAGTTGGGATTTGAATAATAAAAATTTTGAATTTAAATAGTTATATGATGTGATATAAATAAGTGTTGATGTGATGTTTTGAATGTAAAATTAATTTTTAATATAATATAAAAAATAAAAAATAAGTGTTTAATTTAATATTTTTAAAAATTAAAAATAAGATGAATAGTGTTGCAAGAAATATCTGATTGTACGGGTCAGTCAATTAAGAGAGGCCAGTCTACTACTTCACGAGAACCCTAAAATATGGGTAGAGGGTAGGTAGGGGCCCACATAACTGTTCGACCATCAAATATTTAATTTATTATATTATTGCATATATTTTTTTAATAGCACACCTTCGATTTCTGTTTAACTAACAATTATTTTTATTTTTAATAAGACACTACATCAAATTTATTATTTATAATAAAAATTTAAAAAGAAACAAAAACATATTATAATTATAAATTTCAAAATCAGTAATAATAACAATAGATTGATCGGTGATCTCACACGTCTTTGCAGTTTGCATGACACACATATATTACAACTCTCCCTGGGTTACATTTTTTTTAAGTATATATGGTTCATTCACTTTAAATATCAGGAGTGTCATTAATTTATTTTTTTTTGTGAACCAAATCTCAGTTTTTATTATTTTAATTCTATTTTTTTTTCGAAAATATATATATATAAACATCACATCAAATATTTTATTTTAATATTAAATTAAAATATTTTAAAATAAGGTCAATTGAACAAAATCCCCAAAATTTCCCAGCTTGCTCGGAAGACGCGTATAATATATACACACACACCATAATCATGAAATTAGGTATCATATCCCGATAATAAGGACCAAATAAGTCAAATAAAACTATTGATAATCCCCACAAATCAAGTCAAAAATAGATGGCTCAACCTAAATAAAATTTAAATAAATAAATAAATGAACCTTCCAACCTAATTATGAAATAAGCCAAACAAAACCATGTAACTTCATTAACACGTGCAATGTGCACGCCCATATACCAATCTAATTGAAAGAAAATTGTCTCCGCAGTATAAACTTGAACTTTTAAGGTCCAGTACATGACAAAAAACAAAGAAATTTTATTTCAAATGTAGTATCATTTTTTAGTATGTTTAATCGATGAGGAAATGAATAGACTGACCTCAAGGCAGTATGTTGAGACTATAGAGTGATTGGAACACGGAGACCGTCGTAGCTGAGCTGTATGTCGAGGCCTTCCGTGTCCTTCAACTTAAGAAGATAGTCGTTCATTTTCTCATGGTCCATCAAATGCATCATACCTTCAAAGAAATGGAGGAAATAAGGATTCCGGATTTGAAAAAGGGTTTACGGAAAAATAATAAGAAGCAAAGTACCGGTGAATAGTGTTCTTTTGGGTCTTATTTTCCGGACTTCATCTAAGGCCTGAAACATAGTGAGCGTTTACAAGTATAATTCAAGTGTATGTAAAGGTTTGGAGTGGTCATTTTAGCTTACTCTTGGAAGTCCAAAATGAGTTGCAGAAGATCGATCGGGTCTCAGTGCATCCTAATCAGTAAAAACAGAAGCATTTTAATGACAACAAGGAATAACCCAATTACAAGAATTAAGGACATCCAGGGAGAGAGAGAGACCAGAATAAGAATGTCACAGGACTCGAGCAGAGGATACGTCTCTTTGGGTATGTCACTAACATCACTACAAGAAAGAACAAGCTCATAGAAATTCAGGGTCCCTAGAGTGAACACAATCAGTGCAAACTAGATAGAATAACTACCTAATGTAGCAAATATTGCCAAATCGGAAGCCCAAAGAACGATAGCCAGGACCATGCCACACTGGTAAAGGAGTAAACTGCAACACAAGGAATTATCAAGCTGTGATGAATGCAGGCACATATCCGGAATCGTATATATACATAAATTCATGAATAGTGATAGATTAGTATCACTCATCAATCAGAATAATTGACAAGTTAATGCCTGGAAATTAGTGTAATGCTTATGCACAGTTAACAAAATTATTATATATGCAAAATTACCCTGCAATATATGTAAAGACTATAAAACTAATTATGATTTACTCATTCAAATATAAAAAAGGTGCTGCAGTAAAATACTACAATATTATAAAATCGTAACTTCATAACATCAAAATGAAATTGCAAGATATCTCTTTACTATATTATTACCTAGAATGCTACTTGTAAATCTAAATACACATGTGTGCTTGGTATGATGCTAGAGCGAATAATGGAGCCTTGACATATAGTAAACAAATAAATGCACGATTGCTGCCAGCAATATTCAGAGCCTAAATATAACATATGTACAAGCTTATCATCAATGAGAATGTAACAGAAGAAATCTTACTTCAAGATTGTGTACTACAAACGGTTTTTCTTGTATTATGTGAAATTGCAATGCTGAAACTGCAGCACCAGGTGTAACACAACTTGTATCTACCAAATAATAATGTGTTTTCTTCATCACCTGAAATTATACAAGTAGAATCAAGTTAACAAAATGTCCCAATGGCAATGCCATATCCAAAAGGCCCAATCTAGTCCCGCTCTAAGGTGAAAGCGAGTTGAGAGGCCCAACTCTTATCTGGTAAAGAACTTGCAATTAGAGTATTTCCGGGTCCATCTACTTCTTCCTCTATGGAAGAATGGGCTACATGCTTAACGCAGGAAACTAGAATATAATCCCTTCATCTACTTCTCACACAATGCATTATATGATTTGTTTGTCTTGAATTTCCTAGCTAATCTCATTCACAGTTCAGATTCTATCCATACACATGATATAATAAATTAATTTGTTAAAATCTGCACACAGCTACATTAATTTACATAGGGCAAGGTTGTCTGGCATATCATATGGCCATGTAGGAGGACTCCATAGAAAGATAAAAGCAAATCATTCAATTTTTAATGAAGATTCTAATTTCATAATATCACTGCAATTTTCAACTATTGACAAGGTTCATTGAAGCAGTCAAATTGAAACAGAATTTTAGCAAGAATTGAAGATTCACAGAGAAATTTGGACCTCAAAGTCACGCTCTGCAGTATAAATTGGAATAGAAGGCTGAACATTGTTCGTCCAATCTCGCAGATCATCCAAACCTGATAACCAAACAAATCATGATTCACGCAAACTCATGCTATTTTGATAGTTTTAAGTGTACATAAATGGGAAAAGCAATCATGTCAGATACCTCCAATGGCATCAGCATGAGAATGAGTAATGAGAACCGCATCAACTGTTCTTATCCTGGAACAAAATTCAAGCCATCATTGCAGATGGTTAGAAATCATCAGATAAGTAAAACAGAATTCAATTAGGTGATAGATGATAAGTACATTAGAAGTACAGCACAAGCTATTCTGAAATAACATGCTACAGATCCCTCTTTGATACTATCCTAAATCAACGCTACATTGAAGTAACATGTGACCGAACAAAATGTCAATGTCTCAACGTGGACAATTAACCAGTAATGCAAAGAGCAACAGAAATCCTATTATCTGTCTTGCATGTTAACAAGTAAAGAAGTATGCAAGTGCAGACAGAGATGATGAACTTAAGTTTGCTTACCCATAGGCGGGGAACCATCTCAGAGCACTGTGATAGAAAAATCTGTAACAGTCAAGCAAATAAAAAATTGTTACTCAGTCTACAAATCCTTGGGCTGCAAGGAAATGTATGAAATATGCTGGTTTTAATTTGACATACATTTAAAATATATATTAGTCTCACTACATCAAAGTATTAACTAAGACAACTATAGTCTATAGATGCATTTGTTCAATCTATGACAAAGCCTTTTTCCTAGGGTCTAAATGGGGGATCTCACACGTACTTGCCAGCATCAATAAGAATGTTACATATTCCAGAAGGCCTGGGGACACGAAGTAGGAGACTTGTATTGCGTCTCCTATTTCGGCTACCTGGTTCAGTAGCCCTGAAGCACACCTATAATTAAAACAAGTTCCTTATCTTTTAATCTCATGACTAACCCATTTTCATCAAGAGCTGATGCATGTTTATTTTAGAGGTAGATTAGCAAAAGTCTGGCTTACAGAGCATTTTTTAATGGGGTCTGTGAGGCAGCTAACGCGTGGAATCCCTTCACTAGTTCCACTTCCTATGAAAATTAGTTCAGATTGGTGATCAGACACTCGCACTCCATCTGAATCACGCACTGAATCTGCACAGTTTCCACTAAAGTTAAACAACCAGTTTAAGGCAGTAGTAGCATAATAGCTACAAATCCATACTACCACACTACTCAGTTAACTCTGCATGCAGATCTCCATATGAGCATATCAAACAAATCACCGTCGACACAAGTGTGTATTAACAAACACTAAACATATGTATGTGTACACACACACACACACACACATATATATATATATAATGAGGAGAAAATTAGACAGGGAAAAGCATATAACAAATCTGCTTACATATTTTATTGACACCTAAAGAGCACCATCCAATTTACAAGTCAGGTATGTACGAGGAACACATAGAGTTAATTGTGAAAATAAGATGCAAATGATTTAATAATCAGAAGCAACTAGATGAACATAATATGTGAAGTTTTTTCTGTAACCTCTCATAAAAAGAAAATAAAAAATCCAGATAAAACAAGGATGTCTAAGTCAATCCACATATATAAGCAGTTACAACAAATTTAAACTGTTCAACAAAGCTAGATACATAATTTGCTTTTTTTTTTTTTTATTTTTTATTATGACTTCAACTCAGCTTGAACATACAGATAGTGTAACATCAATCGCTGGACAAATATAACATCTTACAACTGTTTGCTTAATGAATTAAAAATACGGCATACCACATCCAAATTCCAATGCATCACGCCACTAGTAATACAACATTTTTTTTTACAAAGTCTCCAACACTAAACCTGCTTCCTAACTCAACCATGCTTCAGTAAAATGAGAATGAAAACATGAAACACAACCGCATAAAAACACAAAATACACACATTAGATCATTGAACGCCTTCTAAAAGATCAAAACCAACTTTCTATTCCCGCGGCGCAACTTCAATCAACTAAACTCCCCGTTCTAAAAATCGGTTCCAATACACAAAAGTTGGACGAAAAATGATTTAACATAAATAAAAAACAGGCTCCATGGCATTCAAAGATGGAAGCGTAACAACTCACACATTCATATAAACCTCCACGGAACTCACAACACGAGCTTAGGATTACGAAGCTAACCGGAATGAAGTGAAGCTCGGAAGAGGAGCGGGTTCTTCGCGTGGGCGAAACGAAGCAACTGCACCGGAGCAGGACGTGCAAGCCCCAAAGCGAGAGGTACAACCATTTGGACTGCAAACGATTTCGAGTCCATCGATTTCAAGAGGGACACGCTGGTTTATATGTCAGCGGTAGTTGCGTCCCGTCAATATTTACAGATCTGTCCCTAAACTTTCTTTAATTACAAAAGTCGTGTATCATCTTGTTATGTTCTCGTGTACTCCATTTTTTAATACATAATTTATTTTTTAAAATATTATATTTAATACAACAACGCAATATTTCTTTTTCTTTTTGCATTAAAAAATAATAATAAATCAGTTTAAAAATTAAAACATGTCCTCTATACACAACCGCAGCAGCGTATGCTGTTTTTGAGTATAAATATGGATGAGATAAAACAGCATATATATATATATATATATATATATACGTTACAATGCTCATGTAACGACTCAAGAACTGAACACAATTCCACTCCACAACCGTAAAACCAAACCCCATTCATGAACAAAGCATGTAACAGACTTAGGACAACTCGAAGTCGTCATCGACGACACCATCGAATCGTGTAAAACCTCGTGAACTTGCCTGAAACCATAATGTTGCTTGCATACACCAAAGCCGGTCTCTGTGCCGACTGACCTCAGTTGTCTTTCTGTGAATAGTAGAAAAAAAAAATTGTCAGCTTAGGTAAACGGTGCTGATGTAGATTGACATAAAGGAATTCGATTGATTCATTGTTCGTTCATTACCTTCCTCTGGCTGTCGGCCTTGTCTCCGTCGTCATCTTCTTCATCCTCATCGTCATCCTCGTCTTCATCATCGTCGTTGTCATCATCGTCATCTTCATCGTCAATGTCATCTACTTCAACAGCTTCCCCGGTGTACCATGAGACGGCGCGAGGGATGATTTTGTCTCGAATTATGGATCTACGCACAAAGGCGAAAATCAAGAGGATGTTCAAATGCGAATGCATCTCCCTAAATGGAAAAATTAGCTTTACCCTATGTCATAGTCTTGTTCCAATATATTCTGAAGATCGTCAACCTGTCCAGACAACAGTAGATGCAGGAGTAAGATTGAGGAATTCATGAGCTTACTACAGCTTCATGGATATATGGAGAATTGATTATACTCACCTCATCCTCATCGATGTCGTCTCCATCGCCAGGAATATCAGGAGGGCTGAAGAAATTGAAAAAGCTATCGCACTTTTCAGTTTTTATAATTGGCTTTGCATCCTTCGCCCCCTTCTTTGGCTTTTTCTTCAAAACTTTCTGAGTCAAGCATTTTCCCGGATACCATTCAATATGTGTGCTGAAAGGTATTCATCATGATATAAAAAACTAGTATACGATGAAAGATATAGATCAAGAAAAACAAACGGACACATGAGGTTATGAAACCACAATATTTGAGAGGATTAAAAGATATACCCTATTGCCTTCTCTAGAATGGGTTCGATGTCATCAACCATATGGTATGTTTTGGTGAGCACGGAATTCTTGAAAAATGGATTAGTATCGAAGTGAAACTCAAGCTTAAAGCCCTTGGAATCATCAAGGCTGGACCACTTTATATCCTTGAGATACTTCAAGGCTTCTTCATCTCGCTCCGTGATCTGAAAATGGCATATAGATAGATATATTAAGTTCAAGATAAATTTCTGGCTAGAAAAAGTTCGGCATTGGAAATATCAACCTCCTGGGACAATAAATCATTAGCCTTCAATGCTGTCAGCCAGAAGTCGGGCACACCTTTACCTAAGAAGAAGCTTCGACTTAATGTCAGCGCAGCCATTTACATAACCAGTAACAAAAATTCATTTAATAAAGAAACTAAATCAGTGAATAATTTGTACGACGTTATATTCATTACAATTTCAGTGGTCATTCAGCAGGAAAAAGGGACAAGAAGCAATTCATGTTACCTTCATTTGCCTGGGCCTCGCCCTGTTCCGTTGAACCCTCAGTCACTCCTTCAACTTCCACAACACCGTTCACAATTTCGAATCGCTGCATTTAAATTTGCAAAATAAAAGGATGGAGAAGGAGGAAAAAAGCAAGACAAGAATAATGTATAATCTGCTGCCTCAGACTGGAAACAAGAAGCAAACCTTGCACTGTTTTAGAAACAAACTTACCTTCGTGTATAATGGCTCGTAAAGTTTCTGGTATTTAGCTTCCAGTGCTGCTTTCTCCTCAAGAAACTTTGCTTCTAGTTCATCATGTTGGCTCTGTAAATTGGAAAAAATGTTAGACTACCACAGCAAGGATCCCACATATATCAACAGACTATTCATGAAATTCACATCCATAAAGATTACAAACACATTTCTATCAGAAATAGCAACTATAAGAAACCAGTGTGTTAAATACATTCAATCAAATTGACTGGATCCAGCAGACTAGAGGATTTTAAGATCCCTAGAATCATATACAACAGAGTTGTAACTCCAAGATCAGCCAGAGGAAAATGAATCACAGTACTAAATCAGTTCCAATACAAAGTTTTTAGATAAAGATGATTATATATCCTCCCCAGGATTTTAGATGCCTAGAATCATATACAACAGAATTGAAACTCCAAGATCAGCCAGAGGAAAATGGAATCACAGTATTAGATAAGTCCCAATACAAAGTTTTTAGATAAAGATGATTATACATCCTTTCCAGCATTAGCCATTAATTCGAACTTGCCTATGCTCTATAGTGCCATAAGAAACAGCCAACACAACACAAGATTACAAAATGACAAAGTAAACTCTAGAATAAAGACCATACTGATCAGCAACCAATAACACTCAATTGACAACATGAAAAGAAAAGAATATCCGATAAGAACAAACAGATAGCGTATGAAGGACGATTACATAATTGCTGAAGAAAAGTATAGCAAATATCAAACACCTGAATCTTCCTTAACTCCTCCACACGCGTCCGCACTTTGGGCGTCAGCGTCTCCAGGACGTCGGCGTGCCGCCCAGCCAGATTCTGCAGCTTATTCTACAAACCAAACTCGGAAAACTCTCAGACGGCGGAGAAACAGAAACGAAGGCAAATTCGATTGCAGAAATCGCCAATACCTTAAGGTCATTGACCAAAACAGCGCGATCCTCGGGGCTCAAAGCTGCACACAGAATCAATCACAAACACAATCAATCATAATCGCCCGCACAAATAGCCACGCAACACATACTACAGAGAATTGAAAATTGTACCGGCGGCGGCGGCGGGGAGGGAGGAATCGAGCTCGGACATATCGAAATTGCCTTTTTCAGTATTACTCATGATCGGCGAGCGAAACGCAAACGGACTATGGAATCGACGAAGCGAGCAGAGGCGCGAAGCGGAGATCGAAGAGGAAATCGCCGCGGGAGGTTGGAAAGGAAATGCAAAGGGTTGCGGTAATGGTGATGATTGCGTGTCTGCAAAATCATGACATCGCTTATTATGGCCAATTAACTGTCATAATCACCATCGTACAAATACGATGTCTATACGTATTTTTATCTGTATTATATGTATAAATACGAAACATGATAAGCCCAATTAATGCCCGGCCCAACCCAAGAGTAAAACGAAAAACGTTGAACGGTACTAACCGGTAACACATATTCATACGGCGTCGTATTGGGTTACTATATAAGCATGTAAGGCATAGGAAGGACGAAAATGTTAATCAGAGAGTAAAAAAGGGGAGATCAATAAGCTCTTGGAGCGAATGCTAGGGTTTCGAGAGCCCCGATCGAATTTACGAAAACGACACAGCAGCTGGAAGCTTTGTCCCCTGCTATCACACATCAGCAAATAGTAAATCGTAGCTAGCCGTCGGGGTTAGGTAATTTTGTTGCTATCGGGTTCAGGTATTTGTTTAGGGTTCCACGCGTAAAGGGGGGATGCAGAATTAGAGCCATATTGTTGATACGTTTGCCGGTGTTTGTTTGTGTTTTGATGTATAGGTAGGTATAGAACACAGTTTCTCAAATGGATTATGGTGTGCCCGAACAAAACGACGCCGTTTACGGCGAAGAGGAACTGCAGTGTGAAGGGCATTACGGAGCGGAAGAGGGGAACTACGATTCGATTGATAACATAGATGATAGTGCAGGCGTAAAGCACGATTCTTCGTCGTCTGCAGGGTTAGTTGTGTTAGTTTAGCTTGCGTCGTTAGGTTCATGTTAGATTGAAATGTTTTGATTGGTTTAGCTTGTGTATTATGAGGGGTGGAGGTGAGGATTTGGGTACGATCCCCAAGAAATGGGTGGGATGTGGAAAAACTGTAGTAACTATTGGTTTTTTGTTGTGATAGAAAACTTTTCGTTGGAGGCATTGCATGGGAGACTTCGGAAGGTACAATATGCGTCTCTAGTTTTTCTTGACTCTTTTCTAATGTTTGTTGTAGACTTGTAGTAATTATTCTTGTGCATGATTCAGGATTAGGAGGTAAAATTGGCGATATTGTCTTGTTTAATATCTTCAGTACATTAGATATTGGAGGATTTTAGGTGTAGTTCTGAGATTTAATTTTACTGTTTTTATGCTTGTTTTAGTATCTGACTAGTCCTGGATAGATTTATCAATCTTTGTTGGAGGATTATATGCTGATTTACGTGTTTTCGCACATAAACAATATGTTTATTTAGGATGTAAAGTCTAACAGGTAGAATCGAAGCTATATTGGGATTCTGCACTACAACTAGGCAGAGAATCAAATTTGCTGGAAATTCTAGCAAGTCCTGCTCCTCCACTATATAACTAGGATAGCACAACTTTTATTCAATAAACTGTTAAAAACTCAATTTCTACCTACACCATATTTCCTGTTGTAGTAATGCCAGTTTTACTATGATTAATCCAGTGAGCATCTTCCTTGAACAAATAGGAATAGTTTAGTAAATGTCTGTGTGCTGTTTCCTTCCCAGGTCCAACTTTGATAGATAGGCTAATCTGGCAGCACATGTTCTGGTTAGGGTCAGGTGGCTGTCTTTGATTCACAATTCATAGGTATTACATATTAAGTAACAGGTGCCGTGACAAGTCTTGTATGAAGACTGATGTTGCTTTATAATCATGCTGGAAAATAACAATGTGAACTGTGAAGCTTCCATGCCACATTTTGTGATTATTGTGCCGAGGCAAAGTGTAGTATTTTTCTCGATGTGCCAATTCTATTCATTTGTAATGATGGACAATGACTCCTAGCACCGCATGACATGACATGTTTCTGATTGACATGGCTACTTATCTTCCAAAAATTAATATTTGAGGAGACTTTTGTGGTTGCTTACATGAGTTGTTGCTGTCCTCTGCAGAGTCATTCAGGAGGTACTTTGGAAAGTATGGTGAAATTACAGATTCTGTAATAATGATGGACAGAAACACGGGAAGGCCTCGAGGTTTTGGATTTGTAACATTTTCTGATCCAGATGTTGCCTCCAAGGTTTTGGAGGAAGAGCATGTCATTGATGGCAGAGTGGTAATTCCTTTATAATCTAGCAAACAGCATCTAGATTTTCAATTCAGATCACCGTCATTTTTTGAGGGTGGAAAGCTTAATGTGATCTTCTTTGCATATCAGGTGGAAGTGAAGAGAACAGTCCCTAGAGAGGACATGCACGGTAGAGGAGTATCAAGAACGAAAAAGATATTTGTGGGGGGTCTTCCATTGTCTCTACATGAAGGTAGCTAAACCTTGCCAAACTTTATTTATATGTTTCACCTTTTTTTTAATTGTGGATCTTTTCTGCCTAAGCTAATCACTTATTGTTTTTATTTTAGATGATTTGAGAGAATACTTCTCTGCTTATGGTAACATTGTGGAACACCAAATTATGCTGGATCACAAAACTGGTCGGTCTAGAGGCTTTGGATTTGTTACCTTTGAGAATGAAGATGCTGTTGATAAGATATTCTCTGATGGTCAGATGCATGAACTTGGTGGGAAGCAAGTGAGTCTTTTTTACATTATCTCAGGTCAATGAGTTAATGTCAAGATGAGTTTGATACTTAGCATCTGTACTAAATTTCAGGTTGAGATAAAGAGGGCCGAGCCCAAAAGATCGGGCTTCGATCACTCAAGTGAAGGTCGGTTCCGCCGTGGTGGCAGTAGTTCAAAGTCTTCTGGTCACTTTGGCGGTGGTTCAGATGGCTTTGATGGTAGCTTCGGAGGCAAAATGGGTAGAGGCTATGGTGGTTATGGTGGCTATGGCGGTGGTTATGGGGGATATGGAAACTTCCCCGGAAATTTTCCTGGTGGAGCTGCAGGGTTTTACGGTGGGTATGGTGGATATGGCTACGGTTACGGCTTTGGTGGGCCCATGTACGGTGGTGGTGCATACGGGGCTGGTGGATTTGGCGCACCTGTTGGATATGGAGGAGGAGCTTCTGGCTACGGCATGGGTAAAGGATATGGCGGCCCTGGAGGTGCATACGATAGCGGTGGTGGGGGAAAAACCTATGGTGGAGGCAGCGGCAGTGGCGGAGGTTATGGCCCTGCAAAAGGGTATGGTGGTGGTGGTGGAGGCAATGGTGGCGGAGGATATGGAGGTGGCAAGGGTTACGGGAATGGTAATGCTGCTGCTGGCGGCGGCGGCGGCGGCGGCGGGAGGTTCCACCCATACCGGAAGTGATGGTTTAGGTACGCTATACTGCAGTTGGGTAGACATATGAATTGTGATAGATGGTTGATTTTTCTTGAATTGTAGTAATGATAATATGCTTAAAGAGATATGATGGTGCCTACGTTTTTCTTGGATTTGAATGCTTTATTTGGCTGTGATGTGCTGTGCTGTGCTGTGCTCTGTAAAACCATTAAATGGGTTCTGATCCTAAGAGGATTTGATGGCAACCTGTTGTTAACTCAGGTTTATGAATTATTGATATTAATTTGGTGTTACTTGATTTTTGGTTATTTGATTAACATATATTATTCATTTTGTTTGAAACTTTATTGCATTGTTATGTTTCTATTGCAGTTTTTTGGTCTTGTGATGCAAAATTGTTTGGAAACTGATGATTGGCTTATTTGTTGAGAAATATTGGTGTGAATTTGAATCAGATTCAAATTAAACTCTTATAATTTATAGAATATAAAATTTTGAAATTGAATCTCCACTTCAATAGTCATCTCTATTTGGGCTTTTATGTTTGGGTATTGAAATTAAATTTGAGATTTAGAACAGTGAAGTTTGAATTAAATTTTTACGCATATAAATTAGTAATTACTATATTTTATATAAATGGTTGTTTAACATGATGGTTTAAATGAAAATGTAAATTTTTAGGAAATCAACCCGATGGGTACCAAAGATGAACATCATAGATGTGGCCCTTCTGTGAATGTAATTTTACTAAAATAACTTTAAATAATAATAATAATAATAATAAAAGGAAAATCCACAATGTATATGGATTCAAATTTAGTACTAGTAGTACTATTATTTATTTTGAAGAGCAGTGAATTTTGACTATTGAGAAATTAAAAGTCAGATGATCGACGATCGGGATCTTAACTGTACTAGGCTAGGCACAACCTGATTTCAAATTGGACAGGTAAAACTAGGCCCGAATATGGCCCGATGTAAATTCGGGCCGTCCTGACCCGAATCTGAACTGTACTGGGCCGGGCATAGCTTGATTCCAATTCAAAAATATAAAGTTAGGCCCGAGTACGGCCCGATGAGATACCGGGTCGGCCATCCTTTTTAAATTAAATAATATATTTTTTTTTAATTGGTAGAAAAAATTGAAGTCACAATCAACTACAATTTTAACCAAGAGTTTCCGGTCAAACTATGTTTTGATTTTTATCTTTATTTCATTATTTAATATTTATATAACAATATTAAATATTTAATATTAATTTGAAAATCAGGCAGGCCAGACACAATCCAACTTTGATGAGCTCAGGCACAGGCCGAAAATTTTTGGGCATGTTTTGTGAGGTTCAAGTATGATTTTTTATTGCCTAATTCAGATCGAATATTCGGATCGTATCTATTTTTGCCAGTTGTACTATAAATGGGGTTCAATACCAAAGTTTATATGCAAGTCTCGTGTCGGCCACAAAACGACATCGTCGTACAATCACATGGAATTTTCATTTCTGTACAAAAAGAAAATAAAATTACACTCTATTTACATATAAAATTTTATAAGTTTTAACATTATTTATCAGCGGTACTCTTTAAAACATAAAATATATGTATTAAATATTTATTTTTTTCTTATAAAATATTACATTAAATAATTTTTTATTATTCCTATCGTTTCTAAAAACTTCGAAATTTTAAAAATTTCTATCCAAATAAATGTTATATTTAAAGTAGTACAGTTCAACAATATTAATAAAAGAAGTCAATATGATTCAGGAAGGAGTAGTTGAATTGATGTGCTAGGTGAACTTATGATTTTAGTTAAAAATTTACTGATCTTGCAGTGTTCACACGTAATCTATTTTACAAGGCTATTACTGCATTTAACCTGATATTCTAGTTGAATAAAAACAGTTACACTGTCATTCTGTTCTGACATTCTGTTCTACAAAGATAATACTATGTTTAGTCTTGAGATCATATTCTATCAAATTGTAAAAGTTACAAGTAGCAATGTCATAGAATTATAAATATATGGAAAACCTTTCTACAAGGCTTCACTACATACGTTTCCGATATTCTATTCAAACAATAGCAATTGTTAATTTTTACGTAATAAAAATAAAAATAAATGTATTATTAACTTAATTTTTGCTAGCAATGAAAATATAAGGGACAATCTATTGTACAAGGCTAACCTCCATGAACAAAAGTGAAGCATAAAATCATCTATGTTGAGGAGAAATCGTTATAAATGTTGGACATATATATATACCTAGATACTTATATGAACAATAGAAAATACTCTACCCGTTTGTGATCAATTAAATGCATTTTTCAACCAATATTTCAAAATATCATAATATAATATTTATTTTTATATTAAACTATTATTTCATTCTCAATTTTTATATAGGAACAAACAAATACTATCTATTATATATATATATATATATTTTTGCATCATTATACTTAACGTTAAAAATATTCTTATATTTATATAATTTTTTGTACAAATATTATTATATTAATATTATATTTTTGTCATTTTCTCTTAATTTGTACTATGTTTTAATATAATAATTAATATTAACGTATCAACACGCAAAAATAAATATGACCCGATGGATACCCAAAGATGAACATCATAAATGTGGCCCTTTCCTCTATGAATATATATATATATACATATATATTGTGGTTTTTTCTTTTATTATTATTTAAAATTATGTTGTTGTAAAATTAAATTTATTATGTATGTATATGGATTCAAATCTAGTAGAAGTAATACTATTATTTATTTTGAAGAACAGTGAATTTTGCTCAATTGAGAAATTAAAACTCAGATGATCTTGGCTGCAATTAGTACACTATATATTAGGTGGCTTATTGGGCCGGGCACAACCTGATTCTAAATCGGGTTTGTAAAGCTAGGCAAGTACGGCCCAATGTGATGCCGGGCCGGCCTGGTATAAAAAAATATTTTCTTCCTTTTCTTAAATTAAATAATAAAAAAATTCAATTGGTGGAAGGAAAAATCAAATTCACAATCAACTATAATTTCAACCAAAATTTTTATTATCAAACTATGCTTTGATTTTTGTCCTTATTTCATTTGTTAATATATATATATAACAATATTAAATATTAATTTTGAAAACGGCTAGGTCAGACATGGCCCGACCTTTATGAGCCCGGACACGGTCAAGGCCCGGTTCATTGCCGTGTCGGTTTAGGCAAAGCCCGAAAATTTTCGAACATAAACTTTTAGGTCCAAACATGATTTTTTATGTCGAATTCGAATCGTGTCTATTTTTGCCGATTCTACTATAAAAAAGGTTCAATAGTAAAATTTATATGTGAGTCTCATGTGGGCCACAAAAATGACATCATCTTCATACAATCACACTGTACAAAAAAAATAAAATAAAATAAAATAACACTCTATTTACATATATATATATATATACATATTTATAAGTTTTAACATTATTTATCACCACTACTTTTTAAAACAAATATATATATAATATAAATAAATATTATTCCTAAAACTTTTAAAAATTTCAAAATTTTAAAATTTTCTATATAAATAAATGTTAGATTTAAAGCAGTGCAGTTCAACAATATTAATAAAATAGGTCAGTATGATCCAGTAAGATGTAGTTGAGTTGATGTGATAGGTGAACTTATGATTTCAGTTAAAAATTTAATAATCTTGCAATGTCCACACACGTAATCTATTCTACAAGACTGTTACTGCATTCAACAGAAACAGTTACACTGACATACTGTTCTGGTATCCTGTTCTACCAGGATAATACTATATTTAGTCTTGAGATCATATTCTATCAAAATGCAAAACTTACAAGTAGCAATGTCATAGAATTAGAAATATAACTGAAAACCTTTCTACAAAGCTATAACAATGTTCGTTTCCGATATTCTATTCGAACAATAGCAATTGTAAATTTTCACGTCATAAAAATAAAAATAAAAATATTAATAACTTAATTTTTGCTAGCAATATCATAAAAATAGAAAATATAAGGAACAATCTATTGTACAAGTCTAACCTCCATGACCAAAAGTGAAGCATAAAATCATCTATGATAGAGGAGTAGTCGTTATAAATGTTGGACACACACACACACATATATATATATATATATATATACACCTAGATACCTATATGAACAATGGAAAATATTCTACCCGTTTGTTATCAATTAAATGCATTTTCAAACCAATATTTCAAAATATCATAATATAATATTTATTTTTATATTAAACTATTATTTCATTCTTAATTTTTACATAGGAACAAACAAACTCTCTATTATATACATTTTTTACATCATTCTACTTGATGTTCAAACTACTCTTATATTTGTATAATTTTTTGTACAAATATTATTATATTAATATTATAAGACATTGATAAAAATATTTTGATATAATAATTATGTTCAAATATCAGTATCCAAAAAATAAACTTGAACGTAAAAATGTGGTTCTTTCCTCAGTGAATATATATATACATATATATTGTGGTTTTTCTATTTATTACTATTTAAAATTATGTTGTTGTAAAATTAAATTTATTATATATGTATATGGATTCAAATCTAGTACTAGTAGTACTATTATTTATTTTGAAGAACAGTGAATTTTGACTTGAGAAATTAAAACTAAGCCGATTTTGGCTGAAATTAGTATTCTATAAATTAGAGGTGACAAATCGACTTGATCCGATCCGGATTTGAATTTTACTGGGCTGAGCACAACCCGATTTCAAATCGGGCTTGTAAAGCTAGGCTCGAGTATGGCCCAATTTGAAGTCGGGCTGGCCCGTTATAAAAAAATATTTTCTTCATTTTTTTTTAAAAAAATAAATAATAAAAAAACTCAATTGGTGGAAGGAAAAATCGAACCCACAATCAATTACAATTTCAACCAAAAATTTTATCATCAAACTATGCTTTGATTTTTATGCTTATTTTATTTGTCAATATATATAACAATATTAAATATTAAATATTAAATATTAATTTTGAAACATGCGCCAAGCCAGGCATGGCCCGACCATGATGAGCCCGGTTCATTCCCGTGTTGGTTTAGGCACGGTCCGAAAATTTTCGAACATATTTTTTGAAATCCGAACATAATTCTTGTGTGTCGGATTCGAATTGTGCCTATTTTTACCGACTCTGGTTCAGTACTAAAGTTTATATGCGAGCCTTGTATGGCCACAAAAATGACATCTTCATACAATCACATGTAATATTCATTTCTATACAAAAAATAAAAAATTAACACTCTATTACATATATATATATATAAGTTTTAACATAATTTATCATCAATACTCTTTAAAACAAATATATATACAATATTTATTTATATTTTCTAATAAAATATAATACTAAATATCATTTTTTTTTAATTATTCCTAGAATTTTTAAAATCTCCAAAATTTCAAAATTTCTATATAAATAAATGTTAGATTTAAAGCAATGCAGTTCAACAATATTAATAAAAGAGGTCAATATGATCCAGTAAGAAGTAGTTGAGTTGATATGATAGGTGAACTTGTGATTTTAATTCAAAATTTATTGATCTTACAGTGTTCATAATAATTTATTCTACTAGGCTGTTACTGCATTCAACCTGAGATTCAGATTGAACAGAAACAGTTACACTGACATTCTACAAAAATAATACTACATTCAGTATTGAGATCATATTCTATCAAACTGTAAAAGCTACAAGCAGCAATGTCATAGAATTAGAAAATATAATGGGAACCTTTCTACAAGGCTATCACTATGTTCATTCTTGATATTATATTTGAACAATAGCAATTGTAAATTTTTTATGTCATAAAAATAAAAATAAATGTATTATTAACTTAATTTTTGCTAGCAATATCATAGAAATAGAAAAGATAAGGGACAATCTATTGCACAAGACTAATCTACATGACCAAAAGTGAAGCATGAAATCATCTATGTTGGAGGAAAACTTGTTATAAATGTTAGACACATATATATATATATATATATATATACCTAGATACCTATATGAACAATAGAAAATACTATACCTTTCTGCTATCAATTAAATGCATTCTCCAACCAATATTTCAAGATATTATTATATAATTTTTACTTTTATATTAAACTATTATTCCATTCTTAATTTTCACATAGGAACAAACAAATATATGGGTGCATTTCTTTTTATTGGTTTGTAAAAAAAATTTAGTTTTAGTTTAGTATTAAAATAATGTTTATGAAATATTTTTTTCGAGTAACGCATAGTCCAAATAATAACAAATTTGAGGGTTTGGGTCAAAAAAATAAATCTATATTTCTCGGACAAAAAGAGCATCAGAGCTACCACCTATTTGTTACTTTTATTTTTATATTAGGGTTTGATGAGTAGTTAACAAGTTTTAAAATAGTTTTTGGACAATGGATGGATTATAACTTATTATACATTTACTTCTTCTTCTTCTTCTTCAGAAACAATATGTCTATCACTACAAAAAAATTAATATATTTGTAATGGAATTCCGTCCTTAAAGTTCACGTAGCTAACGTAATTTCATTCCTATTTCCATCTCTAATGTCATTACTAATGGAAAAAATAGATTTAGAAATAAAAAAGTTTTGTTACAATTTTTTCTTGTAGTGTATATATTTAAATTTTGAAATATAAAATTATATATAATTCAATCTATATTTTTACATGCTACGAAAGTGAGTCAGCCTGAGATTTAAGAAGAATTTTAAGATCCCTTTCATTCCTCATATTTGATCATGTGATTATCTATATATCTCACTTGATTGTTTTTTTTATAATACTACCAATCATTGAAATAATATAATTACAATTTTCTTTTGCAATTATTAATTAATTAGTTCTTAATATTTCATCCCATAATCACTTCTCAAATTCTTTCTACCCATATTAGAAACTTTAATAATAATCACCTTCCTTATATTTGCAGTCTGGACATTCTACAATTCTCTTAAACCGACTCCATAAGCTCACCGATCTAATTGAAGAATGAGTCGACGACTCATAGACAATGGCTTGACAATTACTTTTTTTTAAAAAAAATAGAGTTGATAAATATTTTTTTTTTAAAAAAAAAATTATAACTCTAAAAATAGCAATAGATAAATTACAATAGTCAAGCGAGATTCAAACAAGGCGCGAGAGGGAGCTCGATTAGCCATGGTGGATTTGGTCTCCAAAATCCCATTGCAAAAAGTAGCAATCCAATCCTTATTCAATAAAAACTCGTCCCTTCACGAAAAATATGTTGAAAACTAATTTATGTAAAGTTAAGATACTCTATAATACTTATATGTTGAGACTAATTAAACATTATACTCTCTCTTTCCACAAACTAACGTCTTATTTTCTTATTTGGAATGTCCAATAATATTGTCTTTTTTTTCTATTTTTATACACAAAATTTACTTTTTTACGCTTATTTTATTTACTCTTTCATTTTCTATACACAAGATTAAGGGCAATTTTGTAATTTTATAACAAAAACCCTAATTGTCTAAAAATACGTATAAATATCAAATAGGACATTAGAAAATGGACGGAGAGAGTATTAACTTAAATATTTAAATATGTTGAAAAACAATATAGGAAATGTACTTAAAATATTGTATTTTATATAGCAATAATTTGATTAATTGTTGTGTTTAATATTATTGTACTAGATGTTGCTTCATGAACTTAATTATAAATGCCTTAACATGCCATATAAAATGTTCAAAGTTCTTCATATTTTAGACAAAAACAAAGAGCTTATTTGTTTTGTTTAACCCTAAATAAATAAGTTTGCATGTTATAACATGTTATAGAAAATAATGAAAAAATAAATAAATAACGATAATATGTGAAACTTTCGTATTGTCTACTCGACATTAATTCACCATAACTCATGGTAGATTTGCATTAGGATACTCTCTTCTATGCATCCCTCATACAATTGGGCGAATGAATCCGGAGAAAAATAATTTAAATTATCTATTTATCTTCATGTTAAGATCAAAGTAAAACTTGATTAACTATTCATCCCTCGTGCAATTAGGGAAAATGAATCGGAGAAGAATAGTTAAAGTTATCTTTATATCCCAATGCTAAGATCAAAATAGAACTTCATTGCTTTTTCATCCCTCATACAATAGGAAAAATGAATCGAATAAAAATAGTTAAAATTACTTTATTATCCGCACGGCAAGATCAAAGTAGAATTTGATTATGTACCTTTTCACCCTTCATACAATTAGTGAAAACAAATCGAAGAAAAGTAGTTAAAATTATTTTTATATCTACACGCACATCAAGATCAAAGTAGGATTTGATTACGTGTCTTTTCACTTTTCATACATTTAGGGAAAACGAATTGAAAAAAGAGTAGTTGAAATTATTTTTTTATTCACATGTTAATATCAAAGTAGAATATGATTACATACATTTTCACCCCTCATACAATCAGGGAAAACGAATCAAAGAAAATTAGTTAAAATTATCTTTTTATTCGTTCGACAGGAGTAAAGTAGAATATGATTACGTACCTCTTCAACCCTCATTCAATCAGGGAAAACGAATCAAGAAAAATAGTTAAAATTATCTTTTTATCCGCACGACAGGAGTAAAGTAGAATATCGTTACCTTTTCGAGTTCAAGCTAAGCTCGTTAAAAATCAAAAGCTTTAATGAGCTAAGCTTTTCGAACAACTCAACTAATAAAATACTACCTAAAATCGACATATAACTTTTTGAAGAATATTTCGCATTCAAGTTTGAATTAGAGCTCGACTTTAATGCAACGATGAATCTCAAGAAGTCGGCTATCGAATACGATAAAAACAGAAACCAAATCGAAGCAAAACGCCAAATTTAAAACACAAAATATCACTGCATTCATAGTTCGACATTCATAGTAGTTCATCATTCATTGAAAACTCAACAAAGCAACAAAGTCTGATTAATAAAACATAGATATATATAGAAATGTCTGCAACACTACCATACTCATAATACTCAAGCTGCAATAACAACCTTCCAATGGCGGAAATCAGCAATTAGGGTTTCCAGACGCCGGCTGGGGGAATGCCGGAGGAAGAAGACGGCCCCGCCGCTGCAAAGGCAGCCATCAGAGCAGCAATGTTGTTGATGTGATTCGGGTGGTTCTGAAACCCATTTCCAAACCCTGCAGAGTTGATTTTTGGGGTAGGAATCATCAAGCTGTCGTCCTGTTTGAAGGTCCATCCATGGAGGTTAGTGTTGGCGGAGTCCAGCGGGGAAGAAACCACAGTCATCTGATCGACCCTGCTCTGCTGATTCAGCTGCTGAAGATGATGATTATGAGGATTGACAGGTTCAATTCCCTGCGCAGGCACAACCGCCAAATTAGGGTTCCAGATTTGGGGATTTAGGGTTTGCTGTCCAATTTGGGGATTATTTGCCATCAACGTCATCTGCCAGTTAGGGTTCTGCACAGCCACAGTTTCAGAGAGGTTGAATTGGGAAGACGACGCAGAAGCTTCTGGAAGCTTCTGCTGGTGTGCCATGATCCTCTTCTTGAGGCTCGAGTTCCAGAAATTTTTGATCTCATTGTCAGTTCGACCAGGCAGATGCTTCGCAATCTGAGCCCACCTGCAAAACCCATCGATCGTCAGGGCTTTTCCAAAAAAAAAAAACAAATCTAGAAATGAAAAACACACAAATCCAAAATTTCTCCAAAAACCCTAGATTAAAAAAAAAAAAAAAAAAAAATCGAAAGAATTTGATTTAGACAGTACTTTTACCTTAAATGTAAGAAAGAATAACCATAAAACCATACCTGTTTCCTAAAAGTTTGTGTAGCTCAATGATTAGAGCAGCTTCCTGTGGAGAAAAACTCCCTCTTTTCAGATCAGGCCTCAGGTAGTTGATCCATCTCAGTCTGCAGCTCTTTCCACATCTCTGTAACCCTAATTTTTTTTAAAAAAATTAAAAAAAAACCCCAAATCAAACATTATGTAAAAAATAGATCTATGGATTCGACGGTGGTTTAGGTTTTCTTCAGGCGTTTGGTATATATAGATGCTTCCTCAAATTAGGACAACCAAAGGATTATCCCAAAATAGAATACTTTCTTTTAGTACATATGCGGCGCATATAGATAGAGATATAGATACAAAAATATGTATAATAAGATACCGGCGAGGCGCGGGACAGTGCTCCAGCAGCCATGGCCGTAAGTTTGGATGTGGTTGATGAGTTTCTGGTCTTCCTCAGGCGACCACAAACCCCTCTTCACTTTCTGCTTGTTGCAACAGTTGTGGCCAGACATCTTATCCAAATCGATCTACATACACAACAAGCTAAAGATTAAAAATAAAAAATATCGAGACAAGAATCAACATGAACTTCTCCGAAAATGTCCTAAAAATTGGATTTGAACTACTACATAGTAATTTACCTACAAGAAAATTTCTCAAGAGCTCCTCAGATCCAATACAATTGAGTGAAGGGGCACACACATATATATAGACCTAAAAAGAAAAGGAATAATTGCATCATTAGTTCACAAATCGAACATCCCTAATTAGCGGGCATTTAATACGCTCGGCGAAACCGCGACATTATTACAACCTTAATTATGCCATTTAGGGATATATATATATATATACTCTGACAGGGTTGGTGCAGTGCTCAAATTCTCAAGAACTTGGAAAACGAGGTTTTTATTTTTTTAATTTTTTTAAAAGGGAATAATTTATTTATTTTTGATAGATAATTATATAATTAATTGTTTTGAAGAATTTAATTTTCATAACTGGCAATGGGGCTAGTGTGACTGTGTATCGTTGGAATTAATGAGGGGGGTTTGGTTTTTTGCTAATTAAGGTCTGAATGTAATAAAAATTTTAGGGTTAGTTGGGAAAATAGAAAGCATCCATTTTATTAATTGACAATTATTGTTATTGTACATAAATATTCATACAGCTAAGGATATTATTTACCAATTTTATTCCTTTGGATAGTTTTTTATATATCAAAATTTTCGGATTTCCAATGCACTTCTTTTTTTTTCAATAAAAATACCAATAATTTATATACATATATATATATATATATACACACATTTTCATTTTCTTCAATACACAGAAATTTCAAAGCTTATATATGAATTGTATTTAGACAATACTTCATTTTTATTTTATTTTTTTGGTAAATATGAAGTAAAACAAACACATTCAATTTTTTTTATTTTTTTTTTTAAATTTTTTTGTATTGTTATTTATTTATTTACTTTTACGTGTGTATAGGTGTATTGGAGTGTGTGGGAAAGAATAATTTCTGACAGGAGAAACAAATTTGTCTGCAAATAAAATAAATGTAGGTGTACATATACGAACGTGTTCACACACTGCATATATGTGAGTTCGGGTATGTGCTTACGTACGAATGAAGTTGTATGACGTCATCCTTTTCAAAATATATTATTTGCTTCGATGTACGTATGTGCATACGCGTGAATGAAGTTTCATGGCGTCATCATTTTCCGTTACGATTGAGCAATGTAATTAGGAAAATATATATCTCTGTAAAATTTTCATTAGGAACTATTTTTACTAAACATATAGTATTATTTTTCACAAATATAATTTATACACAAACTTATTAAAAAAAATAAAAAATTCAAATGCAAAGTGCTGATTTTGATTTGAAATTAAAACCAAATGGACTTACTTTTCTAATTTTTGTTGTTATTAATTAGTATTGTAAATATTTGAGAAAATATGAAAAAAATAAATAAATAAATTAAATAACAAAAAGTTTTCAAAATAATATCCAACAGCGCTAGAGGAAGGGCTTGAACCTTCGACCTTGTGGTTAACAGCCACACGCTCTAACCAACTGAGCTACTCCAGCTGTACTTTTGTAATTTTATCATGATATATTTTTCTCTAAAAATAGATTTTCTTTTTATGTAATAATATCAAATTACAATTATTTAACTAATTCTTTTTATCCATTCCTAATTTTTTAACTTAAGCAGTCAATTGCATAGACATAATTATTTATGTAGCTTCATTTTAACTTTTTTTTAACAATCCAATTAATTAAGCAAAAATTTTAAAAATTATTTGTTAAAAAAATAAATAGAACAATGATACATAGTGGGTTTGTTCGATTTAGATGTCGGTTTGTTTTTTACTTTTTTTTTTTTTATGTGGGGTACGAAAAATTTTATTGGTAATATAAAAAATAATATTTTGTACTTGATTATTTATTTTTTATTAACTGTTAGTTTTTATAAACGAATAAATTATATTATATCGTGTTAATATTTGTGTATATTATATTTTTTAAATAATATTTATTGAGAATTGCGTCTGAAAATGCTAAGTTGTTTGTACATTAAGAAATGAATTGAGCTAAAGGAGTAATTCTAGATAAAACTAAATAAATACAACAAATTAAGTTAATTATATATAAATAAAATAACAAAACTATGCCATTATGATTACGATTATGATTTAGGGCTATTGATCTTAATACAAAATGAATACCCACGATAGGTGGATATATCTAAAGCTGAAAAAAAATTAATTCTATTGACATAAAATAATTGGATTTGAATTCAAAAAAAAAAAAATTGACTTAATTATATATATAGATCAACACAAATTCGAAATAATAATAAAAGAATTAGGTTATGATTGATGTGCTCAATTCGAACCGACATGTGAATCTGATTATAATATATTAGTATTGATTCCTTAATTTATTATATTATAAAATAACTCTAATTTGATAATTAGCTACACGCTAATTTAATTTCTATCTCCAATAATACAATCAAATTCACAATACATATTACAATAAATTCGATGAAAACTAATTGACATGACAATTCAATACAAAATAATTAAATTTGAATAAAAAAATTTGACCTAATTATGTATATGAATTTAACACGAATCTGACATCATAATAAACAGATCAGATTAAAGTTAAATTGTTTTGCCTGTTTAAAATATTCAATTCGACATGAATCGAGTAATTATCAGATCTAAATATATCTATCCAAACCAAAATGCATTAACATATTTGCGTACCATTGCCTTTCTTGAGAGTTGTTTTCGTTCAATTCCATCTTCGTCGTTGCCTTTACCGTCGGATTAGTGTCTTTTTAGGCACCATAAGCAAAGTATCTGTCCGAAACTACCATAATCATATCAAAACCAATCATATTAACAAATCTACTTGTATGCAGATTGATGAATGAAATAAAATATTTACAACTAAGCATTATGTATGAAATTACAATTCCAAATTCTTCTAGGATTCTAAAAAAAAAAATGCATTTTCTTCGAACAAAAAATAAAAATAATATATTACATATAATTATCAATTTTATATTATTTATACAATTTCTTATACTTCACATAAAAATATATATCTTTTTCAAATAATTTCACTAAATAAATCCACCATTAACTTGTTTTAGTTTTGGTCCTACTTTTAACGATTTCTATTAAAAATAAAAATAAAAATAAAAAATAACAGTTACGATTTGAATTATTGTTTCTGGTTTCATTTTGTTCGTTTTCAGTCTTTTTTTTTTTTTTTTTAATTTCAATCAATTTAAGTTGGTGGTTGATAGGTAGAATATATCATACTACCTACTCAGGTGTTTACAGTTAGACCTGCGTAAAACTAACTTTAATTTGACTAATTTATTAAGGGGTTGATTCAATTTTGTACAATTTTATTTGACTTTTATAATATGAGTGTATCCAATCTCGATTTTTAATTTATTTTTTTTAATTTGAAGGTATTTAATTTAAATTTTTAAAAGTATTTTAAAATATTAAAATATTTAAAATATTAAAATATTTAAATTATTAGGTTTAGATATATGTATCGAAACCAAAATGTATTAACATATGTGCATACCTTTGCCTTTCGGAAGAGTTGTTTTCGTTTAATTCCACCTTCTTCGTTGCCTTTAGCCGCCGTCGGATTAGTGTTTTTCTGGGTGCCATAAGCAAAGTATCTGTCCGGAACCACCACAATCATAATAACCAATTTACGTGTATCCAGATTAATGAATGAAATAAAATATTTGCAGCTGTGCATAATGTATGAAATTACAATTCTAAATTCTTCTACAATCTCAAAAATTATAACTTTTTTAAAAAATAAATATATTATACATATTTATTATTTTTATATTATTTACATAATTTCATATACTTTACATAATATATATATATATATATCTTTTCAAAAAATTTCACTAAACAAACACACCATTAACTTATTTTAGTTTTGGTCCTACATTTAACGATTTCCATTAAAAAAAGGACAGTTACTCTGAATTATTGTTTCTGATTTAATTATGTTTGTTTTCAGTCTTTTATTTATTTATTTATTTATTTATTTTTTTAATTTTAATCAATTCAAGCTGGTGGTTGATATGGGTAGAATGTATCATACTACTTACCCATGGTTACAGTTTAACATGTATAAAACCAATTTTGATTTGACTAATTTATTAAGGGGTTAATTCAATTTTGTAGTTGATTCAATTTTTTACGATTCTATTGGATTTTTATAATTTGAGTGTATTCAATCCCAATTTTTAAAAATGTGAATGTATTTAATTCGAATTTTTAAAAAAACTTTAAAATTAGGAGGTATTTAATCTAAAACTTTAAAAATCTTTTAAAATTATGATTATTTAGCCATCCATAAACTTTAAAATTATATGAATTTTGTTGAATTCTTGTTGAAAATGATGAATAAATGATACGGTTAAAAATGAATTTTTAAAAATATATTATTATTATCTTATTATAATATTTATTAATATTATTGTAATTTTTTTAATAAAATAATTCTAATAATTTTAAAAACTAAAATATACTAAGCGAAAATTAATAATAATTTCAAAAATTAAATATGATAGTAAATTATTAGAAAATTTTATTTTTTTGAAAATTTTTCTAATAATTTACTTATTCTGAACTACTCATTCTTATTTTCTTTTGCATGAAAAATATTCAAATAAATTTAATTAAAAAAAGATATAGTAATTGGAACATTATTTCTCGTTCATATTTATTTTATTTTATTGTCATTTCACATTAAACTTGTTAAATTAATATATATATAATTCTGATAGGAACCACCACAATCATAATAACCAATTTACGTGTATGCAGATTAATGATTAAAATAAAATATTTGTAGCTAGGCATAATGTATGAAATTACAATTCTAAATTCTTGTACGATCTCAAAAAATATATTTTTTCAAAAAAATTAATATATTATA